TACACGCATACATGTTGTGCTTAGATATGCTTTTGAGATATGAATTTGCATGTGTGTGGGTGTGCTTATACCCTGTAATCTGTTGGAGCTGGCCGAGGGATGGGATGAGATGGTGAGAACAAATATGCTCAGACTTAAGTGACTTCACAAGACACAAGCTGAAATTAAACAAATATTATTGAATGGGGCGTGTCGGGTTGATACTTGATACTTCTATCTGTAGAGGAAGTAAACTTAATGCTCAGCCTAAAGATCGTGTCTCCAAAACTTGGGCAACTCTAACTTTGCCTAGTTATGAGCTCGACTAAGAGGCGAATCTATAAAACTTTTTATTTATCTATAAAGGAAGCATCATATAGGCCATTATGTGAGGATGTATATATATTGGTGAATGTATATAATAGTATATATTGCATCAATATACTTATTAGACAGAAAGGAAACTTTAGTTTTCGAATCTTGAGATATCATAAATACTTTTAAATATAAATATAAATAAATATTCAGCTGCCTTAAATTAAAATTCATTTTGAATAATATAAAAATTTATTACTAAGTATTCGCATTTAATAAGCTGCAATGAAAGAAGTTAAAATTGTACAGGATATTTTCTGGTCATGCTTGAGCTGCGCCAAGTTTAGTGATTTGTTTTTGTTGTGTGCTGTGTCCATTTCTGGCTTTCGCAGAGCTGTGTATGCGTGCTGTGTGATTTCTTTTGTGATTGTCGAAAACATTGACAGACAATTTCTGATGAATTGAGATACGGTCTTTCTGCTGTGTTGCATTTCGCAAACATGACTTGAAATCGGGTCTTCAATTGCCAATGCATATTGATATATTGAAGAGGTTCTTTACGTTCATTTAAATAGAAATTATATTCTAATTGTTAAGGCAAACTTTAGCGTTAATTACGCACGCAACCCGCCCAGCTGCACAATTCTTTGCTTTATATTGCATTGCACATTCCATTAAGCTTCCATTGCCGGAGAGCGAAAAACGCAAAAGCATAAAATGTCAAAGACAAAAAAGCCCCTTGGCAACATTCTGCTTTGATTCGAATACTACGAAGCAGCAATTTTGAGTGAGCACGGAACATTTAGCTAGAAATGACGCTACTGGCTGCCCAGCACTCGTTTGTGATTAAAAATCAGCTTGGTTGTATTAAATAAAGAGTTTCGTTGATTTTTTGGAAAGCAATAAAAACTCGATATTCAGTTTTCTTGAAGGGGTTTACTACATTTTATATTTTTATTTAATTTATATAATATTTATATTTATTTTTTTTTTTTATTTCATTTTGAAAAAGCTTGAACACTTAATTGATTAAGAATAAAATAAATATATTTAAAATATTTTTATTTAAAATTGTTTATATAGAATTGAAATGTGTTTCTTTTTCTGTTTTTATTTTAATTAATTATTAATTTAATTAAACTTATTTTTATATATTTAATTATATATTTTTGCTCTTCAAATTAATTTTATTTGAATTTATTTTTTTTTTTAATAAAATAAATTTTTACTGTCTATTTTCAATAAAATTAAAAAATATTATTTATTTTTATATTAATAGAGAAACATTTTTAGTTTAAATAGCTATTAAATTTTTTAAATATAAAAATAAATTAGTTATATATGAAACACCAATTGACATTCCTTGAGTTGTTTAAGGAATAAACGAACTTAAATTATAGAATATATTTATTTAAAGCAAAAACTGCATCTGTTGGACTTCTCGGATATTTGCTGGGTTTGCTGCTGCTTATCATCAGCTTAAGAAATCTAGGGCACTGGAAGCCTAGTGTGCAAAGCCAATATACTCTTTTTCATTTCTTAGGTAGCATAAAGATGACAAAGCTGTGACAAACTATCACAAATTATTGAAGAGTGAACTCAAAAGAGAATCTAGAAATATGGGAAACTGTAATTAAATATATTTTTACTAAATTCTCTTGCATTACTTACTACAGCAAGTACCATTAAAGATGAATAATATAATTTTTAAAGAGTCAGTATATATATATATATATATATAAATATATATAGCTGTGAGTATTAAGATATTATTTTAATTATATGTATGTATATTTATAAAGTTTTTGGCCATTTGTGTTGATAAAATCAACAGAAATCGCAACAAAAACCAGTTCCAACAATAAAGTGACAAGCCACAAAGTAAGCCACACACACACACACATACATATATATACACGCGCACACATAGACAGACTTTGACATACTCACACAAAGCAATTTGAGTCCTAATGAGCAGCGCGCGGCTTGGAGACAAGGTCAACCAACGAACCAACCAAGCAACCCTCACACACTCCATTCTTGCCTCTCCCCGCTTCGTCCTTTTACTCATCCACTTTGCTGTACTCGGCGCTTGCTGTTGATAAAAATGATAAGCCAAAGCAAATGGCCGTGGTATGCCAGGGGAAATGTTTGTTACACTAAGGAACATTTAGTACACTGTTATACGAGTGCTGTATAACAGTTTGTTTCCCCCCTCAAATGATTTTATGCTTGCTTAAAGCAAGTGCGTTTTTATTATTATAAATTATTACAAATGTATATAACAGTTTATTATTTTAAAACAAATATATTTAAAAATTTATTTTTGTTTTTTTTGTTTTTTTTTTTGTTTTTTATATTTTAAAAGTGTAGAACCTGTACAATCAAATTTAGTACTTTAACAACACATGTATATATATGGAATTAGAGCCAAACCAGTCATAATATGAGGAATTAAAAGGAGACAAAAAATTTATTAAAAAAAATTTACAAATTTTATATATTTATTTTAATTTTTATTTTAACTTTACAATGAGTTTTTATTTTTTATTTGAAAAAATTTGTATACAAATTTAATTTACGAATTATTTTTTTCATTTTCATCTGTTATCTAATCAACAACAAATAAAGATGTATTTTAAATTATTTAATAATATTATTCATTGATATTATTTCATAATTTTATTTTATATTTATAGTACATTATTGATTGTATTTGTATTTATTTAAAATTATTAATAATTAATAAATAATTAATAAAATAATAATAAAATATTAAAATTAATAATTAATAATAAAAATAATAAATAATTAATTTTACACACTTTACTTTTAAGTTTCTTTTTGACTTTCAAATACTTTTATTTTAATTTTTTTATGAATTAAATTCAATATAATTTTATGAAATGTATCAAATATTTTTTTAGTTTAATTTCTGCATAAATGAATGTTTTTGCTATTTTTTTTCAGCAAGTTCAACTGAATGTTAACTTAAACTGACTGCTAAGTAGATCGCATACATTTCCTTAGCCTTAGCTCTGCTTCCAAGCGAATTGTTACAAATTGTTAGCTTTGGCTGAGAAGATTGCGAACATAAAGCCCTAACGCATTCTATAGCATTCATCGCATTTATCGCAGTTGTAAGGCGCGATTCATGAGGCGGTGTTGGTGTAGCTGGTGGTTGGGAATCGGAATGGAATCTGTGAATCTCAAACAGAAATCAGCTGCCAAGTGCTGTGTCACCGTGTGTCAAATTAATGGCAATGCAGCACGAAGAGTGGCGAGTGGAGTTGCCTCCATGATGATAAACGTTTTGCAAGTTCTGGCGGTAGCGGAAATTATGTGTGGGGCACGCAACGCCGGAAACCAAAATTGATCCAAAAATCTTATTTGAATATTTTTGCGCCAAAAATATGTAAATAATATAATTGTATTTTTGGCCAAAATCACGTCAGGCATGTTTCGATAAGCGCAATTGCAAATTGAAGAACAAATTTCGCATGCACGCGACGCGACGTGCTCCAGCCGCTGGAAACCCAATAAAATAAGCTCCAATAGGCGGGCCTATACGACAGAGGACTCGCTGCCACACTATTCCAATTGGAACACGCATTGAACTGGTCAGCCCTTTGGCCAATTGTTGTCTGCCATAAGATATGCAAAGCAGCTGACAATATGATTTGCATAGCTGAACATTTGAATGTTGAATGTTGCATGTTGCATTTGCGTGCGGCATGGCAGCTTATGTGCTGGTTCGCGAGCTCCTTTCGCATTTCCTTGTGGCATTAAAGCTGATGTGTGCTTCGGTGGGTCCAATATTTGTTGTCCCAAGGCCTTTGACCTTTTATATTCGACTCTTTTAACTTTTCATAATCGATGAGCCGGCGAATACCCAAAGGACTCGCTCCACTCACGACGGAAAATGCTACACAGACGGCGCCACATAATAAAGGGTTTCCAACTTTGACCTGCACCTTTTTTTTATATATACATATCCTTTTTTCCTGCAGACTCGGCAAATACATAATAATAAGTGTGGCCAATGCAGAAAGGAGTTTTCTCATGTAGCTGGTTGGGGCAGAAAACTTTGTGTGGCTACCGGCATTTTAACAACCGCTCCCCAAGGACATTAGTCCCGTCTATGTGTGAGTGTGTGTGTGTGTCAGATGTGCAAATGGATGTGCAAGCGTGAAAAGTGTTTTGAAAGGCAAACAATATTGGATTAAAAGGTCTTAAAACAATAAACGAGTGATTCGACCAAATGCGAAAAATTGAATGCGAATATTAAGTAACCAAATGTGGGACGGTGTGTCAGAAGTAACTGTCCGAAATGTGGACTATAAGCAAATATGCCTCGAGGGTACCATAAAATATCAAAGTTATATATACTCTTTGTCAAGGCAAAGTTCGTTCTTTACTTATATTTATTTTAATTAAAACTTATAAATTACAAACATTATATATTGCATATTAATATAAATCGAGATTTAGTTTGTATAAAATTTTCTTTAAATAAGACATTTACGAAGTCATGATTGTCTTTATTAAATTCAAATTTTCAAGTGCGCGCGCAATTTCAAAAGCAAGGCCTTTGTAGCAAGCAGCTTTTAGGCATGAGCAGAACGCACTGTGTTTGAAGTCAGCTGATTTGCTTAATATGCCGATGGCACGCCTATCGATAGTTTTACCTTAATATCGTCTGCTGTTGTCATTATCGATATTATAACAAGCAATAGCTCAGCAGCTGTGCACCTGAAATATTAAAGAGTAAATTGCAAATACATCTAAGTTAACTATAAAAATGGCACAATACATGCTGCTCGGCAATGAGGAGCCCAGCAACAACAAGGAAACCTTTTTGCAGCAGTTCTGCCTACTGGCTAAGAACGCAACCGGCGCTGCTCTGCTGGATGTCATAAAACAAGTGCTGGACGCCCCGAATGTCTTTGTATTCGGCGAGCTGCTGGCGGAGCCAAATGTAGCCGAGGTATGTAATGGATGCATTGTTCCGTATTTCCAGCTAACATTCTCATCTTGTTGTAGCTAAAATCGGGGCCCAATGCCAAGTATTACAACACCCTGAACCTGTTCGCCTACGGCACCTACAAACAGTTTCGAGCACATCAAGAGGACTACATAGAGCTGACACCGGCGATGCAGAAGAAGCTGCAACATCTGACTATCGTATCGCTGGCCATTAAAACCAAAAGCATTCCATATGCAGTGCTGCTGAACGAACTGGAAATCGATAATGTGCGACACCTGGAGGATATCATTATAGAGGCTATATATGCAGGTGAGTTGGCGACGGACTGTCTAAAACGTAGATGCTTTGGAGAACTATGTGAACTATGGTGAACTATACAGTGAGATATAACTGTTATTTTGAATAACAGATCGTTTTTATTAGGTGATTACTAGTTAAAGAAAACTTCCAATATGTAGAGATGTGTCGACTGAAAATACGAAAAATTAAATAATTATCCAAATAATAATAGTTCAATGTTTTAAAAAAAATTATATGATGCAAACGATTATTAAGCCTATTAAAGAGAATCTAAAATATAAGCAAACAAAATAAATCAGATCAGAAAACCAAACCAAAATCCACCACTCGAATATATCTATATATATACCTATATGATCTTAAAAATCCATTTCCTATATACACCTCATATTAAGATGTTTTTTTTTTTTTTTTCAAAGTATTCAGAGGAATTGAAATGCATTTTCTTATAAGTAATTAGCATCATCAACAACGAGGTTTTCCCAGCATACATATACCGCAATGAAAGAATATTTCGATGTTTGAATAAATTCAAGAATATCTATCTGTCTACTTATAGTATTCTTTATAAGTTATTTACAAAGTTTAAGCTATTTCGCAGTCTAAATAATGCTGATTAATATTATAATTTATTATGCCTTAAGTGTGCCTGGGTATTTAATCTTCATAACAGCACAAAACTTTAGGTTGTAATTAAAAAACTTTAACCAAATAGTCCCTCGCCCGCGACACCCGCGAAAGTTTACTAGTTGAGCAGGAGATGAGTTTCCTGCGCTTTAGATTTCTGCATGCAATCTAAAATCTGAATTTATGTTTAGCTAATGGTGCGTTAAATTGTTTCGAAATCTCTTTAGCTGCTAAGAGCCTTATTATATTTTACCTAATTGTACCTAAGTAAATTTCTACTACAGCCTTTCAGACTTCACTGTTGGTTAAATGAAATACAGAATTGTTAGTATTATTTGTTTTTAAGCTACATTTAAATTACTATTTTGAGGCCACAGCAACATCTAAAAAGGTATCTATGCTTTATTCAATGATGTGAGAGCTAATACCCCATATATTTCGCCTGACCTACTGTCCGAGTGAGGGAGTGACTGACTGACGGGTAACAGCTGAAACGAATTGTAAATAAACTCGTGTCATGTTTCTCGCTTCTGCCGAGGCAGTGCACTTGATTAGCCCGCACAGCGGACTTTCCTCGACATAATAACAATGGAGTGGCCGTGGGGCGCGTGTTCTGGCCGAATTCATTAAATAACGTGGGTCCTTGTCGAAAAAGCAGACAAAATTTCAGTTTGTTTTACAAAAAAATAAAACGTAACAAAAATCGAATCTCACCAGTTGCTTTTTAAAGCTGCCACGTCGACAGCTGCCAATAAGCTTTGTCATAATGATTTTTCTTTTCAATTGAAAAATGTTTCTGTTAAATATAGTAAATTAAATTTGAATTTTGGGTTTCTTTTTTGTAAACCACAATGTGTGAAAAGAACTTCAATTTAATGAAGACAGCTAAAAGAAGAAAAAAATGGTAAAATTATTTTTAAAAATTTAATTATACATTATACAAAATTTTTCCAAAATTTGCAATTTGATTGCTCTTTTGATTGGATAATAATTTCCAATAATATAGGCCAATCATAGCCGCTGCCTCTACATGTGTGTGTGCATGTATTGTTTCTTATGAATGAGCTATAATAAGAGTAGAGCGATTGAAATAGCAGTTCTGCACATGGCACGGGGCATCTTCTAGTCGTGCACTCCCTATTTGCTTATAGTCTGTGTACTTAATAATCAAATTTGCCAACTCAACTCAACACCTCCCGCAAGGCTGGTTTGCAATAGTTTAGTTTTCACTTTCAAAAAATATAAGCAATTGGCTTTTCACTTGAAAACCACAATTTGTAGCCAGTTACTTGGCTTCAGATAACAGCAGCAGCAATTGGCTTGGGAAGTAAGTGAATCTCCTTTTTACAATGATCTCTGTTCAGTGCAATCTATTACAATGTGTTTCAGCTGTCAGCATAAATGTTCTAATTGGCTTTTAAGAGATTTAAATGCATTTACGTATTTTCGAGGCATTTGCAAGTTGTAAGCTTTTCGTATTTTGTGGCTTACTTCATGTAGAAAATTTTGCAGCTGCATAGCTTACTTGGCTTACAGCATATTTTTGGTGTCTCTTTTGGCTTTTTTGTTTCGTTCTCGCTATTTTTAATTAATTTTTGCTCGGCCTGTGCAGAATTCTAACTAACTATTTGGGCATCGCAGTGAATTTACATTTGTGTTGTGTGCAGCTGGCAAAAGCCAGAAGTTAGACGCAACTGGGGCTAAGCCCCAAAACAATTTTTACGAATTGCTGCATTGATTAGAAAACTCGCACGGAATTTCCCGCTTGCTGTTGACTTTCCCGCCCGGAGCAAAGCGAGCCGTGCAAATAGCTTTGGCAACTGCCCAATTCACAGCCAGTTCGAATATTCCTCAGCTTTGTGTGGCTTTGCTTGCTGCTGCGAATGTCTGTGGCGCGGATTAGAAAAAAATTGCTTTCAATTGTGGCGCGCACAATAAACTGTTAGCCACACACACTCACAATGCTAATTATTTTTCCATGCTCTATTTCATTGAGCAACAAACAAATCCAAACAACTCAATGCCTTAAAATATGCCATTAAACAACATTTACATGGGAAGTAACTAAGAATGCAGAATGATCAACTAAGAATTACTATAATATATAAAATGAAAAATATATAACTGTGAAGATTTTCATATTGTTATTTAAACAATATTAATATGATATATATTAAAAATTATTTAAATTTTAATGTTGTATTATTATTTGTATTTCTATTTTCAACTACGCTCAATTATTTATAAAATAAATTTGTGTTAGTCTCATCATATTCTTCGACGGTTCAGAGCATGTAATCTGAAGGCTGAGAATTATTATTGACAGCCAGATGCGAGATGATTTAGATGTGCTGACAGCTTATCTAGAGTACTGCGAATGTAAGTTTCTTACAAAAAAGCTAGCTACACGCCATCTGCCAGTTTATATGTTTGATGTTAACTACAATTACCTTTTCAACAATACGTATCTATTAAAAGCTTATGTCAAAGAGTTTCCAAAGTAAAACTTTGTCAAAGAAATTCCAAAAACTATCAACTGAAATGTGTTTCCGAATGACCGAGTTTACTATCACTTAGGTTGTTAACTTTTAACATTTTAAATAAATAATGAGCCTTGGGCACTTGCAACTTAAAAGTGAGTTTGAAAATAACGAAGTTAAATTATATAAGATACACATTTAAAGTTCATAATATATATATTTCATATTTAAATTTATATATTTATATATTAAGTGCTGTCATTAGCCTGACTGACACAGTTTGTGCACCTGCTTAGTTACAGGGTATGCTTATAATAAATATCATTCAAATAGAATCTCCGCCTCCATTATTGAAGTAATCAGCAAAGCAAATAGAATGACAACTGAGTGCTGTTGGACACAGAATCCATAGCCCGTGGGCGTCACAGCTGCTGTACTCATAAATCTAAGACGTCCAGGTGAAGTGCCCGTTTAATTGCTTTTCAAAGCCCAAAATGGAAAATCCCGTGCACTGTGGCAGCCAGCAGCAACAGCGGAGATTTATGTTATGATAGGCATCATTGAGTCATCAAGAGGGGCGACAATTCAGACACCTAAAAAGCATTGCATACTATTAGGCGCTGTAATCTAAAATCACATGGACGGGCCTTAACTGTGTGTTGGGGTGGTGTCCGGAGTGGGGGACTAAGCACGCTGAGGACATAAGCTGCCATTAGGCAGCCATAGAACACCGCAGGACACGGATCCTGTTGTTTGCACTAGCTATTCGCCTGGCCTGTGTGCCGTTAATGTTTGCTCTTCGGTCTGCCTCACGTTTCATGGGGGCCCATTAGAGCATCATTTGTCTCGACAGCTCTGCAAAAAGAATAGGGCACCGATGTTCTCTGTCCCCAGGCGCCAACGTTAATTAAATGCATTTTATAATTGAAATTCGGTAAGCTGAGTGGCTGAGTGGTTTTAGTTGTAGTGGGGCCGCTGGCGATGGCAATTGTCTTGTCTAGATTGATATTAGGCACATTTTTCAACTGCAACAGCAAGCTGTCATAAGGTCAGGAGGATTCAGATCGAGTCGAGTTATCTAAGTTGAAAAACTCCAAGAATTGAAGTTTGAAAACAAGCTTAATAACTACTCAAACTGCCCCCAAATTGATTGGGCCATCAGCAAAAACGAAGTTTCGTACTTTCATTCGACTTTTGAATTATTTTCAATTAAAATCTTTACGATGTAAATATTTTGCCAGATAAGCTTTGCAGCTTCAGTCAATATCATTGCTGATTTCATCAGGTTTCCCAGATGTAAACTCATTTTGTATCTAGCACTTTAAACCCTCATCAACTTGGTTTTGGCATACGTCCGTTGTCAGTTGCATCCAATTTCTGGGGCAAGTTAAGCTCCTTGTTGCTGCTCTATTTCATGCTTTGACTTTGCCTCGCTTCAGCAGCATACAAAAAATTGCATATTCAAAAACAGCAACTGAAAAAATACAGACACAACAGCCGAGCCTTAAATAAATACAAGAATCTATTTGTGGTGTATATGTTAAGCGTTTTAACATTTATACCCTGTAAGTAGGCGCTAGATATCGTTAGAATTGATAAAGCAAAGAGCAACACAAAAATTGATGAGCATTAAATGTCAGCAACAAAAGCCAATACAAACAATATTTTTTATATATTTAAAAAAAAATAGAAATAGAAAAAATAGTTTGAGAAGAGCTCAATTCTTTTTAAAGAAATTTGAAATATATATATATCAAATATTTGAACTTGTCCAATTTCTTTAAAGATATCGAAATCGAAGCTATTTTAAGTCGATGCTCGTAAATTTAAATATGTTTTGAGTCACAGCAGTTTGTGCTAAACTAATCATTGCTCCGAAGAGCCGACGTCTTCTATTTTAAATTCTTATGTTGGGCCAGCAGACGGCGCATTAACTTTGTAATTTAAGAGCGGCTGTGCGCTTGGAATTCGATTTGTAAGAGATTTATATTTGTTAAGAGATTACAGTCATACGTTTCGTTGTCTCTCTGTTCCTCACATGCTTCTGTCGCTCTCACGCTGCATCGGCTCGATCACGATCGCAGTTCGAGTTCATCATTTGACGACTGCAGCTGTGCGTGCATCGACAGCTCTCAAAGGTTCTAAAATTTCTCTATTATATGTAGATAGTAGCGGACAACACGATAGCCAAAGTCGCAAACTTAATATGAACATTAAAGTAGACATATTTTCTTAAATTGCTTCAAAATGATATAAATAAAAAAAAATTCAAATTTTTTTTTATATATTACTATAGATTATTATATGTTTTTATGTTAATGCAATTGATATTTTCGAAATTGAAATATTCTTAGTGTTAGAAGCGGCCACATGCTTGTAGAGCTGCTTACATATTTTTTTTAAAAATAATTTTAATGTATTTGTTTTTGATTTTTTAAGGTAACAATCAGTCGAGCAATTCTTTTATTTTATTCTGCCTCAGATTAGAAGCAGAGCGTGCAGTTTCATCTGCGTTTTAATTTTTTTCATGTATAAGCTGAAATGATGCATAATGCGAACTTGTATTGCGCCTTTGACTTGGGCTGAGCTCTTTCTTCTCGTTTCGGTCTGTGTGCGGCCTTTACAGATTTGCATCTGGTGCATTAAGTTCGAGTTGATATTGCTGTGGTTGGACTGACAAGAGGATATGAGCAACGCCCAGAGCCCACGGCCCACGGCCCACTGTTCAGTGTTCACATGTTGGTTGTGCAGATGTTTTTGATTACTTTGGCGCTTGCAACGCATATTTTTTGGGTGTCTGCGGCACATTGTTGTGTAAGTCGGGACGCGAAAGTTTGGCCGGGCCAGCAGCTTCCCCGGCACTTTGTCAGTTTTAGGTGAAAAGTTTCCAATAGTTGGCTGCTCGAGTTTATATTGATGGCACCCTCGCTGTCCCTGTCCCTGTGTACCCTGTCTGTCGCATGCTTTCGGTATGCTGAATTTTCAATTAATAAGTTTTCATTTTATTTTGCGCTGCAAAAAATGTGCTGCCAGCTTTAGCTAAATCTGTCAGCGACAGGTGTATGCAAACTTTCCATTATGATCGGCTTTACATTCCTTTGACTGGCCATTTAGATACGTCGCTCCATTTAGCACGCAGCAGGGGCAAAATTGTCGTCGAAGTAATTGCGTGCTCGACCCATAACAAAGGCGAAAGAAATCTGAAATCTAAAGCAAATTCAATTAATGAAAACTGAAGCTAACACTTGGCCAAGATTTTCAGCTAATAACTTGTCTCTTTTACACTTTTATTTGTAATTAAGCGAGCTCTAAGGTAGCACTTAATATTGTAATATGAAAAAACCAAATATGATCCATGTGAACAGCACTCTAAGAAGTTACTGAAAACACAACTAAATGTATTTTGGCTTTAAAGAGAAGTAACTTTGTTGCCTGAATCTTAATTTCCACTTCAAACGTCAGTCATACGGAAAGAAATGCACTGCAACTTCCTGAAAACGCAATCAGGAAATTTAATAATCTTTTTGGCATCTTTGAAACTCTTGTTTGTTTGGGAATATATATTTTTCTCTTCATATACGAGCGCGCGCGCTGTAAAGCATGCTTTAACAATTTTAATATACATTGTGGCAACACCGATACACACACGCGCACATACATATAGACAGGCAGAATACAGTCAAAAGCCTAGCAGACAGCAGACATCAGGGAGCCTCGCCATTTTTTGGCACGCCTTGACTTGGCGGGTGCGGCGTGCACAAAAAGCATGATTGATTGTTTTGCTGTTGAGTTTCCAGCTTCGTGAACAGGCGCCCAAACACGCACACACACACACGCGCGCACTACATTTGTGTGGGCCACAAAACCGAGACACATGTCAACGCCAAAAATGCCGCAAAACTTTACAACACTTGCGATTGCCACGCCCATTTACTGCTAGCCTCAATGGAAGCATATTTTTTGCCTTTTCAATTATTTGCCCCAAATTCAATCAAAATGCCTGCGCTCAGGCTAATTAAAGAAAATGCTTGAGGCAAGACACCCGACCAGGGTTTGGCCTGGTCGCTCCTTTGGCTACTATTTTGTGGATTTTTTTTGCTGGTGCGTATTTATGACAAAAGTTGGTCGTGTGAGTCGCACATTCAATGCCAGAATGCGCTTAAGGTCTTAACTTGTGCTTGCGACTTGGTCAGTCAATGGGGCGGGATCTAATGGGTTCAGTTGGCCGTGGCCAAAAGTTTTGGACTGACTATTGGCTATCACTCTTGCGCAGTCGTTATGGTTCCGTCTGCTTATGCAGCTTTTAAGCCCTTTTGGAAAAGTGTCCAATTGAAAATTGAAACAAATCCGTTTGTTATCCAATCTAAGAGCTTCCAACGAATTCAAACTAATTACGGCCCCTGAACACAATTCATTTTCAATGAAATTGCAGCCGCGCTCCGGCTTACGCTAGTCGATGGGATTTTGATAATTGAGTAGCTGCTGGCCAAACACAAAAGCTAATCACATAAGCTCTCGACTAGCGAGCATAGCCATAAAAAATCTAAAACAAAAATTCAACATTTGAGTGCTGAGCGAATAACGAGTATTTTCCGAAATATATTGCATCGACCCTGCCCTCTCCCAACGCCAGTTGCCCTTGGATTTTGGCTTCGGCGATTATTATTATTGATATTGTCAGACGGATTAAGTGGGGTTTGTCTGCTGTTTTGTTTTAATTTTTTTAAATTCAATTTAATTGATGCTGAATCAATAGAGCAGCCGCTGCAAAGTTGATTATCGTAGCTTAAATAAAGCTTTGGATAAACTAAAACAGCGCAGAGCTTATAGGAGAGCTAAAACTTTTCATTTAATGTAATTGAATGGACTTTTGAACTAGAGTAAACTGAGCTCAAAGGAAATATTTTTACCATGGTAAAAAGAAAACGTTTATAGATCATAATTGAGCAGTTTAGAAATTTAAAATACACTAAAGCCAGGCGAATTAAAATATAACTTTGCATTTATTCAGTCAGAGAATCTGTACAACGACTAACATACAAAATCACTTTGAGCCAAAATCACAGTGCAACAAGGCCAGCGAACTATTCAGGCGTGGCAAGTTCCAAGGGCGAGCCAATTGCAACTTTCCACTCGAGTCTGAAAGATGAATGTGCTAGTTAGTTAGTTACTCTGCTTGCTGATCCTTTGAGCTGGCTGCAGGCGACACTTGAGTCCACTTATTTATTGGACTGGCATTTAAGTCCAAACTGTGCCTCCGGCTTCCGTTTGAGCCACTGATGTACGACGCACACATTTCATCTGTGCGACACTTGACATTAGGTGTAGAGCATAAATAATTTGCATGGGTATTCAAGCAGAGATTTAGCTTTATTTGCAGCAAAAAGTTAAGTGTAGTTTCTGAGCGACTCTTTTGCTAATCTGATGAGTTGTTGTGGTACTTTGGCAGCAGTTCATAATAATGTATTTGCCCCTCTGGCTCTTTGCAGACATCATACACGGCAAACTGTTTCAGAACACACGCATTCTGGAGGTCGACTATGCCCAGGGGCGTGACATACCACCAGGATACACCGGCAAAATAGTGGAAACTCTGCAGGCGTGGGTCAATTCCTGTGATAGTGTTTCGAATTGCATTGACATGCAGATTAAGTATGCGAATTCCGAGAAGGCCAAGCGTCTGTATAACAAGGAGCGCATTGAGCAGGAGGTAAGTGAACGTGTTGACTATTGGTTAGTCGTGCTAACCAACCTATCATTTGAGTAGCTCATCAATTTGAAAAAGGTGCTCAAGAGCCAGACCTCAGACAGCGATGAGAGCATGCAGGTGGATACTCATGGCCCGGGCACCAGTGGCAGCAGCGGCATGAGCCAATCGGAAGTGCGCAAGAAGCCCACCAAAATGAAGAATCCACGAAGCAGCGCCGGTGAGTGTTGCCATATAGATTTGAATTATATATTTTAAATATTTATGGTGCTCAAAATCAATTTCAGTTGGCCTCAAGTTCAGCAAGTGAGTGCAGGCCGGCCGCGTGTCAAGCAAACAGCCCAGGCCCAATGCTGCGCCCCGAGGTAGTTGATAGCTGACACGTTCGGCATGAGATGGCAAATCAACTCATTTAAGACTAAACACAACAAAAACTGCAACAGCAACAGCAACATCAGCCCCACAAATGTTCTGAAACCCATTTATTAGTAATTAAAATTATCGCTAAATAAATAACAAATAAAAATAGAAACAAAGTTCATAAAATTGCAAATGAAATAGCAGAAACATTGCAACTCGTGTTTCGTTTGTATTTTTGATAAATGCATTTGTTCAACAGCGTTATTTGTTTTCGTGCTTCTTCCCATATTATAACACTTAATTTCGGCCAACAATAGCGACACAGCCGAGTGTTTGAGCTGTTTGTGTGCGTCTGCACGCACCGCATAAAGTGACATACATCAGTGATTTGTGGCTAATTAGCAGAGCAGCCAGCCAGGCGCATAAACAGTGCAGTTGAAACATATTGGATCTGCCATGACTGCCTAGCTACAGCCACACACTCATAATTGACGTGAATCCATCAAAATGTTGAAGCTTAATAGGACAACGCGCACAACAAAACACGTTCATGTGCTGTAAATGAAATAAACAATGTATGCTATAAATTATATATATATATATAAATAAATTTCTTGCAATTATTAAATGTTTCAGGTTAATAAAATGGTTTATAACGTTCTTGAACGATGCTGGCCATTACACGTTAATTGTTCTCATTTCTTGCTCAGACAAAACTTATTTAATTAATTATATTTAAGGGTTCTAATTGAGAGTCCGAATATTATATACTTAAATATGATTTGTGCTTCATTAAAGTGATAAAGCTTGTCATATAGGAAAATTAAGTGGATATCCTGTTATTTGCTTGATTTTCATTTTCTTATCCTGTTAAGAGTTATGCTTACTTCAATCCCTCATCTCTTAGTTGAAACTGAAGATATTGTGAGTAATTTGGACCGATTGTCAGCTAGCTTTAGACTGAACTCACAAATGTTTCATTGTATACAAATAAACCGCAACTGCCTTGAATTTTTCTAACAATAAATAAATTAAGTATACACTAATTATTTTGAGTTTGCTTAACATTAAATAACCTTAATCAGTTGCATATTTCCAGTAGATAGCGCTAATTGAGCCCACGCTTGAGCTGTACTTCCCAAATACTCAATGGCTTTGGCCCAAACTAATTTTGCCAGTCAAGTATATTTCAATTAGTGTTGCCAAATTGTGCTAAGACTATAAGCAAATTTCGCAAAATATATCAAATATATAACTTAGAAACATGTTTAATGGAATTAGCGCAGCAACGAACTAAAACTAAAAAAACAACAAACAAAATAAAAGAACACGAAAAAATGAGATAGGAAATAAATAAATAAATATTTACTTAATTTTTGTTTTTTTTTATTTTAATAAAAATGCTATCGTGATTTAATTTAAATACAAATATTATAAAATTAAAAATATTAAATATTTCAAAAATAAAAAAAAAAATTACAGACTAATTGAAAATATATAAAACAAAAATACGTGATAAGCTTTTTGTCACACAAAAAACATTACAAAGAAATAAAACAAAACTCTCCAAAGAAGAAGTGGGTTCACATCTCATTTATGTATATGAATACTTCAGTTATAGGAAACTCAATTCCTAAATAGCTGTGATGTTGAACTACTACAACTCTGATTGCTTAACTCATGTCTTCAAAACAAATTGAAGAAATGATTTTTGGAAGCTCAGGCACGTGCACGTCTCGGATCCAGAGGGGTTAAGTCTTATCTGAATACACATGACATATGTAGATATATAGGCACACACGCACACACAGCTGAATGGAAGGATGCAGAGGGCAGCAGGCAGGTGTCAGTCACACAGGTAACACTTCTGAGCAGCAATTACCTAATTGAATTTATGCTGCTGCGCAGCCGAGCAATGTTGCCAAAGCACTTTAAGTCAGACTGAAACTTGGGCAACTTGAATAATTATTTAACCTGGATTTGCAACAGATTAACTCTCGTTAAATAAAGGCAATTTATGTATATATAACAAAAGATAAGATAGACTTGTTCAGTTGGTAGCATTTGTATCGCATTTGCTTGGGCTTCAACCAAAAACAACTTAAGCTTTAAATATCATATGCTCGGCTAAAAATAAAAAGTTGTTATGCAGCTGATGAACTTTTATTTCAAACTAATAAAAACTTGTCTATCGATCAAATGACCACGCTCACTTAAGCTTAAAAAAAATTTTATATTTTTTTCAGTATACGAGTGCCATTTGTGACGAAGTCAAACTTGATCTAAACACATACATATGCATCTGACTATAGTGAAATAAGCCATTGTTAAATATAATTATATAGGCCGCCAACTCACAGTCAATTCAAGCGACTTTTTTGCAAAACACAAATGCTCTGTATCGGAGTAGAAAAAAGTCTCTTATTTGTAGACTGCTAGCTCACAGTTGGAGCGTCTATTTGCCCACATCAGAACAGAGTATCTCGCAGTCAGAACAAAGTGAGACTGCGATGCACTTTGCTCGCTTTTAATCTCAACAAAATCCCATTCCTACTGACTGCACTCTGTAAGCTCAGCGATTTGAATGATGGCTCCAATTACACTGTGTTATTTTTCTATTGATAGGCAGCTCGATCGAATGCAGTTGAGGCTGGCTGCATTCAGTTATCTCGAGTCGCTGGTCATGTCAAAATGTTTGACCCGTTTCTGCTAGTCGTATTCGGTGTTGTTGCTGTTCTCTGCTACTTTCTGACCGAAAGGCGTAATCCGCGCCACATCGATCGACAGTTTCCTGGGCCCAGATCCTTTCCAGTTGTCGGCAACCTACTGCAGTTGGGTTTCACTCCAGACGGTAAGTGGAAATGTCAAAGGTAAACATCGATTGCCATAGCTTTTTGGTCTTTAATTGGGCATTCGGTTGTTTTTTATGATTTCGTACATATCTATATGTTCCAACTGGTTTTTTCGATGTTAATTAAAAGTCTGGTTTTCTTGTTGCTATCCCCAAAAGTACAATTATTAATATGTTCGATTTAATCGTGATGTTAGCGCCTTTTGGCATTCAGTCTGGAATCTGGTTGCTGCTGCTCTGCTGTCATCTGTAGCAGTTTATGTATGTGCAAGAAAAAAACTCTTATTTACCTGTTCGAATCCAGTTTATTATATGGCTCGTGCAAATGTTAAATGCGCGTCTTAGCGTCATGTGAGGTATTCTACGTTTGTCCACATTAAAATAATATTATTATGTCCTGCGACTATTGAAAATGTTTACAATGTCTAGGCTAATAAAGCCTGACAACCTGCAGAAGAATATTTATTATTGTTTAGTATTCGCGTCGATCTAGCCCTGTTCGTCCATTTGTAAGTTTATTTTTTTTTTTAAGTTTCAAGCTCAGTCTGTATAGGAATAACACAGGCAAATAGAATTTTTTTCAAATAAACCATTTTCTATTATTTCGTTCTTCAATAATAACTTAATATGAAAGACCAAAGTTGCCAAATTGCTCTGTATAGATTATCTTCTATACATATGCCCTTCTTTATTCTTATAACGTATGCTTTTCTTTAGAGTTATATAACTTCGTGTTAACAACACTGCTTTGATTGACAATCCATTTAATAGCTAATAGATGTTTTTTCTTAACATTTTATCACAATAGTCTTTGTGTAAAGCAAAGCTTACAAATTTTTTAAATTTCTGAACAAAATTAATATTTTCTATTTATCAAACTTAATGATGAATAATTATACTGAATGATGAATCTCACTTTTGACAGAGTGGGTACTGAACAAAGAAAAGTTGTCCTAAATAGAGTAAGGATTACATACAATCTTTGTCGACACACCTTGCATCCACAGATAATTACTGTTAGATGCGATTTATGGGCTGGTGGAGTCCTTGGTCCTGGTTCTAGATTGCTCCTTATAAATGAAAGTTATGGCTGTCTCATGGACGAAATTAGATTTAAGCATTTTTTATCCAACAAAAGCAGTTTTATTGATATTAAAAATGCATTGTTTTTTTTTTCCTTTTTGATAGCTCCTTTCGTTCCCCTTATTTAGCCACTTAGCAAGGCACTGGAGCACTCCTCACTAGAGCATGCCAACCTTTTTTAAATCTTAGGAAACTTTAGCTAGCTTCAATTATTACTATAGATAGGCTTTAACAACAGAAAAATATTTTGTTATTTGCTTAACAAATAATCAAATAGCTGCTTTCTAAACATTCTTTTCTAAGAAAAGCAATGAAGTTAAATAAAATTATATTAACAAAATAGCAATATATTTTTCTTTGTCAAAAACCAACTTAGCTACGCCAAATATAAACAAGTTCAAATAAATTCAGACGAAGAAATAATAATTTAATTTCTAAGATAAATTTATTTCGTAAACAATTTCTGAAAACAACAAACAGACATTAAGAAAAGAATTTTATGTCAATTATTTATGCTCTTATCGTTCTCCTATAAGTGGCTTTAATAGATTAATTATACTCGCTACGACTAATTACAACTTTACAGGCAATCAAAACAATTTACTAGTGACAATTAAGTAGCTTGTCGATTAGATCGTAAAGCAAACGTTGAACCCTATTGATATAGAACTTTCAATGATAGAGCTTAGCTGCGGTCCATAGAATTCTATATTAAAAATGGAATACGTTTGCCGAGCTTGACTTAACCTTGACGCTTTGCGTCGGCTACTGGAAACAATTTATTTGTTTTTGTTATTAGCGAATGTTATGCAAATCGAAAGCGAAATTCAGTTTTCGAAAACCTGTAGCCGTTTGATTAGCTCAGAGTACAGTTAGCATCATTCTTTTTTTATCGATTCATTAGAATATTTATTATATGCTAACGAATGTCCAGATGTGTGACCTGAAACGACTGGAGCGTGACCCACTGACTTCTTTTTTTTTGACTAGTAAGAATAACCATAGATTTTCGATATGCTTTCAACAGTTTGCTGCCTTCGTATATTTCTTTTGCTACTGAACCATTTGAGTAAGCTGCATGAACAAGAAATGTACAAGGTTATTGCTTAGGGGAGAGGGTCAATAGTTGTTCAATCATATTTCGACAGTTCCTTGTTGGGATGGGCAGCGATCCATTCAAGAGAGCGCTTGATCTCGTCCGGGATTGGGGGTGAGGTGGGCAGCAGGTCACTGCTGGGCTGGTAGCCGTTCTCATCAGCCACGTACTTAACCTCAACGTGCACGCCATCATCGCTGATCCAGCTGAAGGATCCCTTTGAGTTTCCGTGCACATCACCGCTCTGTTCTTGCTCAATACCATTGCTAATCTTCAGTTTGGTCTCGAAGCCATCTGGACGCACATCGTCAGAGCGCAGAAGTTCCTCAGCCTTCTCATTAGAGTCCACAGCGGCAACCAGGCCAATCAGGGCGACGATCAACAGCTGAAAGACGATCAGTTGGTTAATATTTTCTCTATATTGCCTAACATTCACGCGATTACTCACATATTTGAACATTTCGAGTGAGGTAGTTGCAGTTGTTTAATGTAGGAAACAAACGTTAACTGATGATCCATTCCTGCTAGGCCTCGCTTTTATACAGATAATGCTGAGCTGAAAAAAACCTCAGACCTGTTACTGTTAAATATGCATATATCATTGCAAAAATAAAGCAACCCGTGAAAAAACACACGAGTGAATTTAGTCGATCATGTTATTTTTTTATGCATATATTAATATGTGCAAGTAGAAGAAAAAAATTCCACCCGAATATATAATACTCTTGGCAACTCGTCTTAGAATTCCACCACAGTTAAGCTCTACATGTCATATGAGGCGGAATTGTCAGTCACGAATAGGTTTTTGCAATCTACCACAGCGTCTCGTTAGACACAATTTGCCTTGCGTCCATGCTTGTCGAAGAAGAGGAGACCGATTCCTTGAGTGTGCCGGAGAGTGCCGAATGGTGGTTTGGTTGAAGCGTTGTGGTTGTGGTTGTGGTTGTGGTTTTACGTAGCATTAGCGTTTGGAGAGAAACTGCTGCATACTTCACACTATGGCAAGCCAAGTGCAGACTCCGATAAGGAACATTCAAATTGCTTCCGACATGCTGCTGACACCTTTAAGAAGTGCTGCCTGGGGCATTACTTAACTCGTTACGTACACTTAGGCTGATAACGTATTTATAATGCTTGTAAGAGATCTTAAAGATCACAGCGTATGTCTTATTTCTTTGAAAGTGGTAAATATGAAACCACAGTGAACAGTTCACCTGCCCAGTCTGGTTATCCTAGCTCTGAAATTGTGAAAAAATATTAACAATTTCAAGCTAATATTTACTCAATTCAACAGAACTCCAAATACAAACAAACTGCTTATTTACAAAAGACTTCTATACCCTTATGGGCAAATCCATGAATCACAAACACATTGTTTTTTATGTCAAGTCATACGCGATTGCCTCAGCACACTCCAAGCTCAGCCATAGACTCTGAAGTTGACCAGAAAATCCATAAACTCACTGGGCTGTCAACCTAATAGACAGATGCATGCGTGGATTAAAAAGTAAATATTTCCAATATAACAATAGAACATATTTTGTGCTTATTATAATATATATAATTATAATAATTTGTAGGCTTATACAAATTATTGTTATCCATCGCTAGATGTCATAAAAACACTTACTATCATTCATATATATAAAACAGACAAAATTTGTACAATCTCAACACTTATGAAATTATATATATCCCCAGCTTATACCAATTAATTAATAAATTATAGCACAATGTATTTATGTTCAATAGCATTTTATTTTTGCTGCTTGCCTTAAGTACATTTTAACATTTTTTTTGTAAATATAAAGAAAAGGTATTTTTCTCATTTGTCGCATGAAGTCGGTTATAGGATTCAATCAAGCCAGTTTGCCTTTGCGGTCAACAACGGATGGATTGGCAGCAATATAAGCCAGAGATTTCACGATGGCTTCTGGGATTGGGGGTGCAACGGGCAGACTTGCGCTGCTGGGCTGATATCCGTTCTCATCAGCCACATACTTGACTTCGATCACCTCACCCTCAGGCGAAGTCCAACTGAAGCTTCCATGGATGTTGCCCTTCTCATCGCCGCTATTTGAGGCCGCGATGCCGTTGCTGGTCTCCACAGAGGCGTCAAATCCATCTGCGCGCACATCGTCCTTGCGGCTTATGGTTTCAGCTTTCGACTCATCGCTGACTGGCAAGGCGACGGCCATGGCGATAACAGCGCAGATCAATACCTAGAAGGAGTTCAATTTAGTTTTATCACTGTTTATCCTTAGCGTCCTTCGAAGTACTCACGAGTTTGAACATTTTGATTTGGATTTGTGCAGTTGTTGAATGTCGAGACAGACTTTGACTGATGCTTCACTCCAGAAATTCAACGTCTTTTATACAACTTTCTCTGCAGCATATGATGCCTGTATATGCTATATTCTGTTTATGGGAATGAATTTCGCCTTATGCAATTATCTTCATCATTTCATGCGATTTTGAAGTTTACTCAAAAGTTGCCTACTAATGAGAATGAATAATGAGAATGACGTATAAAACGAGTTCATCTGCAGGAAACTCGTTTCAAATCAAACGAGATTATTATTTAATAAAATTTTAAGAAATACCTAATCAGACGCGGTAATAATATCACAAGCATGACCTTTTGCTAAATGAAATTTTTATATTATTTTTGAAAAATATAAAATTGAACTACAATTTACATTTGACTATGTTGCGTGATCTGAATGAAGCCATATATTATATATATCTCAAGAGGAAAATCTCACACTTGTCCAACATACATCACATTTCAGATCAATCTACTTAAGCTACAAATGCTTCTGCTTTAATACGCTTTCAACGATCGCAGCTTTCTTGCCTCATTCTGTTTCTGTGCCGCTGGCCCAGTCGATTATATTTTAAGTTACAATAAATAGGATTTATAATGAAGACTTTATAGTAATTCTCGACTTGCAACGCGCTAGTAGTTATGGCTTTATTGCTTTGATTCATCTATGAATGAGGTCAAATACGCAAATAAGATAAAGCCATTATTTCTAGTTTTTTTTACCATACAAGTATTTTACCTCAAGTCTAAGGTGTTATGTCCATCTGTATTGGGTATTTGATAGACTCAATCGAGTTTTAATAGATGTCGATATACCAACAACATTAAATTAATCTTAAATTATTCAACTAAAAAATATATTTCCACAGATTTATTTACATTTAAGTACACACTTATTTTTTTTTTTTCAAAATATATAAAGCTCGTAATTTTATTTAATTAATGAAATTATGGAATGGAGCACGTGACCTCTATATAAAATTTTTATATATATAAATATAAATATGAATATTTATATATATAATAATATCTATTGTTATAGATGATCAATAACATTTCTTTATTATTTTGCCTTTGCTGAAAATTGTAAAATTTCTTTATAATGTAAATAAAGCGCAGATTTTTAGATTTTTTCAATATATTGGTATACAATTCTCAAACCATGTTTGCTCAGTATGTTCTTATATTATTGTCGAAGGATGTCGGATTCAAGATCAAGTCAAACAGTTCAGTTTCTGTTAGCTTGAGTTAGTTTTTGCGGTCAGGTGCGGGTGGGTTGGCAGCAAGCCATGCCAGAGATCTCACGATGGCTTCTGGGATTGGGGGTGGGGTTGGCAGAGAATCGCTCTTAGGTTGGTATCCGTTCTCATCAGCCACGTAGCTCACTACGATTTTCTCACCCTCGGGCGAGACCCAACTGAAGCTTCCATGGATGTTACCCTTCTCATCGCCGCTATTTGAGGCCGCGATGCCGTTGCTGGTCTCCACAGAGGCGTCAAATCCATCTGCGCGCACATCGTCCTTGCGGCTTATGGTTTCAGCTTTCGACTCATCGCTGACTGGCAAGGCGACGGCCATGGCGATAACAGCGCAGATCAATACCTAGAAGGAGTTCAATTCAGTTTTATCACTGTTTATCCTTAGCGTCCTTCGAAGTACTCACGAGTTTGAACATTTTGATTTGGATTTGTGCAGTTGTTGAATGTCGAGACAGACTTTGACTGATGCTTCACTCCAGATAATCAACGTCTTTTATACAGATTTCTCTGCAGCATATGATGCCTGTATATGCTTTATTCTGTTTATAGGAATGAATTTCGCCTTATGCAATTATCTTCATCATTTCATGCGATTTTGAAGTTTACTCAAAAGTTGCCTACTAATGAGAATGAATAATGAGAATGACGTATAAGACGAGTTCACCTGCATGAATCTCGTTTCAAATCAAAAGAGATTATTGTTTAATAAGATTACTTTAGAAATACCTAATCCTGCTTGTCTAAATGCGGTAATAATATCACAAGCATGATCTTGTGGTAGATGAAAATTTTCATATTATTTTTGAATAATATAAAATTGAGCTACAATTTACATTTGACTATATATTATATATTTTTCAAAAAGAAAATCTCACACTTGGCAAACATATATCAAATTTCAGATCAATCTACTTAAGCTACAAATGCTTCTGATTCAATACGCTTTCAACGTTTGCAGCTATCTAGCCTTATTCTGTTTCTCTGCTGCTGGCACAGACTTGCAACGCGCTAGTAGTCATGATTTTCTAGCTTTGATTCAACTATGAATGAGGTCAAAAGAACAACAGACAATACGCGGATAAGATAAAGTCATTTATTCCATTACTTCCCGCTTTTTTTATCATACAAGTATTTTACCTCAAGAGTAAGGTCTAAGGTGTTTTATATATCTGTATTGGACATTTGATAGACTCAATCGAGTTCGATATACCAAAAACATTAAATTAATCTTAAATTATTCAACTAAAAAATATATTTCAACAGATTTATTTAAATTTAAGTATACATTTATTTTTTCAAAATATATAAAACTCGTAAAATATTTTAATTAATGAAATTGTATAGAATTTTTATATATATAAATATAAATATGAATATTTATATATATAATAATATCTATTGTTACAGATGATCAATAACATTTCATTATTACTTTGCCTTTGCTGAAAATTGTAAAGTTTCTTTATAATGTAAACAAATCGCAGATTTTTTGAGTTTTTCAATATATTCTGTATACAATTCTCAAGCCATGTTTGCTCAGTATGTTCTTATATTATTGTCGAAGGATGTCGGATTCAAGATCTAGTCAACCAGTTCAGTTTCTGTTAGTTTGAGTTAGTTTTTGCGGTCAGGTGCGGGTGGGTTGGCAGCAATCCATTCCAGAGCGCGTTGGATGGCTTCAGGGATTGGTGGTGGGGTTGGCAGTGAATCGCTCTTAGGTTGGTATCCGTTCTCATCAGCCACGTAGCTCACTACGATTTTCTCACCCTCGGGCGAGACCCAACTGAAGCTTCCATGGATGTTACCCTTCTCATCGCCGCTATTTGAGGCCGCGATGCCGTTGCTGGTCTCCAAAGAGGCGTCGAATCCATCTGCGCGCACATCGTCCTTGCGGTTAAGGACTTCGGCTTTCGACTCATCACTAACCCCCACGGCGGCAGCGAGGCCAATAACAGCGCAGATCAATACCTAGAAGGAGTTCAATTCAGTTTTATCACTGTTTATCCTTAGCGTCCTTCGAAGTACTCACGAGTTTGAACATTTTGATTTGGAATTATGCAGTTGTTGAATGTCGAGACAGACTTTGACTGATGCTCCACTTCAGATAAGAACGGCCTTTTATACAGCTTTCTCGTCGCCATTTATGCCTCTAGAGAGTCTTAGCTTATAATATTTTCTGCTTATTGTGAATGAATCTGAATCAGAATCTTATGCAATAATCTTCATGATTGCATACAATTTTTCAGCGTAATAGTAAAAGCTAATAATGAGCATGCGTTACTGTCGTCTACAAAGAACGAGTTCATCAGCACGAAACTTGTTTAAAGTTAAAGGAAATTATCATCTTATAAGATTGATTCATAAAATTACGTTAAAAAGTGGCGTAAAATCATATGAATGGGCTCACAATGGATAATAATTTGGGTTATCAATGGAGAATAATCGCATTTTATTTTATTTTTTATTGGGTATTCTTGTTACAGATCTGAGGGTCTTAACATTTAAGTTCAATCTGTTGAAGAGGTCAACAGGAAAACAAATGCTAAGATTTTTCGCTCTAGTTGGATAACAGCAGAATATGCTGAAGCCTGTTAACATTTTTTTTTTGTAACAGCTGAAATAACAATGGAGCATTTACTCTGATCATTGTATAGCTATTCTCGATTCACCATGCCCTAGTATGCCCCTTAAAGGCTTGCTTGATCTGCAAATGAGCTCAGAAGTAGACCATTCAATGCGAAGATAGTTCGAGCTGTCTAACCTACTTTAGGTATATTCCTTTATTTTAACTTGTGACACATTAGCACAGAGTTGGCGTGATCTGTTTAGGAATTACAAATCAAAGTGTTAAAATTGTGTTCCGCCATCGTTTGATTTATTAACACATTTCACTTAAGGTTAAGTTCCCCAATTAAAAATATATATTTCTACAGTTTATTTTTTTTATTTTATTAATAAGTGTAGAACCTGTACAATCAAATTTAGTACCTTAACAACATATGTATAACAATATATGTAACATATGGTTGCAGTTTTAATTCAGTGCAAAACTTTTCAAAAATCGGTAAAAACGTGTAAATTAAAATAATTAGTGAAGTTCGAAAATTGTTTACTTAAAGCCACATATAAGCTCATGCCATATATATAAGCCATAGATATGTATATATATATTTCGTCTAAGAAATTTATATATATATATATATATATACATATATATGTATATATATATATATATATATATATATATATATATATATATATATATATATATATATATATATTCCATAACAACAATACGAAACCCTAAAGATAAATCAGTGTTTTGAACATATTGAAGAATTGTCGTTTATGAATTTTAAATTTAGCTTCCTTAAATTAATTCCTCTGCAATTGTTTATATGCGAAATGTGTGAGAAGGTGATTAAGAGTGATGTTGATAATATGTTGAGGCTAATAAAATTTTAGTTCACTTAATTTAATGAACTTATGTGTGGCCTGTGACAAAATATTGTCAAGATTCAGCGAATTACAAATATCAAAAAATTTTAGAATTGTTAAATTATTTGATTAAAGAAAATTTGCTGTAGCAATAAGCATAGATGTGGAATAGATTTACTGGTTCAAGAAATCAATTTATATATATTTCGTTTAAGAAATTTATATATATATATATATATATATATATAGATATAATAATTACTACATTGCTAAATACCTATATAATAGAAAAAGTGTAGATTTTTGATTATTGCATATTAATTTTTAATGTTTTCAAAAGATATCTAATACAGGATCAAATCGAAGAATTTATTTCTTGTGGTCAGGTACGGGTGGGTGGGCAGCAATATATTCCAGAGAACGCTGGATGGCTTCTGGGATTGGGGGTGCAACGGGCAGACTGGCGCTGCTGGGCTGATATCCGTTCTCATTAGCCACATACTTGACTTCGATCACCTCACCGTCAGGCGAAGTGTAGGTGTAGCTGCCATGGATGTTGCCGTGCTCATCGCCGCTGTCTTCGCGCTTGATGCCGTTGCTGGTCTCCAATAAAGCGTCAAATCCATCTGCGCGCACATCGTCCTTGCGGTTCACGGTTTCAGCTTTCGACTCATCGCTGACTGGCAAGGCGACAGCCATGGCGATAACAGCGCAGATCAACACCTAAAATGGGATCAATTCAGTTTTATCACTGTTTATCCTTAGCTGTCCTCAAAGTACTCACAAGTTTGAACATTTTGATATTTGGGCAGTGGTTGAATGTCGAGACAAGCTTTGACTGATGCTCCACTCTAGACACTCAACGGCTTTTATACAACTTCCTCTGACGCAACTGCACATGAGACTTGTATGTGAACCACAAAAATGCAAATTTGTATCGTAAATGTATTAATGCAATTAACATTTTAACACCGAATTGCAAAAGCTCTTCATTAGCCTTGACACCAATCATGGTATGCAATTTGATTTAGACTATTCATATATAATTAGGCAGTTATTCTAATAAACTATCTGTGGGCTTATTTATGCAGTAAAAGGCGGATACGATATAATTTAAGTGAAGATGATACCCGAAGAAATAATAAACAATATAAATTTCACCCAAAACAACATTGATAGGTAATGAAAAACAGGTACAAAAAGCATCAGACCTGTTCCTGCATCTGGCATATGCAAATTTAATACTGAACATAAACATTGAGACCTGTTTGTCCAATTGAAGCTGTGTATTTATATAATATTATTTCTCTAGACATCTTTTGCCCTATAGTACAGAGTATATTTTAGCAGCTTATATAATTTTAAGCTTTAAGCTTTGATCGTTGAACTACAAGAAACAGTTAAGCAATTTCACAGGGATGGCTATTTAGCCAGCGAAGAAGAGAAAGACAATTGTATGTTGCGATACTTGTTATGCATGAACTTAGATTTAGGAAATTGACTTTTAATATTTATTTTAATTGACTTTTCAATGGGTAATTTCTAAAATACATTAAGTTCAATTAAAATTAATACGGAAAAAATTGGGTGACAATAGATTGGCCTATAAGCATTTAATGAAATTGAGAAAACCTTGTCTGTCTGCTTGATACATTTGGTGAAACTAGTATTAACTTGAATAGTCATCAACAGTCAAAGAGTTAAAAAGATAATGGCATAGTTTTATTTATTATATATAATTATATATTTTATTTGTTGTTTATATCTTATAGGTCAGATTTAAAGTAATGCAAATAATATGCAAAAGTATTTTTAGCTACAAACAGTTGACTCAATAATATATATTATTATAATAAATATATTTTATATATATTATCTTATAATCACGTACAGAGACAACAACTGCGTTTGTATTAAACTCGTTTTAAATATACTTGTATTTACTCTGATGCTCGGATACCTGAAATAAGTTTGCCGCAGTCCCATATGGCGATCACATAATTAAATTTGCGATAAGCACAAATCATATCTATAAGGTCAATAAAGTAGAATTTTAATTACATGAAGCCACAACTAAATTGATTTTATTGTAAACACAACAATACTGCAATATCTAAAAATGTTCAAAATATATAAACAATTTGTGATTAAAATAAAAAAGGTTACAGAAAAGAGTCTCAATTTAGTAACATGGTTCAAAACATTTAATTTAAAGCTTTCCTTTAACTATATTAATTGATTATTGAAAAATATAATTTCAGCAACGTGATTTTATTACTTCTTTCATGTGACACAAGATCAATTTAATTTAAGATAATTCTTTGCTTTTATTCAAAACATAATTAGTATGTAATGTTCATGGTCTTCTCTGATCTCATACACAGCTCTATGCATAAACAGCTTAGTTGACTCGTTAGCTATTGCTTTTGTTAAATTTAAGACCTTTCAAGTTTGGAGCCTGCTTTAACGTTAAATAATCAAGATTTATTAAAATTTTTTATTTTTTTGGAGAAATGTTAAAAACATTAACTACTTATAAATAAATGTAATATAAATAAATTCCATGTTTTCATTGAAGTAGAGTTGCTTTTTTATAAATAAAAATATGCACATTATTTAGCCAAATATTTTTTTCTGATGTCGGCACATATTTCTTTAATCTCGTCGTTCATTTGGAAAAGATAAAAAACTTAGTTCCTCACCAAGTCTAATGTTGAATGGATTGAAAAGTATCGTTGATACGGCCTACCATAAGTTGGAAATGTGCGCATAACAAATCTAATTAATTGTATCAAAATATCCATCAAGTTTTATACAAAAATTCGGAGGAAGAGTAAAGCGTAGCCTTATGCAAAAGTTTGTTCGTAAATATAGAACGAAGTATCCTAGAAGTTAGAGTTCGGTACAGTTACTGGAGTACTGAAAAAGGTGTTTCAGACTCAACAAATACGTATATGAGAAATCAGTATTTCTGTTTAGAAAAAGCAAACTTCTTGTAAAACAGCAAAACAAAAGTTCTTGATTATATTCATTTATTTGTCGTTAAACAAAGATCAATCATGCTTTCGAAAGACGTCTGCTATAAGATCCGCTCAACTAAAAGAGTGCTTAGTGTTCAGGTGTGGGTGGGTGGGCAGCAATATAAGCCAGAGATTTCAGGATCGCTTCTGGGATTGGGGGTGCAACGGGCAGACTTGCGCTGCTGGGCTGATATCCGTTCTCGTCAGCCACATACTTGACTTCGATCGCCTCACCCTCAGGCGATGTGAAGGCGTAGCTGCCATGGATGTTGCCCTTCTCATCGCCGCTACTCTGTATAAGGATGCCGTTGCTGGTTTGCAAAGAGGCGTCAAATCCATCTGCGCGCACATCGTCGTTGCGGTTTATGGTTTCAGCTTTCGACTCATCGCTGACTGGCAAGGCGACGGCCATGGCGATAACAGCGCAGATCAACACCTAGAAGGAGTTCAATTCAGTTTTATCACTGCCTATCCTTAGCAGTCTTCGAAATACTCACAAGTTTGAACATTTTGATTTGGATTTGTGCAGTGGTTGAATGTCGAGACAAGCTTTGACTGATGCTCCTCTCCAGATAGCCAACGGCTTTTATACAGTTTCCTCTGACGCAACTACGCCACAAATGTGCGAATTCGTATCGTAAATTTTTAATTGCGAATAGTATTGTCACGACGAATATCGAAACCTCTTTCAGGGACTTGGCCAAGTTATTTTGAAGCAAATGTTCATGAAAAATTGCTCAGATGAGAACTCGTTTTGTTCATGAACATTTGTAGACATGTGTGTATACATAACTAGTGTAACTATATTATAATTATAAATAGTTCTAATATATAGGGTGTTAGACGGTGTACGAAAATTATAGCACCTCCAATTAGAGTAGATAGAGCGAAGCTCTTCTTTCTAATTTTTTGCTAATTTAAAATGCTAAAGTGCAGCAATGAATGCTGGGGAAACAGGTTCATCCCATTTGACGAATTTATAATATTGAATTCTATTCACCAATTCGCACTTCAAGCAAAGACGGCTCCATTCCATAACAACAATACGAAACGCTAATGATAAATCAGAATTTTGAACATATTGAAGAATTGCCGTTTATGAATTTTGTATTTAGCTTCATCAAATTAATTCCACTGCAATTGTTTATATGCGAAATGTGTGAGAAGGTGATTGAAAGTGATGTTGATAATATGTTGAGGCTAATAAAATTTTAGTTCACTTAATTTAATGAACTTATTTGTGGCCTGTGACAAAATATTGTCATGATTTCGCGAATTACAAATATCAAAAATTTTTAGAATTGTTAAATTATTTGATTAAAGAAAATTTGCTGTAGCTATAAGCATAGATGTGGAATAGATTCAAGAAATTAATTTATCATGGGCGTCGTAGTTGCGGTTGAGTTCGTCTCTTGGCTGACTACATATTATATATATAAGATACTTCATCTGAAACTCAAGTCTCCTCTTCTGATTAACCAAAAACTATACATGACATACAGAAAAGAAATTATATATACAAAATAAATCGTCAAATTTACGAACAAATCACCGCCTTTACAGAGACTCATTATCTCTATAAATTATTTAACTGTGTATGTAAGAAGCTGTACGAATTATTTCCTCTAATAAGCATGGATTAATTGCTTTGCAATGCCATAGTTCAAGCAGCTTTTTTGAATATTTCCAATTTGTGCTTTGATCAGCAGGCCCGAATCTATCTTCATATGAGATAGGCTGAGTATCCAAAGTTAGGTTGAGGTACTCAAAGCTGAGCTTATTCCAAAGATTCTCTTCTGCCCTTTGGCTGCACAAAATTGTTAATCGAATGTAGATAGCTTCACACAGTTATAAATATGCTTACACAGTCATTGAAACAAATAATACTTTGATACGACAAAATGTTTTTTTTTTAATTTGTCATCAACAATGCACAAAATTCTTAGAAACTATCGTTATCATGGGAAGTCCTAGAGTCGAGTCCACATATACGATTCCGAATGCACTATTAAATGTCATTTAGTGCTCGGGTGCACCGGGATGGGCAGCCAGCCAATCGAGGGAGCGCTGGATGGCCTCTGGGATTGGTGGTGGGGTTGGGATCCATTCGCTCTTTGGCTGGTATCCGTTCTCATCGGCGATATAGGCAATATCGATGTGCTCGCCTTCGGGCGAAATCCAGCCGAATTTACCCTGGATGTTGCCGTGCACATCGCCGGACTCCGTGCGGGAGATGTGGTTGCTAGTCTCCAGGGCGGCATCGAAGCCATCGGCACGGACATCCTCCTTGCGGTTCAGCACCTCGGCGTGCACATCGTCACTCGATGGAGCCACTGGAGAGGCGGCGGCCAGGCCGATAACAACGCAGATCAACAGCTAGAAGAGGTGCAAGTCAATTGACCGCTGACAGTTCTAGGATTCCAGCTCAGATACTTACGAATTTGAACATTTTGATATGAATGCAGTTGGGGAACGTGAACTGAACGTTGACTGATACTCAGCTCTGTGGAGGCGTTGGTTTTTATACAACTCTCTCGCCCTGCGACTGGATGCTCCAAATTTTGCCAAGTGCATCAGAAATATTCATATATGTTCCAAATAACAAAGTACGGTTATAATATATTACAGACTTTTATTATCAAACTGCATTTATATCTAGAAAAAACTGGTGCTGCTGTCCCAAAACTCGTTTAGCTTCCAAGAAACTGCTATCAAATGATCAGAAGATCACGTTGCTAAGAAGAAAAGCAAAAAAGTTGACTGCAATCAAGTCGCAATTTCAGATTATCATGCTGACATATATATATATTATATATATAAAAAGTGGGCATGTCAATACAAGTCTTATACGTTTAGCCTTATAATATTATCAAATAGGTTCGTCTGCTCTCAAACTGTTGATTTCAAGTGCGCCTTAAAATAGGCAACTTTATTGTGAATCTTGCTGACTTTTATGGATTGAATGGTAGTGAGGATATATTGTGAACAACTGTCTCATATGTACAGAAAGGCTTAATATAAAGTGAAGGCAATCAAATCGAAGCCAATTTAAAACTATTTAAAACACTTCGTATATTAATCTAATCTAAGCACAAAGCAGACTAAGCACTCTTCTATACATACCTCAAATACTTTCCTGTATGAGGTGTTTATATATTTGTAAAGAACATTTTCTATTAAGTGTATATATAAAATCATATATAGATAGCTCATTAATATTTTTGTAGTACATAACGAAGAGTGGACTTTCTGCTTATACTCTTTTGACTTCTATATCTCTCCCTTTTACGACTCCAGTGAAATCTAGCTTCTAATATCATTCTACAACTTTCAATACCTAATTATTACTTAGTCAATACTTAACAAGCTTTATTGGTATATTTCGCTTTCAGCTTTTCATATAATCGTATAACTGTTTAAAAGCTAACTTTAGTATCCATCTTGATTCAGTCAGAATTATTTGCCTACCCTTAGGCTTGATTGAAGAGCCAAAAATAATTTTTGTTTTTTTAACCTGCAGCTTATAAGTATAATAAGAAGTGGAAAAAAATGTTCAGCTCGCTGATCAATTGATTGATGAATAATAGAGATAATATATAGTTAGTAGGCAAGTATCACATAACAAAGCGAGTGTATTAGCTTTGAGAAAATTTCATCCAGTTGTTGTTCGCTTTGTTTTGAATAAATGCAAGCTCTTTAAATGATGTTTTATATCCTGAATCTTTTTAAATTTGGGAAATATGCTTTGGCAATAACACACAGTTGTACGTCAATTTGATTAGGAAAGTAGAAGAAAATTTATTCAATAATAAAGTTCCCTTAATAAAGCCTGTTGCAGCCAAAGCGCAGTCGCTGCCCAAACTGCGCAGTAAGCAGAGCGCTGGCTTATGCATGCGTGTGTGTATGTGTGTGTGTGTATTGTATTGTATATATTCTAATATATGTATAAAAGAAGCCTAGAATGATGTGAATATCATCAACACCGGCTTCCGGGTATCTCCTAGTCGAGCAGGTTTGACTGAAGCACTCTTACTTGTTTATGCCCTGAATTCATTGAAAATGGGAATTTGGGTGAGAAATGTGCTCTGAGAATTTCATTAAGAAACTGCATTAAGAAGAGTAGTCTTACGTGTTTTTAATTATTTTGTACTAATGTGAAGTCTTGACAAACCGCGCTACAAATACTACAGAAACAGTAAACCGCTCGACTTTGAGAGCAGTTGTTTCAAATATATCTCAAATATATTATTATATCAAATATATATAGACTCCACTCAAACGCATTAATGTGTCCCCTAACTTACTGTGAGAGCATTGATATGATTATATGAGATAAGTAAAAATTTTGCGCTCTTTCAAACTAATGTTTTCCGATCTGTATCTACACAAACTAAACGCCCAATTCGAAGCTTTAATCGCTTAGCTTTCTAAACGACACAAGCTACCAATGACTTAAAGCATTTATATTAATCTTATTTGATTTCGAAGTGCTAACAGCCATGCTTGAGTGCATGCTTTAAAAATCTGCTAGCGTCGTGACTCTAACTGCAAGCAGATTCGCCGTATTTATGATTTACTTTAGAAGTCTGCGACAAAGATCTGCGAAACAGGTTTTTATATCGAAGCTTAAAGCAATTAATAGATTCGCCAGATATGTGTCTAATCGGAAATCTGAACGACAGCGAGCTGATGGAATAGACATCCTGGTTTATGTCTATCGTAAATTTGGTATTATTTGAAATAAAAAAAAAAAAAAACAAATAACAAAAAACTATTGAGTTTGTTTTAAAATGTATTTTGTGGCTTAGTTGCTCAAATTAGCATACGAATTGCCTTAAGATCATATTTAATATTTGCAAAAAATAATAATAAATAGTAAATTAATTCATTTTGGCAAAACAAGTTTTGAGGCGAGATCACGTTTTGAATGGCAGCTCATTATGAATTGGCTTGATCTAATTTTTATGGTGTTTTATATTGAGCAGCTCGCCTTTGTGACAAATGCGAACGAGTTGGCGAGCATGTGGCTCCATCCGCTATTGATGCACTTTAGCATTCAATAAAAGATTTGAACACTATATCATTATTTTCGAGCTCGCCTTCATTTGGCTTCGTTCGAGCGCTAATTTTTTAATGTGGGCGTGTCTGTGAAACCCATAACTCACAGTCTTAATTGTCTGATGCGCTTGGACACACGGCCAAAGCTGTAGCTGCTGCTGTATAAAAGCTGCCGCCTTGCCCGACTGCAGCATCAGTCAACGTTCGTTCTTCGTGTTCTACAACGGCCGAAAAGTAATCGAAATGTTCAAAGTAGTAAGTAGCTGGAACTTCGGGATTAGACAGATTCAATAGTCAATCTTTTGCAGTTGATGATTTGCGCCGTCTTCGGCATGGCTTTCGCCTCGCCCCTCAGCAGACCATTGCCCCACCGCCGCGTTGCTACTGTTTTGCGCGCAAGTCCCGTTAGCCGAAGCGATGATGTGCACGCCGAAGTGATCTCGCAGCTGTCAGATGTGCGCGCCGATGGCTTCGATTCAAGCCTGCAGACCACCAACTCGATCTCTCGCAATGAGAAGGGCGATGCTTACGGCAATATCTATGGCGACTTCGGCTGGATCGCGCCCGAGGGTGATCACATCGCGATCTCGTACGTCGCCGATGAGAATGGCTATCAGCCACAGGGCGATGCTCTGCCAACACCGCCACCAATCCCAATCGCAATCCAACGCGCTCTTGAGTGGATCGCAGCGCATCCAGCACCACCCGAGAAGTTCTCCCGCCATTAATTCTAAGTCAGCTTCGATCCAGTATAACTTGACTTGCTGCTGGAACTCTATTGAAAATCAATAAACTTTAAATAAAATCTAACAAACGAGAAATTGAAATATGCCGACGTTTTCTTATTAGACTTAAGACTTTTATATTCTCTTTAATTGCCTATTTAGCCTGCACTGCAAATTGAATTTATATTAAATTTAACGTGAGCGATTAGCATTTAATTAATTGAACAACGATTTCAGACACCTCGCTAGTGCCGAGTTGATTTTTACGATGCACTTACGATAATTTAGCCTGTATTAGCAAACAGACTGTGCTTAAACGATCGTAAATATTTTATGACTTGATATAGTTGGCTGCTTGAAAGACAATTTCAATTCTCTCATTGCAGCTTACTTGAGAACTTTGCTAAAATGGTTCAACGAAAATAACTACAAGAACTTACGTGTCTGGGCCGGGCCTTTGCCCTACGTAATGCTCATAGAAACCAAATATGTGGAGGTAAGCAAGCTCTGTAAATAACTCCTAGTTTTCAGTCTAACCTCCCTGCTGCAGCATGTGCTGAGCAGCACTGCTCTGACGTACAAATACGATCCGTACAACTTGCTCTATCCGTGGCTAGGCAGTGGCCTGCTCACTGGCAATGACCATCAATGGACAGTGCGCCGCAAGCTGATTACGCCGTCCTTTCACTTCCGCATCCTTAAGGACTTTCTGCACATTATGAACGAGACGAGCAGTCGCTTTATGAAGTTGCTGGAGCATGAGACGCACGCTGCCCAGGGCGAAGTGCTTGATATGCAGGCGCTGGTCACCAGGAGCACCATTGACGTCATCTGCGGTGAGTGGGGCCAGCTCAACTGAATATGCCTTTGTTGTCTATGACCACCCGCTGCAGAGACTGCCATGGGCACTCGAGTGAACAGCATCGAGGGACGACCATCCCCGATGGTGGACGCCATCGATAGCCTTTGTCACATCATCTCGGAGCGCGTGTTCTCGCTGTTTAAGCGCGCAGATGTATTCTTCAAGTGCACCACGCTCTACAAGCAACAGCAGCAGGCTCTGACTACAATACGTGTTGAGTTCGCTCAGGTTGGCAGTTAGTGCGCCCAACTAGTGGCCCCATATGAAACTCTGCTTTTGCTTTTCAGATCATTGAGCAACGTCGTCGGCTACTTCAAACGGCCGGCTACCAAGCTGCACAGCTGGACGACGAGCTACTGGACGCCAAGCGACCCAAAATGGCATTTCTCGACAATCTACTGACAGCCGAGGTGGATGGCCAACCGTTGACATTTGAGCAAATTTTTGAGGAAGTTTCCACATTCATGTTCGAGGTGAGAAATCCATAACGAAGAGTCTCATTAGCACTAATGCAAATGAACGTGGGATTATTATTATTTAAATAAGCATTTTTAAAGCAACAAATTTTATTACAGATTTTAAATTTGTTGTTGACAAATATTAAATAAAATATTTTTAATTTACAAATTTTTTTTAATGATGTCTACTAATATTAGATAATCAAAATTCTTTTATTAATTGGTCATAAATTAGTTTATGATTAACTTTATTATCAACTTTATTCTTTGTACTCTAAAAGAGCCGTATTTTATATGAATTATATTTAAGTCTCTGTCTGAAATGAAATGTGTATAAATATGAATATGATATAATATGAATTTATTAATTATTTTGAATGCTTAGGGCCATGATACAACTGCCTCGGCAATCACATTTGCCATTTGGTGCTTGGCTTGGTCGCCAGATGTGCAGCAACGCGCCTTTGAGGAGCAAGCGCAAATGTACGCCACGGCAGATGGAGCCGAGCGCCATCCCACATACCAGGAGCTGCAGGATATGAAGTACTTGGATCTTGTCATCAAGGAAACATTGCGTTTGTTTCCCAGCGTGCCATTCATCTTTCGCACTATCCGAGAGCCGACGGTCATAGGTGAGTGCCTAGGGCTTAAGGCTGTTGCCATTCAACTCTTAACTATCTGCTCCGCAGTGGACAAATACATGCCCAAGGGCACGACGCTCGTGCTGCCCATTCTAGCCATTGGCCATAGTCCTCACAGCTTTGAGGCGCCCTACGAATTTCGCCCGGAACGTTTCGAGGCAGCGGAGCGCACGCGGGCCAATGCCTTTGACAATGTGCCATTTAGTGCTGGGCCCAGAAACTGCATAGGTTTGCTTCATTCATATGAGATATTTAACTTTGACTCAAGCATCCGTTTGCAGGTCAAAAGTTTGCGCTGTTGGAGCTGAAGGTAACGCTGTCGAAATTGCTGCGCAGATTCCGTATTCTGCCCGCTCCCTTGGCCAAACAGAGCATAGCCCAGGTCTTCGATCATAAATATAAGCCGGGTCCACAGGAATTGAAACTTCACTTGCCCATTACACTGAAGTCTTTAAGCGGTGTGCCCGTTCGACTGCAAAGGCGTTAGCTTTTGGGGACGATTATTATTATTATTTAAACAATTTTTTTCTATGAAATATTTATAGGCAAGTGTCAGCTACAAAGTACCTTGAGTTCTTCTTATATGTGATTATAATATTATAATATTGATATAAAATTTAACGAACAGGAATTCAGTTATAGCTTTAGATCTAATTTGTATCATGAACACGTTCAAATGTAGGACGAACTAAATCTAATTTGGTTGGGCTTGAATTTATTATTATTCTCAGAAAATATTGCAAAAGGTATTTGTTTTATCATTTATATTGTTTTATTTATAGTATATTTTTTTTATATAAATTTAAATATTATTTACTGTATATAATATTTAAATATTAATTAATTTATATAATAGTGTAATATTTAAATACTATTTACAGTTTATAATATTACAAATTATTTACTTTATATAATATTTTAATATACATTTAATACTCATGTAATTTATTTAATTTTAATTTTGAGAAAAAGGTGGAAGGCAAGAATGGTGTAAGGCAGCCAAAAAATAATAGTAAAATATATAAAAAATAGATTTCTTTTATGAATATGTCAGAGATTTAATTGATTCACATTAAATGAGAGAAGAATGAAGTAAAGCAAAGGTTCAATGGCAACTGCATAGAATAATATTAAAAACTCTCCCGTCGCCTGCAAATATTTGTATTAAAAATATAAGAATTCTTACAAATTATCAAAGAGCTTACAGCATCAACTGAAAATATCCAAGTGGAAGAAACAATCAAAGTAAATTTGATATGAAAAAAGAAAAATATTAAATATTAAAACAAACAAAGCCTTTGTCGTGATGTGAACTCATTGTTATAGCATATATATTTAAGTGTATAAATTAAATGTGATGAGCTCTGGAACATCTTCAATTACGTTGAATATGTGTGGTTGATAGAGTCCTTTATTGCGCTGCAACTCGTTGTTTGAGCCGGATTTGTATGCCATTTTCAGATTTGAGCGTTACACGAATGTTGAGCACCGGATCGTATTCGCTCTGTGGCACGCAATCCACTCGCGTGTGGTCATTGATGCCCGGCGGCAGACCATCGACGGCGGGCAGTATTTCAAAGTGTCGCAGCAGGAGAGAGAGCAATGCCTGCAGCTGATACATGGCAAACTTTTCGGCTGTTGGGCGGAGTAAGTGAATGTCAAGTCGGGAGCTGGCAGCGGCGGTTAATGCTTACCGATGCAGCGTCTGGGGCCAGCGCTGAATGGCACACTCTTGAAGGCCTCGATGCCGCTGTTCGTGTTGGCCTTCTCGAAGCGTTCCGGCCGAAATACACAGGGCTCGTCGAAGTACCGTTCGTTGTAGCCCATAGCAATGAGGCACATGATGACAGTTGTGCGCTTGGCTACCTTTGTGCCGTCTGTATGAGATAATAAAGGATGAATTGAACTCTCAACAGCTTCGATTACGTACTTATGTCTATGGATTTGCGATTGGTGCGAGCTATAAGCGGCACAGCTGGATACAGACGCATCGTTTCGCGTATTACCAGCTCCAGATAGTGCATTTGCTCGAGTCGCGCTATATCCGCCTCTGCAAAGATATCCTGGCCAAAGATACGCTGCTGCTCATCAAATGCCTGCTGCTGTATCTCCGGGTGACGCGACAGCGTGTATATAGTAAATGAGATGGCCGAGGCGACGGGATCGTGGCCCTATTGAAGAACATTTTAGATGTTGCTATATAGATTCTATATGCATTTTCTACTTACTGTAAATATAAACGTGGATAATTCTTCGATTATATCGCGATCTTTGAGTGCGCTTCCATCAAGCTTGGCGGACAGCAGAACATCCATGAAAGGTTTATTTTGGCTAACTTTATTAGCGGACAACTCCAGTTTCCGCTGTGCTATTGTCTAAGGGAAAAGTGTGCGAGTTGAGTTTTATATTTCAGTTATTATTTATCACAACTCACCTGCTTAATTTCGCGCCTGAGCATTTGTAGTGCGCGATGTTGCTTCAGGTAGTAAGGACTCAAACGGAAAAGCGCATCACAGCGCTTGACTATGCTGAAGGTGCGCTCCTGCACGACATCACAGAGGCTAAGAGGGTCAATAGAATAGATTATTAATATTATGACATTAGCAAAAATTCTTAAATCAAAAACTTACTCCTTGATGGCGCTATGCAGATCTGAGGGCTCATCGTTCAACGAGTTGCTAGCCCTTCCGGTTGCGTTCTCTGTTGTGAGTAGAAACTTTAACTTTGTAAGATGTTTATTCAAACTCTTTAAGCATAGGCGGCCCTTCGTCAGCAAGAAATAAATAAAATATGTGTTACTTTAAGATTTCTTATCGGCTTTACTAATTTTTCAATTGCTTCAATATTTCATGTTAACATTCTCCGACGCCTCACAAGCATATAGACTCTGCTCTGCAAAACTTTTTCACCACACAATCTCTGGCACTTGTAGCAATTTTCTATGTAATAAATCTTTTTTATAAAATGGCCATAATAAATTACAAAAATAAACGAGTGCAACGCTGCGCCAACCGCAACCTAGAAAGTTAACCAAAACACAAAATGCCCATGACAAATGCTTAAAGTTTTTTCCAACGGAATGTCTGCGCCCGCAACCTGAACATGCTCCACATCCCAGCAGGCAGCAGTAACCACCTACCACACACAATATCCAGTGTACACTTGGCCACCAGCTCCTGGGCGTCGAAAGGCTTTGATGACTCCGACTGCTGGCGTAGCTTCTCCACAAACCGCTCCCCGGTTCGATGCACGACACGCAAATAGCCCTCGATGGCCGAGCGCTCGAAAGCCGGCGCATAGATTTTCTGATGCTTCAGCCAACGGGCACCGGAACTCGTGAGCAGGCCATCGCCCAGCCAAGGGCGTAGAAAGGAATACAAGTGCTCCTTGTACAGCAGTGAAGAGCTCGACAACATGTTCTGTCAATGGCCACGTAAGTGTTTAGCTTGCAGCTAAGTGGACTGTGCAGCACTCACCTGAATTTCCGCCGGATCACTGAGCATTATATGATACTGCAGGAAGACCAACGAGCGATAGCCATGAAAGTCATATTTTCGACAATATTGCAATATCTTCTTCGGATACTCTATGGAAAATAAAAGCAAATGAATTTGAGTCAGTTCTCTCACGTCTAATTCTAAGAATTTATTTTTATATTTTTGTAAATTTACTTTCGACTTGAAATACCCATGTAAGCCATAGCATAATTGGTTTCTATATCATTCTTGATAATTGAGTTCTCGTTCGCATTTGGCAGCTCAATTTCCAAGGCTCACAACTTGCCAAAAGCTGTAATTTCCTGTGAGAACTAGTTTGTTTTAATAGTTTTAATAGACTGCTTGTTGGCAGTCCTTTGCAGGGCCAACTAATGCTAAGAGTACGCATTATGCTGCTTACAATTCAATTTGCAAACTTGATTCGCTTACAGTGCAGTTATCTAATGAAGTTTTCAGAGAGCGAGTTAGAGTGAGAGTGCGTCTTAATGAGTTTTGACTTTATTAGATTTACTTTTTTATGATTATGTTATGCATGGACTTTACCGCAACTTAATATGGAAACAGTTTCAAATGTAATTCCAAATGCACAAAGCGAGCCAAGAAAATGAAAAAGAAATGAGCAAACCGACAAGTATCTGTGAGTGTAAAATCAAACAAGGATAATGGCAATGGCAGCAGCCAGCAGGATGCCTACACTGCAAGCGCACAGACGGCTGAAGGGTGCCCGGAGGAGCCACCCGATGTCATCGAAGCATGGCAAAGCTATCAATTGTTGAGCAGCGTTTTGTATTCCAGCTATTGTGCATTTGGAATGATTACTTGGCAAGCACGTTCAGGAGAAACAACACCAAAATTACTCAGCAAATTGTGCGGGCGTCTTGCCTACCCGGCTCGCCCAAGGGAGCGAGAACAGAATCTGATGAAAATTGCTAGAAATATTGCAAAGCTAACAAAGTGCATGCTGCTGAAACAGATACATCTTCATATTTATATAAATTGAGATAATAAAACCGTGCATCCAGATCTTAATGTTGCAAGTGGAACTGCAGCAAAAAATATGAGAAAATAACAATTTCATACATGCGTCGAAATAGTGCATAAATATAGGCTGCGAGCTGGGGGCTCTATCTATTATGCTTACCGGCTGGCTTCAGTCCGAACTGAAAGATATTGCCCACAAACGGATATGGCGTGGGGCCCGGTATCATTTCCATAATGCCGGCCATGTGATCTATGTAATTGAATATCCTCACGCCCTTGACCACCAAAATGGTGGCCAAAAGAATGGCCAATGCTAGCAGAAACATTGTACGAACCCTGACTCGATTCTAGTTCAAATAAATATATATAAATATTTCACAATATCTGTCCGTTCTATTCGCAGTTCGTTTGCTTACTGAACGACCTCGATAGAAAGCGGTCTTAAGTTTTTTGCCAAAATGTCGTAGGCGAACTTGCGATAACATAATCGATAGCTTATCTAACTGTTAGCTACCCACCGCCCCTTACACGGTGTTTCGCACTGTAAACACACTCATCAAACGGCAACCGTTCGAGACAATCATAACAATTAGAGCTAGTCAATTACAGCAGTTTTCAATTACCTGTTCAATTATTGCACCTGGTTATGGCCGCTGCTTGTAAGATAACTGTCATAATTAATAACCCAATTAACAGTTGCATTGACTCACGCGTCAATTTCAATTATGACGTGTAAGTCCAAGGGTCACCTCATAATTAAACTGATAAGGCCAATCAGTTTGTGTAGCTTGTGTTTGCTGACAAAAGACTACGAAATTGCAACTTGCGCCGCAATATCAAGTAAAGGCTTAATAATATTTTGATAAATACCTAAATTATGGGACAGCTTTTAGAGTTTATAAATAGTATATATACCATGAGAATTTTACACTAGCTGCCTGCTAATAGACATCAATGCATGTCTTTGTATAAACTTTCGAATTGAATACCTTTATAAAAATCTCCTTTTATATCTTATATATTTTATATATTTAATACATAGAAATTTTGCTGTAAATTAAGCAAAATTATTAAGTGAATTAATATCGATTTTTTAAATTTTTATTGATTACAATTTTGTTTTCTTCTCTCAGTCATACAGCTTTCTTTAGTTAATAAACTGGGTAATACTTGTTTTTTAGAGCCTTACAACTTTGAGTTGGCAAACTTTGTTTATTTGATAATATATTCAACAATTTATGGTTGCTCTTTGTTGAGTTTAGCTTGACAGCTTATATTTGACAATCTTACATCATAGTAACGCTTGCAAATTATTAAAATTTTAAAAGAATTGTTGCATTTATAGTAAGAATATTTCCCAAATCTTTATCTTAACGAAATTACATTCACAGAAAGTTAGTGAGTGCTGAGCTATGCATTGCTTTCGGCGACTAGTCTCATTTTTAAAGTTATACTAATATATTAATATCATATAATTTTCCATTTAAATTAAATTTACTTTTATTGATATTAAAAAACTATTACTTTATTTTCATTCATTTGAGCGTATGAAACGTTAAATAGAATTTCGATGCATATTTTTCACACTTAGCAAAGACCCAAACCCTCAACAACGTGCATGAAAATCTTGCATACTTTTAGGTGCCACTCATAAAATTAGCTGTGCTGATAACAAAATATAAACAAATATTGCTCTTCACACTGTGTTTTTCAGACAGAAGAGTGGATCTCTAATTTGTCTCTCTTTAGTTGTTGTTCCAGTTTGTTTATGTTTTAGCCGCTGATAATTGAAAATTAAACAAAACAAATGTTGCCGAACCGAACTCTCTTCAGTACATATTAACACGAGTTGATAGTTTGTTTCAATATAACAAACGCCGCGAAGCTGATAGTAAATGTTTGTTGTCTTGTGATATCTTGAAAATGTAATCCAGTCTGGGAGCTGTTGCATTGCTGGCTCGCTCTCCTACTGAGCAAAACTTCTTATCTGACGCCGAGTTTTATTTCATATCCAACACGAGCTGTCCATTAGGCTAAACAACAGCGAAATACTTGTTAAATGAGATGAATAATGTATTACATTTGATTTGTTTATATTCTTATTGCACACGCCTGTATAGATTAGTAATTTTTATTATGTCATATAAATACACAAATGCTTATTATAATATATATATATTATAGTTTATAGTATTTGTTAATTATAGACACAACTTTTGCTTCTAGTTACCTTCTAGGGCCAGCTCTGATATTGATGGTATTATAATAAAAAATTAATGTTATGCTAATTATATATAATATATTATATTATAAATTTTAACTTATTGAAAATATTATATCTGAGTTACATAAACTTATATGGACTCTGGTTCAACTATTCAACTTGTGCTGAGTGGATTTATAAAATGAAATGGAATAATAATTAACTATTTAATATAAGGTCTACGAGAATTCTATAATTATAGTAACGAGAAATATATATATATATATACATATATACATATATATATATAAATATATATATAAGCAAAAAAAAAAATATATATATAGATTATGAGACAGAAAACTTTTATTGACTCTGCTTAATCTTTACGAGAGGATCTTCTATTAAAGCGCATTGCAATTTTTTTTATAGAAATATTAAAAACTTTATGCCTTATTTTGTTACACAAAAACTGTTCGTTAGACTTAAAAAGTACTTTTTAAATTTCAAGTTTATTTCACTAAAGTTCAAGAGTTTTTCTCACTTATACGCAAAGTTTGATTTGAAAATAAAGCTTTGGTACACACTGAGTATGGGCCCAGGTTGCTTTACAGTATTGAAGAGAGAAATCGTTTCGATGAGCCATTTAAAAAAGTTTAAATATATAAATAAAATGTAAAACTATAACAAAAAACGAAAAGAAATTTTGAATAGACTAAAAAGTGATTCACGGAAAATGCAGGTGCCTTTGAAGCACTTGCGCTTCTTATTATTATTTAGTCTAGCTAAAAATGATTTTAATTTTTGTTTTTTTTTTTTTTTTTTTTTTTTTTTTTTTTTTTTTTTTTTTTTTTTCTTTATTTTGTTGCAGCTTATTGTCTTAGACTCTATAGCGCATTTAGCTCTAAACCTTAACTAATGGGAGGGCAGATATGCCAATTATTCTGCACTTGTAGCTACTATCTTAATTAGTTCTTATATTGTCTAGAGGATGCAATCTCTTCAGTCTTCGCCTATTGTTGTTTATAGCCAGGTTGCTTGCGAGATGGTTAGGATGCGCTGCAAGTCTGTCCGCGTATCTTGAACTGTGTCGCCCAATGAGTTCAGCAACTGTGGGAATTGCTAAATCCCTATGTAAGACTGAGTTTCTTACAAACCAGCTGGCTCCAGTCCATCTGCGTAGTGCTTTATTCTGCAGGGTCTGAATTTTGTTCCTTGTAGTCTTCGCCGAGGAGCCCCATAGAGAGATACCATATACGAAGGTTGGGACAACTATTGCCTTGTAGATGGCGGCCTTGCTGCTGTAAGACAACTTGCTTGAAGCTCTCAGCATCCAGTCGAGGGTTTTTAGCTTGCTTTTGCATTTTGAGGTTACTTGACTTATGTGCGCTTTAAAAGTCAGCCTTCTGTCAAGAGTGATACCAAGGTACTTTACTTTTGAGGCTTTGGGAATAGTGGGCCCCAATGCAACGCTTGGGCAATCTCCTCTTCTAGTGGCGAAGGTAGTATGTACAGACTTTTGTGCATTAATGGTGATACACCACCGTTTTGCCCAGCGTCCGAAAGAGTCCAGATATTTTTGTAGTGAGTCTGAAGCTTCTTGCGCAGATACGTGACGTGATAAGATGGCGGTGTCATCTGCATAGGTCGCTATGAGTACTGCATCTGTACTTCCTATATTTGGCTCGGGAGTTGGCATATCTCCTGTGAATAAAGTATAAAGTGTTGGGCCTAGAACACTACCCTGTGGTACTCCAGCCATAATTGGTCTAGTCAAGGATACTGCTTGCCCCCTTGACACTTGGAAGGTTCTTCCAATAAGGTATGAGGATAGCAACGCGAAAAATGGGGCTGGAAGGGTGGTCCTCACTTTCTGCAGCAGTCCCAGGTGCCAAACTCGATCAAACGCCTGTTTGATGTCTAAAAAGACGGCAGAGCAGTACATCTTTTCTTCAAAGGCTCCAAGGATATGGTGCACAACTCTGTGAACCTGTTCCGGTGTTCCATGCTGTCTCCTGAAGCCAAACTGATGGTTTGGAATGGCCTCCTGGCGTCCCAGATGTGTCAGTACTCGTTCCAGAAATATTCTTTCGAATATTTTGGAGAGTACTGGCAACAGGCTAATTGGTCTGTACGACTCAATTTCTCCCACGGGTTTGCCAGGCTTAGGAATCATCACAATCACGGCGCGCTTCCAGCAGGCTGGAAAGTGCCGGATGCGGAGCATGGCGTTGTACACCATAGTTATGTAGTCTATGGTGGAGTCAGGCAGTGCTCTAAGGACTCTGCCGTTTATTAGATCATATCCAGGGGATTTTTTTGCCTTCACTCTTCTGATGTGTTCAAGAACCTCTTCTTTTGTACATCCAGTTATCTGGTCTTCAGCTGGGAGGGGCGAGAGAACGATGTCTTCTGTTGCTTCGATTTCTGAGGCCTCTGCGGTAATCACCGGCGTGAATTGGTCTTGAAGGTGGTTTGCAAAAGCCTCAGCTTGAGCTTCGTCACCAATGTGCCAGGAACCAGAAATGCTCCGAATGGGATGTCGACGTATTGGCTGCCGTTTGAGCTTTCTTGTAAATTTCCATAATTGAAACTCTGCGTCAGTGGGCGATTCAGCTCGTACCAGCGCATCGCTGATACACCTCTTTTGAAGCAGGGCGAGAGCAGCTTTAAGATGCCTCGTGGCTTCGTTGTACGTGGATTTGGCATCAGGCGTGCGTAATCTTAACCAGCGTCTCCTGGCCCATCTTTTGTGTATTAGTAGGTGTTGGGCCTCCAAGGTGAGGGGGATGTTGTACGGAGACTGTTGTCTTGTTTGGCAAGATGGTGGGGCGGCTTGGTGCGCAGCTTTGACTATTTCTTCCTGCAGTTTGTTTGCTGCGTAGTCCACGTCTTCAGGAGTGTTAAGTTCCATTTCTATGTGCAAAGAGTAATGGAGCTCGCGCCTAAAGACTCCTAAATCTGATCCTGCTGGCAGTAGTTGTTTCCTAATGGGCAAGGGCTGTGGCTGCGCGTGGATTGTGACTATTAGTGGCAGGTGGTCAGAGGATAGGTCCAAGGATTCTTCAATGGTCAATTGCCGGTCACAGATGCCTTTGTAGACAGCGAAGTCGATTGCCGAGGGCCTGTGTCCATTAATTGGGTAACGGGTGGGGGCTCCAGTCGCCAATATGCTGAATTGTAAGTTTTGAATCGCCTCAAATATGACTTCTCCGCGACGATTCGCACTATTGCTTCCCCAAAATGGGTGCCATCCATTCCAGTCGCCGCCGATGAGGGTCTTATTCAACCTTTGGCCTAGAACCTGTTCCATGTGATGATCACACAGACCAGTGTTTGGCGGAAGATAAATTGACGCAACTTCGATCGCTCCAATAGACGTAGGCAGGGTGATGGCTGAGACCTGCATTGTTGCGTTGCAAATTGACAGTAAAGGTGTATGCGGTATTGTTGCTCGTATGAGGATTGAGGATCCACCAAAGCAGTTTGCTCCTTCACCATGAGCCTGATAGTGTTCGTATCCGAAAATTTGTGTAGTGGGGCACTCATGAGTTTCTGTTATTAACATTATATCTATGTTTTCTTGTGAGAGAAACGCAGCCAGTTCCTGAGTCTTGTTTCTCAGGCCATTGGCGTTCCAGATACCCACACGTAAAGCCATTATTTGTAGGCAAGCTTGGTTATGATGGCCATTAAACTGTTTAGCATGGTTGCTTGTTGGGATTGTACTTCTCGCATCGCTTTGAGCTCGGCATTAATTGCGTCAAACTGACGTTGTTGTTGCTGAAGCATTTCAGTGAACAAAGTGTCACTTGTGGTATTCTTATTTGACGGTCCACCTCTAGCGGCCTGTGCGTAAGAAACACCACTAATAGGCGTTGCAAAGCTCGTGGCTTGGGTAATGCTCCGGGGCCTTGTAATTTCGGAAGCAGTACTCGGACCCGTAGACGGTGTTTGTGTGGGACTCCTTTTTTGTGCTGGGGATTGCAATTTGCGCAACCGCTTGTATACTTGGCAGCCCTTATAGTTGGCTGGGTGCTGTAACTCACAGTGCACACAAGTTGGTGCCTGGTCCTTTTCGCGGGTGCAGTCTTTGGATGCGTGTTTCCCGGCGCAACGCACACACCTGGGAGCTTTGTGGCAGTAGCGTTGTGTGTGTCCAAATTCTTGACAGCGATGGCATTGTGTCAGGTCGTTGTATCTTCTTGGCAGTTCCACTGTGCAGCGTTGCCTGCAGACAACTCGAATGTCCAAAATTTCTTTGTTGTTGGGGGCCTGAGCCACGTCAACAAAAAATATATTTAGCGGTGTTTTGTCCATACGGCTCAGTGGGTTGTGCACATTTGTAATTGTGTGGCCTTTGGTTTCCAATTCCTTTTTAATTAGTGTTGTATCAGTGCTGGAGTGAAGCCCTTTGAACACGACTCTATATGGTTTGTCCTCCTTAAGCTGGTAGCAGTGGAACTCCAATTCCAGCTTAGTAAAGTGGTCTATAACTCTGCGATAGTCCTCACTGCATTGGGTTAATACACCTATGTTATTCTTCTTTGGCTTAATTACGTATGATTTAGCATCAATTACTTTATCTATTATCTGTTGAAGTAGGGCCACAGACTTGATGTTTGGACACCATATGGGGGGCGGACGAGGTTTCGGTGTAGTTTGCTGGTCGGTCAATACTGGGGCTTCTGGAGCTACAGGTGATTCGCTGTAGTCTTCATCTTCTTCTACGAGCAGTGAAAATCGATTTTCTGATATTAATGCTGCATTGCTGGTGCTTGGTTCGTCGAAGATGAGCCTTTTCTTGATGGTTTTTGGTGAATTTGGCTGTTTACGTTTCGTGTTTTTGTTGTTAGTGATGCCTTGCACGGAGGCGATATCTATTTTTGAGTTTATTGGCATGATGGAGGCTTGCCTATTTGCCATCACAACGTTAAGCTGGGCTTGCATTTCTGCATTTACCTTTACAGCTGTAGCGCGGTCATTGACATTAGATGTCATCGCGGATTGTGCTTTTGAGTGCAGGCGCACTCGCGCCAAGCGACGAAATTTCGTAAATTACAATTAAAGCAATTGAGTTACGCGGAAGCAAGCGATAAGAAAACGCTGCGTGTGCGGTTTTTGTTGCTGTTGCGTTGAAGAATGCACCGCAAAGTTCTATTTTTAGAACTCTGCAGCAGTAGAGCTTAAGCGAAGGCTGTTCGAATTCACGTCTTTACAGGTCGAACGACTGATCGCGATTGTTAATTTTTTTTTTTTTTTTTTGTTAATCCATTTGCTTTCTATATCACATTCATCCACATTGAGCACAGTGCCTTCTCATTGTCTCACTCTCTCATTGTTTCACTCTCTCATTTGGTTTTCTGTCAACTCATTATGATAAGCTGAAACCCGCGAGTTATTCGAAGTTGTTTGCTCTGAGATGCAACTACCGATTTCGTATTTAAGTTGTGCGCAGCCTCAAGCTGGTAGTATTTCGTATCTAGTGCTTAACGAATAAACACGACTTTAATCGAAATTTCGTTGAATTTTTCGATTGCTTCCGCGAGTTCGTCGCGTCGTTTCCAAAAATGTGGTTAATCGTGTATGCATTTGTAGCATTGCCACTCACTTTGTATGTGTTTCTCGAGCTGCGCGTGGCCAAAAAGAAACGCCTACTGAACAAGTTGAATGGCCCGTCCGCAGTGCCGTTCCTTGGCAATGCCCACCAAATGGGCAAAAGTCCATCGGGTAACTGGAACATTAAATTAATAGTTGAAAAGAAAAAATGTTGGAAAACTTTCAATGGCTCATTTAACTCGCTAATTGCCTTCTCTCGAATTGCATTATGGCCGATGACAATTCTGTAATATCATCAGTTGAAATGCCATTCGGGTCAAAGCATTTATGAATTGGCAACGAGCAACAGCTTCAATATCAGATCTGCACAGCAATTGTCAGCCATAATTTTCACTGATAGCTGTGGCAGCTGTTGCCATGAATGTTCATTACTTTGCTAATAGCTTTTGGTTTTTTTTTTTTTTTTGAATTAAGAAATTCGTCTGGAAATAAACACAAATACAAATACAACACGTGTTAATTATCACTAGACACGCTATTGAAAGCATTGAAACACTGGCTAACAGTTTGCTTTACTCTTAAGTCAATTATAATTATTTGTTATTATTAATTTTATATTGATTACATATTTTTTTATTTTTACCTTTATATTTTTATAATTTTTTTATTTGCTTATTAGTCTAGCAGCAAGACTACAAATTAGCATTAGACTTAAACATAAGACAAATATAATTTAGTTTTTTATTATTTTGTAGTTTTGGAACTACTGTTTTAAAACTTTAATATTTTTAAAATTTTTTTATTATAATTAAATAATTATTTATATGTGTTTCATAGTTTTTTTTTTAATTTTTTATTTTTTTAGTAAGACATATATATATAATATATATAATATACATATATATATAATTGTTTAGCATAATTTTGTTATTTTATTCACATTAGAATCATGTGTGCGCATTTTTATAGCCTATATCCATTGAATACCTTGCGTTATACTAAAATATATCTCACTTAGGTATGCATAATATAAATGATGAGTTAAATTAATATAGATTCTAGTTGTCTCACTGACGCTCTAGAATTAAAAATGTATATATGCGCCACACGCCAATCGTTATTCATCTCACATATTCCCAGCATCGATTAAGACTGGTATGGAGAGTTTTGTTTTTTTAGGCATAAATCGGAGCCTATTTATTATATAATGAGCGCAATTTTCGCATGCAAATAGAAATCCTATGAATAAATATAAGCTCAGCAAATACAGTTATATAAAAATAATTGAGAATGTGTTAAGGCACCTGTCAATTAGGTTCAATGTGTCTACTAGTCGATCACTCCCAAGTAGTGCTCTGATGTTTGTTGTGCTTTTAACTTATTGTTCTAAGGCAAATTAGTCTCAAGTCCGAAGCAAATACAAATGGGAATAGTTGCTGATTAAGTTGTCTGTCAATCAAGACATTTAATTAACATATCTGGCTGAACAATATTCATTTAAGATTTATAAAATTAAACAAATTGTTTTTCTAACTTTCTTTTTGTTTATTTTCATTTTAATTATGTCAAGAAATAACTAAAAATTTAATGTGTGATTCGAAACGGACTTTGTCGTTATAAAATACTGATTGAGTAATATTCGTGTAGTTAAAAACTTCGAAGACTTTTGATAAGAACTTAGTATTGGACTAACTACTGTTTTTATTGTTGAGCATTGCTTTTAATGATAAGTTACTTTCGCGCTGAGCGCTGACAAACATCAGACAGTAATAACTATATGCGATTCGACTTTGAATTTAATTATATACAATTAGCATTGGCAGAGGAACTGGATTGTGTATCATAAATGTCATAACTTATTGGAAAATGTGCTTATTGGAAAATTGCCTGCACTTAAGTATTAAATGATAGCTATTCATAAATTAGCTGTGATGATCGTATAATTGTTTTGTCAATTAAAATGCAATTTTATTACTTTAATAACGCCTAGAAATTCTGAACACCTTCTTTGAGTTCTGGCATAAATATGACAAGGATAACTTTCGATTTTGGATCGGATACTATTCGAATATATTTGTGACAAATCCCAAGCATCTGGAGGTAAGTCTCGAGTGCATAGTTTTTAGAGCTTTCCTAATTGATACTTCTATTCCTTGTTCAGGTCATAATGAACAGCAATACGCTAATAGAAAAGTCGGATATCTATGAAATGTTACATCCTTGGCTGGGCGAGGGGCTGCTGACGAGCAAAGGCAGCAAATGGCACAAGCACCGCAAGATGATAACGCCTTCATTCCATTTTAATATACTCCAAGACTTTCACCAAGTCATGAACGAAAACTCAGCCAAGTTCATTAAGCGGCTTAAGGAAGTTTCGGCTGGCGATAATATCATAGACTTTCAGGACGAAACGCATTATTTAACCCTGGATGTCATCTGCGACACGGCCATGGGAGTGCCGATTAATGCAATTGAACAGCGAGACACCGTTGAAGTTGTGAAGGCCTTTAAGGAGTAAGTATCTCTAAGCCCTTCGCTCGAGCCACCCACACTTACAGACTGTCTCGTTGTAGCATGTGCTACAGCATCAACATGCGGGCATTTAGTCCTCTGAAGCGTTCCGCCCTGCTTTATCGGTTTGCCCCCGATTACGCCGCCAACGCGAAGACCCTGAAAATTCTGCAAGATTTCACTAACGACATCATCGAGAAGCGCATTAAGGCCCATCGCACGGGCGCCGCCAAGACGAATGAAGGCAGCGAGTTCTCCCGCAAGAAGATGGCCTTTCTGGATACTCTGCTCTCGTCCACTATTGATGGGCGCCCTTTGAACCAGCAGGAGATTTACGAGGAGGTCTCCACATTTATGTTTGAGGGCCATGACACGACAACATCGGGCGTAGCATTTGCTGGCTACATACTCTCCAGATTTCCGGACGAGCAGGTAACGTGCAATTACCCGAGCCGCCTAAAAGTAGATTAAAATTTGTTGTTCTGCTCGCAGCGAAAGCTTTTTGAAGAACAGCGAGCCGTCATGGGCAATGAGCTGCATCGCGATGCCACATTCCAGGAAATCTCCCAAATGAAATACCTGGATCTCTTCATAAAGGAGGCGCAAAGAGTCTATCCCAGCGTCCCCTTCATCGGTCGCTACACTTAGAAGGATTACGATATACGTAAGCTAGAGAATTCATAGCTAATATTTCAGATCTCAAATCTCACTCTCTCTTATTTATTTACAGTTGGCACCATTATGCCGAAGGGCACCACCCTTAATCTGGGCCTCATCGTTCTGGGCTACGATGAGCGCATTTTCAAGGAGCCACATCGTTTCACGCCGGAACGATTTGAGCAGCAGAAACCGGGGCCCTTTGAATATGTTCCCTTTAGCGCAGGTCCACGCAATTGCATTGGACAAAAGTTCGCTCTGCTGGAGCTGAAGACTGTCATATCGAAGCTCGTGCGCACCTTCGAGGTGTTGCCCGCCGTGGATGAGCTGCTTTCCAAGGATGGTACTCTGAACACCTATTTGGGCCTGCCCAAGGAGGAGAAGGAAAGGAAAGAGCGACAGGGCCACAAATACGATCCCATCCTATCGGCTGTCTTGACCCTAAAATCAGAGAACGGCCTTCATCTGCGCTTGCGTGAAAGGAAATAGGTGCTCAGCCTTTATTATTATTATTTGTTAGCAGTTTATTATAATTAAAAGTTAGTTGATAAACCAACTGAATCTTTAGTTAATGGCTACCAAAACGGTGCCCACATTGGGGTTGGCCACAAAGGCTGAGGTCGTCACGGTATCGCCATTTGTATACTGCGACTGAAGGGAGCTGGTTATGACCTCTGCCTGTGCGCCCAAGCTGAAATACTTGGTGAGGTCCAGAGTCTTGGCAGTGCTGCCCAGATTCAGCACAATAACATACAGGTCGCTGCCCTCCTTTTGACTGGAAAGTGCAAAATTAGGTTAGCGCAATGAACGCTGAGAAAGTCAAGTAGTTACGCACCGAGAGTAGACAATGACATCATCATCCAGAGCCTGAATCTTCAGTGCACCAGTACGGAATGATGGCTCCTGTCGCACACGCACGAGCGTCTTGAAGATCTGCAGATGCGATTGTGGCGCGCGCAGCTGTTGCAGGGCATTGTTCGTCTTGAAGTCATCCGAAACGGGCAGCCAAGTGTGATCGGCATAGGTGAAACCTAAATGAAAAATCAGAATGGCTTAACATAGACAAAGGACAACAGATTAAGGTCTTGCTCACCCGCCATTGAGGAGGCGTCCCATTGGTAGGGTGTGCGGGCAGGATCTCGAGATCTGTCGTAGTAGTGCTCCGGATCGGAGTTGCAGGCACTGGGATCAACGGTGTCCTCCCAGCTAATGAATACATCAGTCATGCCGAGCTCCTCGCCATTATAAGTGACGGCATGGCCTGGCAGCGTTTGCAGCAGAATGTTTATCAAATCGATGCGCTGGACACCGAAGCGTGATGCCACGCGCTTGTTGTCGTGGTTGCCCAGCACCCAATTGGCAGAGACGCCAGCAGGCATGGCGTTCAGCCACTTCTCGATGTGCTCCACGTACTCCGTTGCCTTGGAGGCATTGTTGATGCTCGTGAGGAAGTCGAAGTTGAAGGGAATGTGCGAGCCGTTGCGAACGCCATCGCCGTAGAACTTCATGATGTTCTCGAAGCTGGTGTAGGCCTCAGTCATGAGCAAACGCTCGTCTCCGCCATGTTCCGTATGGAATTCGTCGACTAGCTCACGCCATTGGTAAACCATGTCAAAGGTCTCGGGCTGGTCCTGGGTGTAAATGTGCTGCGTGTAGCAGTGGTCGTCCGGATCTGGGCAGCTGCTGTCATTGGAGAGCGGCTCGTCGGGGTACTCGTTGTAGCGATCCAGCTCAATTTCAAACAGATAGGGAATCGCATCAATACGGAAGCCGGAGACGCCTTTAGCTAGCCAGAACTTGATCACGTTCTTCATCTCGTTGACAACAGCGGGATTGCGATAGTTCAAGTCCGGCTGGCCTATCGCAAATTGATGCAGATAATACTGCTGCCTGACCTCGTTCCATTCCCAGGCGCTGTACCTGAACTCGGAGTTCCAGTTGCTTGGCGCCTCACGCTCTCCGGTTTCCTCATTGATTTTGCCATTGTGCCAAATATAATAATCCTTGTACTGGGGATCACCGTTCACGGACTTGATGAACCACTCACTCTTGTCGCTCGAGTGATTGGGCACAAAGTCCAAAATGATCTTGAGGCCAACCTCCTTGGCGCGTGCAATCATGCGCTCAAAGTCCTCCATGGTACCATACTCCGGATGTATCTGATAGAAGTCCGCAATATCGTAGCCAAAGTCCACCATGGGCGACTTGAATATGGGCGACAGCCATGCAGCTGTGATGCCAATGTCCTTCAGGTACTGCAGCTTCTCCGTAACGCCATTCAGATCTCCGATGCCGTCGCCATCGGAGTCGCGAAATGAGCGCGGATATATTTGATAATAGTTGCCATTCTCCCACCACTGAGTGGCGCACGTGAGCCCCAGCACCACCGAGAGGACCGCAACGACTGTCAGCGAGCGCATGTCTAATGAATTTGTCCTAACTGACGTCCAACTGGGGCCTTTTATGGCGATCGATAAAGGTTTCTGCTCACTTGGAGTGGGCATTTCGATTGCTGGGCAAACAAGTTGCTCTCATAGTTTCATGAGCTACCATTCCGAAAATAATACCCATTCGAATGTCATTGTTGTTAAGCACTTTGCTAGCCGATTTCACATTAGATTGTAATGTTACCCAACAGCAATTAGCTATAATGGAAAATTATTTCAATCACTGTGATTGTTGTTGCTGTTGTTGTTGTTGTTGTTACTGCAACTGAAGCACAGCGGCATTTGTCACTTGCTTTGCTCATAATCACCTGATAGGAAGTAAAGAAGATTTAACAACGCTCTCAAGTCATAAGCCCCTACCACTAAGGGCACTCATTGAGAGATAAGCATAGGAGCCTCCAAGCACTCTTAGTTCAAAACAATATTTCTTTTCTAAGTCAGTTATTTGTCATAACTTTTTTGATAACCTTGCTAATGTCACAATTGACTAAAGTTTAATGTAGGTGTTAATGTGAAAACTGATAAACTGAGAAGCTAAGTTAAGTTAAGTTGAAGGAAAACAATTTTAAGTCTGTTGTGTTGCCTTCTTAGCATAAATAACTTTAACTCTTATCAGATTGGTGTTAGAATTTTTTGGATATGATTTTCTTAATCATTGAATATTGGTATTAAGAGTATTGTTGACCAGGTCTTGACGCCTTTAAGGGAACTGCGGGGGCGCATGGGAATTTACGATCATCGGATTGGAACTTACGAGTTTAGAGACAAAAGCATTTGTATTCAACTCACAGGTCTTGGAAAGTCTTGCCAATTATCATCAGCTTTTATATACAAATTTGAATATAATAAAATAAATATTTGTTTGGAGCAACGAACAGTTCAGCAGAAAGTTTTGCTATCAATGCAGCACAGATTGCTGTTATCATTCAGATAACTTAAACATATTTATGGCTAGCTTGAACTCCAAAAATAAATACTAGAGTATAACACAAGTTCCTGAATTTCTAAATGTTAATAATCTGGCTTAAGAATAAATAATGTAAATTACAAAATTTCAAATCTTAAGAATTTTACTTGTGCCATATTATTAATAAGTAAAGGGTGCAAAAATTGCAAAAATTGGAATAGTAAAAGTAAAAAAAAAATATATATATATAAATATGTAAAATAAAATAAAAATATATAAAATATATATATATATATATATATATATAATTATTCAATACCTATTCAATTATTTTCAGCATTTAGCCAAAAGATTAGACGACTTCAATCTTCAATTGTAGCATAAAAGAATTTTTATAATTTTCGATTCATTGCAATTAGGTATTTATTAAACGTTGTTAGTTGTTTAAGCCAACAACATTCATTAGCTGTGAAGAACTTATCAACTATGAAGATATTTCTGAGACTAGTCCGTTGTACGTTCCAAGTCTGTTTAAAGCAATCTTGGGCTTGGCAGCTGAAGTTGCTTTAGTGGTGAGCGCCGGGATGGACATTGTGGACTTCGGGAGCTTGGGGATGCGCCGCGTTCCAGGCAATGGAGCGCACAATATAGTCGGGAATGGCGGGAACAGCAGCGCCCGATGGCTGGTAGCCGTTCTCATCGGCAACGTACTTGATGTCAACATGCTCGCCCTCGGGGGAGATCCAGCCGAAACCGCCCTGGATGTTGCCGTTCACGTCGCCGGACTCGGAGCGTGTGATGTGGTTGCTGGTCTCCAGGCTGCTATCGAAGCCGTCGGCACGAACATCATCCTTGCGAGACACCACTTCGGCGTGAGACTCGTCGCCGTGATGAACGGGCACTGGATGTGGTGCTGGGATGTGTGGCAGTGGGCGGTGCTCAATCGGGTGGTGCACAGCGGCGACCAGGCCGATAATAGCGCAGATCATCACCTGCAAGAACGTGGATCATTGTCGGCGACAGAACTCAGTGGAGTCTACTTACAATTTTGAACATGTTGAAATGGTTTTCGTGCAGTTGGAGACCGTTGAGAACGAACGTTGACTGATGCTCCAACTGGGCCAGCCGTTAGCTTTTATACAACTTCAGTGGGAGTTGCCCAATATAAATTGTGTCCAGTTTTTGACTTGATCCCGCCAAACACTTAGCTCTGTGAGTTATGAGTCTACCCGCCGAGCCCCCTACCAAAAATATTTGCGCTTAGAAACAATTTAAAGAAACATCATCAAATTAATATTATTGCTGAGGTGCATAAACAAGCTCAGACCGAAACCCGTTCGCATTTTAAAACAAGCGCGTCAGCACTGCACCACAAGCCTCCCAAATCCAGTTTCCAATAGGCAGTGGTGCAGATGGGCAATAAAGAAATTGCAAATCTTCCATAATTGGTTCATCCTTGTGGAGTTATTTTAACTGGCGTTAGTAATTCTTTATTTTTGAATTTATTTATAATGGTTTATATATTCTATGTATTAGCAAAGCAATGTTTATTACAAAATAAATAAACGAAAAAAGGGAATAAAATATTAATTATTATTTCAATGGCAGTTGCTATAGAGCTCACATAATTCAACTTGTAGAGATGTGTTAAATAAACTCCCACTCTCTCAATCTCTCTTGCACTCTCTACCTTTTTCCCTCTTTAAATATATTTACCAATTTATATTTAACAGCTTTTAAAAAACGTATGTTTATCTCAATAACATTAAAAAAAAAACACTTAAATTCTATGGACATTTGCAGAGAATTTTAATTGTATATAAATTGAAATGAGTAATATGTGTTCTCTGTATGTTAGGCAGACTGCAGACTAAACCTGCTAACATATTTAAATATATAAAACTAAAGAACTGATTGCTTGAAGAGATGCAATTTATATTTTAAATCGTTCTTCCGTGACTTTACTAACAACTATCATATGAAACAAGAACAGGTTTCATGAATAAGCCAGTGAGATTAGCTATAATATATTATATATTTTAATATTAAATTCTCAATTTATTCAAAATATTTAAAAATAATTAAATTTAATTTATAATTAAATGAAAACATACAAAGAAAAAATAGATTGAATCTAGATTAAATTAATTATTAAACTGATGAGCTCCTTAATTAAGCATTCGCCTGTTAGCTTCTAAAGCCTCTATTCGACTAGTGAACAAGTATTAATTAGTGGGTTTATATTTATTTTATATTTTTATATATATTTATATATATATATATATATATATATATATATATATATATATATATATATTTAATAGATCCAAAGAGTTGATAAGTTTTGTGCACAGTTCATCTTGCGGTCCCTTTCTCTGCCAAGTTGTTTGAAGTTTTACGCTGTTGTTAAAGCTAGAGACTCGAAGTTTGAAGCATGTGGTAACGATAGTTTCGATTTTAAAATAACGGCTACTCGGAGCGCCCATAAACGCCCCCTATAATTCATAAGTATATTAAAAACTTGAGATATTAGCATATTCGGGAAGTGAATATATCTCCGGTCTTTGAATGATAATTGGGCTAAAGTAAATGTTCTCAATGCATTTACGCAAGACTTAAGGTAAGTTTTTGAAGGCATCAAATAAAATGTTGCAAATTAAAAAGGATCTATGTCATCTAAAGCTGTAGACCCTAAGCTACACAGTTCGACAGTTAAGTTACTGTGTTAAGAAATTATAGGTCCTTACTGACTGACGCGGAAATAAGCTAAAAGTGGAATTGGAATTCCAGAGTTTCTGAGTTAAAATAGTCAAAATTTGAAGTTGAATCAGCTCTAGCACATGGTCCACGGCTTGGATCATATCAAAGCTGAACTCGTTTTGCACCATATAATGGTATTAAGCAGTCGGTCACGCCCTACTGCAGCTGTTTATTTAGATTGTGACATCATAAATATAAAATAAAGAAAAATAAAGAAAGACTTTGGGATTTTATGGCGTCAAGGAGAAGGCGCAGCGGCTCCCTTCGAGGGAGCCACAAAACTATTTAATTCTAGATATTTATAACATTAGGCTTTTTTGTTATTTTAAAAATATCACTTTGTTTATAACGCTCGACAAGTTTGAAAACGGTTTATTTGCAGCCCAATGTTATCAAGAACTTCGGCTGTTTAAGTCATAAATATCACGTACTTTATGATTTGGCTTTTCTTTAATGTTTTCACTTTAAGTCTGAGTCATTTGGGACAACAGTCTTTGCGCTTTGACTGAGTTCCAAGACAATCTGACTGCATCGAAAACCTTTCGGTTCCCCATCGTAAAAGGAGAAGAAAAAAACAAAGCCCTTGGGTCTCTGAATGTTATGCTCGGGTCACATAAAACCATTTTATGACAGCTTTTTGCAATTCCGAAGAGGACAAACAAGTTGTCAAGTTGCTATCGACAGCAACATCGACGCCGACGCATATTCCTGATAAGTCAATGTCAGACAGCTCGACTAAAGCATACCGTGTGCACACATATATGAATTTGCCAAAAAAAAACCCAAACTATAAACATGATTTATAAGGTCACAGATATCGTTCTTATCCACTAGATATTTTTAATTGAAAACGAGTCACTTTGCTCTAAAATTGGTTAGTTTATTCTTGGTCTATGATAGCTGAGAGAGCCAAAGACGCAAATAGCTGCACTCTTCCAATATGCACTAGAGTAAACAAATATTTAAATATTAATTCAATTAGGAATGCGTCCAATACACACTCGTGGAGCAGAGGCGCAACTTGTGTTATCTCACTAGAATGCCATAAAACTGGGCTGACGTTGTTCAGTTTGTGGCGTTATCGCCGCAATCCCTATCGCAACATGGCAAAAGCAATTGTTATTAGCTAATTGATTTGGCGACACTCAAACGCGGGCGACATGTCAACGCGATTACTTCTCGGATTGCTCGCGGCGCTATTCGTGAGCAGCGCAGCCGCCTCGACGGACATCGATTGGTGGGAGAATGCAGCGCTATATCAGATCTATCCGCGATCCTTCCAGGACAGCGACGGCGACGGTGTTGGCGATTTGAATGGCATCACGCGGCGTTTGAGCTATCTCAAGGAAATCGGCATTACGGCTACTTGGCTGTCGCCCATATTCAAGTCGCCCATGTCCGACTTCGGCTACGATATATCTGATTTCAAGCAGATCGACGAAATCTTTGGCACGCTGGCTGACTTCGATGCTCTGATGCTGGAGGCCAAGTCGCTTGGCCTCAAGATCATCTTGGACTTTGTGCCCAATCATTCGAGCGACGAGTGCGAGTGGTTCCAGAAGTCAGTCAATCGCGAGGATGGCTACGATGACTTCTATGTGTGGCACGATGGCAAGCTGAACGCGGAGACAGGTGAACGCGAGCCGCCCAGCAATTGGGTCAGTGTTTTCGGCGGGCCACAGTGGACCTGGCACGAGACACGCCAGCAGTACTTCCTGCATCAGTTCCAGGTGAAGCAGCCCGACTTGAACTTCAGCAATCCAATGGTGCGAGAGCACATGCTGGACGTGCTGACCTTCTGGCTGGATCGTGGCGTCGACGGCTTTCGCATCGATGCCGTGCCACACATCTACGAGCAACGCAATGCCGATGGCAGCTATCGCGACGAGCCGCTTAGTGGCTGGAACAGCGACCCCAACAGCTACGACTATTTGGATCATATCTACACCAAGGATCAGCCGGAGACCGTGGAGCTCATGTACGAGTGGCGCGATTTTCTGCTGAAGTATCAGGCCGAACACGGCGGTCCGACGCGTGTGCTGCTCGCCGAGGCTTACAGCCCCGTGGAAACGCTGAGCGCCTACTTTGGCAATGGCACGCGGCTGGGCACACAGTTGCCCATGAACTTTCAGCTGATGTATCTAAGCGGCCACTCAACGGCCAGGGATGTGGTGGGCGCCATTGACTACTGGATGCAGACCATGTGGACACAGCATCAGACCGCCAACTGGGTGATAGGCAATCATGACACACAGCGCGTGGCTAATCGCATGGGCGCCCACAAAGTGGATTTGCTTAATGTGATTGTGAACGCACTGCCCGGCGCCTCGGTCACCTACTACGGCGAGGAGATTGGCATGTCGAATGTGGCGACTGAATGCACGGAAATCTCCTGCGATGGCCGCGATGGCGAACGCACCCCCATGCAGTGGGCTCCAGTTCAAAATGCCGACTTCTCCACCGCTGACAGCCCCTGGCTGCCAGTCAGTCCCGACTATATGCGCTTCAATGTGCAAACAGAACGCGGCGTGGCGCGTTCCTCCCTGCAAGTGTTCAAGGGTCTGCAGCAGCTAAAGAGCAGCGCCGCCTTTCTGGCCTTCAAGAAGAAGGACGGCTTCTCCTACGAGGCGCTCACCGAGCAGGTTTTGCAGATTGTGCGGTAAGTCAGCAGTTGCAGTAATTGTTAAGCAACTCGAATTGATCCACACATAACACAGCACCAATAATCTTAATGAGGAGTATCGCATTCTGGTCAACATGGGCAATGCCATTGAGATCATCGATGGTCTCGCTGACAGGGTCTTTGAGTATATGCTGGTTACTGCCTATTCGCGGCACAGACCTGGGTAAGTTGGTGTGCTACCCAAGGCTTAGCTTCTTTAATTCCACTGCTTTCTTTCAGGGAGACGATTGATCTGAGCAACAGGCTGCTGCTCATGCCGTACGAGGCAATTGTGCTGCGCTGGCTGGCCTGAGTCATCGAGTTTTGTCTTGTTTAGCTTAATCAGTGCATTTTATGCTGCTCATAAAGATTACAGTTAATACTAGAACTGTGGCAATATGCCACAGTCCTCACTCCCCGCTACCCCTTGCCTCATGAATGTGAATGTTTTTTGTTATTTTGAGTGGCCTTTACTCGAAATAATTGCTACTTATTACAGAAATCTATAAACTTGATGTACTTGGAATAAATACAACAATTGAACTTAGATACAAGCTGATAATATTCATATCAGGCAATCGACTTTTTACTCAGTCTGCCAAAAATTGTGATTATTTTGTATAGTGTTTCGCACTATCGATAGCAGCTTGTGGCATGATAAAATCAGCTCTTAATGAGCTTTGGCACTATTTAAATACTTCGATCGAAGTATTACCAAAAGATTGTTAATCTTAATTGGGGCCTTAAGCCTAATTAGCTGATAAGCCGAAAAAACATTGTTGAAATTTGTTGCTTTAATTCAATAATCTTACTTCTGACACTTAAGATAAGCTAAGTTAAGTTAAGATTATATAAAAGAATTTCATTTAGACAGTGGCAAGGACAATTCCCTCCTTGGGCATCAGCAGCACTGAATTGGCGTGGGTGAGATCACTAAAAGAGCAATAAGAAGAGATCAATTTGAGACTAAAGTTTCCGTATTTAGGTACTGTCACTTACTCCTTGCGCCGCAGACTCTTGTCACTGACCACAACATAGCTCAGCTCTGCTGTGAGCTCCGCAAACACAGCATCCAGATTAACCAGCTCAACGTCGTTGTTGAGATTAATAACAGTTATGTACGACTTTTCATTCTTCAGAGAGCTACAGATAGATATTAGTTGAGTCCTCGGAAAACTGTCAATTGAAAGCCAAATCAGATACGAACCGTTTAATGGCCAGCACATTGGGTCCAACGGCATTGACAGTGACATCGCCTCTTTTGAGCGTGGGCAGGTCGCGCAGGGCACGGAGCTGCTTGTAGATGTTCAGATGGCTGAGCGGAATGCCGCGCTCCCGCTTGACATTCACCAGCTTGTAGTTGTCAGCGACGGGCAGCCAGGTCTTTGGGCCGTCGGTGAAGCCAGCTAGCGGCTCGTCGTTCCACTGGAAGGGCGTGCGCACTGGATCACGCGTGAGGCGCTCGAACTCATTGGGATTGGACTGGCATGCCTGCGGATCGACGGTATCCTCCCAGCTGATCCAGACATCCTCCATGCCCAGCTCCTCGCCCTGGTAGGTGACGCTGATGCCGGGCAGCGTCAGCAGCATCATGTTGATGGAGTCGATGCGATCCGTGCCCAGGCGCGAGCCAATGCGGCTCTGGTCATGATTGCCCAGCACCCAGTTAGCCACTTGACCCTCGGGCATGTTGTCCAGCCAGTTGTGCAACAGCTCTGAATATTTGTAGGCGTCGGAGTTAATGTTCAGGTTCGAAAGCAGCTCAAAGTTGAACGGAATCTGGGAGCCGTTGTGGGTGCCGTTGCCGTAATACTGCATCAGGACATCCAACGGGGCGTATGCCTCAGTCAGCAGCACACGATCGTCTCCGCCCAGCTCCACGTTCATCTCCTCAATAACCTCACGGAACTGATAGACCAGATCAATGGTCTCCGGCTGATTTGTGGTGTAAATGTGCTGCAAGTACGAGTAGTCTTCGGGATCGCTGACGTATTCATTGCGCGGCTCATCCAAGAAGTCGCCATTCTTATCGGCCGCTGCCTCGAAGACATGGGGCACGGCATCGATGCGGAAGCCGTAGACGCCCTTGCGCAGCCAGAATCGGAGCACATCCTTCATGGCCTCGACAACCTTGGGATTACGGTAATTGAGATCCGGCTGCTTAGCCAGGAACTGATGCAGATAGTAAGCCTGACGACCCTCGTGCCAGGTCCACTGCGAGCCGCGGAACACACTTATCCAGTTAGTGGGCGGCTGCCTGATGCCGTTGACCACCTTGCCGGTGTGCCACACATAGAAGTCCTTGTACTCCTCCTCACCGGCGGCAGAGCGCACAAACCAATCGCACTCATCGGATGAATGGTTGGGCACAAAGTCCAATATGATTTTGAGGTTCAGCTGATTTGCGCGCGCCAACAAATTGTCAAAGTCCTCCATAGTGCCGAACATCGGGTCGATGTTGTAGAAGTCAGCCACGTCGTAGCCAAAGTCTGCCATCGGCGACGTGAAGATCGGCGACAGCCAAGTGGCTGTCACGCCAATCTCCTTCAGGTAGCTCAGCTGTTGTGTAATACCTGGCAGAATGGGTAATTGAATTCGGCTTTTTCTTATATATATCAATAGTCACCTACCCACGAGGTCGCCGATGCCATCGCCATCGCTGTCCTTGAAGGATCGCGGATAGATCTGATAGAACTGCGCTGAGCGCCACCAGTCGTAATCGGCTAACGTGGGCAGTGACAGCGCCAGCAGGCAGCACAGAGTTAACAGCGTTCTGTTCGACATGGCGACACACTGGCGATTGTCACTGCGGATTAGTTTCACCTCTATTTATGCTCTGCGCCCCACCATGCAGCGGCGATTTGATAAGCTTAGGCCTTATTGCAACTATCGAATACTGATTAGATTTGGGGCTACATAGCCGCAAGCAAAACCCTGTCTTTCAATGCGAAAGCGTAGACCTGGTATTTATGGAACTCCACGCCTATCGAGCGTGAGCCAGATAAGCAGCAAATTAATTACGAAAATGCATAAAACTTATGGCCCCACCTGAAACCAAAGAGCTGCTGTTCTTACGTAAAATTTATGGCAGCTATTTTCGCTGGGGACATTTGAAAAGTAGCCGCAGCTAACTAGTATAACTGTACTTTAATCTGCAGTAGCAAATGCCTAGCCAATTGACTTCAAAATTTCTGATATCGGATAACTCTGTTTGGTTAATTTGCCTGTATCTGGAGACACCATAGACTATTCTATATTTCGCCTATCATATCAAAGTTTTACAAGCTCTATAAAGTAATCTTTTGGCAATTTTAGTATCGCACCTTAATGCCAATTCGATAGTTCCATAAATCAGTGGAGTCGCCCCCCAGGCAAACGCTCGTTTCTGGAGAAAAAAAAAAGATTAGCTCTAATGCCATTTGTTTTACAATTTAGATTCGCGCTTTATCGCCAGCAGTTGAAGGCATAAAATGGGTCGCTGGAGCTGGGGTCTCCGTTAGTTCAAAATGACCACTTGGTCGAGCATTGCATTGGTTTTGGGTTTGGGCCTGTTGGCCGTGGATGCGGCGGCGCCCTGGTGGCAGACGGCCTCCTTCTATCAGATCTATCCGCGCTCCTTCAAGGACAGCGATGGGAATGGCATTGGGGATCTAAACGGCGTCACCGAGAAGTTGGAGTACCTGAAGGAGATTGGCGTGACGGCGACTTGGCTGTCGCCATTCCTGCGCTCGCCCATGGCGGACTTTGGATATGACATCTCGGACTTCAAGGAGGTGGATCCGCTCTTCGGCACAATGGAGGACTTCGAGAATATGGTGGCACGTGCCAAGCAGCTGAACGTAAAAATCATTCTGGACTTTGTGCCCAATCATTCCAGCGATGAGTGCGACTGGTTCGTACGCTCTGCTGCCGGCGAAGAGAAGTACAAGGACTATTATATCTGGCATCCGGGCTTCGTCGAGAACGGCGTACGCAAGCCGCCCAGCAACTGGGTGAGCGTGTTCCGTGGCTCCGCCTGGGAATGGCATGAGGGACGTCAGGAGTACTATCTACACCAGTTCCACAAGAAGCAGCCGGACTTTAACTTCCGCAATCCCGTTGTGCGCGAGGAAATGAACAACGTTCTGCGCTTCTGGCTGGAGAAGGGCGTCGATGGCTTCCGCGTCGATGCCATTTACCATGCCTTTGAGATCGAGGCCGATGAAAATGGCAACTACCCGGACGAGCCGCGCAACGACTGGACGAACGATCCCGATGAGTACGGTTACACCCACAAGATCTACACAGTCGACCAGCCCGAGACGCCCCATTTGGTGTACGAATGGCGTGAGATTCTGGACCAATTCCAAGAGGACAACGGCGGCGAAGAGCGGTAAGTTAAGCCCAGAGGCTAAGGAAATATGGATGTAGTAGTCAATGGTATCACCCGTAGCATACTCATGGTGGAGACCTGGTCCCCAATTGAGATTGTGATGCACTACTACGGCAACGAGACGGCCGAGGGCGCCCAAATACCATTTAACTTCCAGCTGATAGTTAATCTGAACGAGAACTCCGATGCTTATCACTACGAGTACTTGATCAACAACTGGCTATCGCAAATGCCGAGCGGCAAGAGCGCCAACTGGGTGGTAAGTGTGCGAGCCATGGTGGTGGCGATAAGCCATGTGACTAATAAGAATATAAAATCAACTTTTTATACGGCACCCCACAGATCGGCAATCACGATAAGAACCGCGTGGGCTCACGCTTTGGCGCCGATCGCATTGATCTGTTCAACATCTTGCTGCTGACGCTACCCGGCTGCAGTATTACCTACCAGGGCGAGGAGTTGGGCATGCTGGACGGCTATGTGTCGTGGGAGGATACTGTCGATCCACAGGCCTGCAATGGCTACGAGGAGAACTATATGTGGAATTCGCGCGATCCCGCTAGAACACCCATGCACTGGACAAACGGCAAGTTGGCTGGGTTTACCAGCGGCAGCGGGACCTGGCTGCCAGTTGCCCAGGACTATGCCGAGCGCAATGTCCAGACGGAGCGCGGCGCCCCGCTCAGCCATCTGAATGTCTACAAGCGCCTGCAGCAGCTGCGCCAGGAGCCAAGCATTCAGCAGGGCGCAGCTGAAATCAAGGCTGTCAATGGCTACGTCTTGGCGGTCGAACGGTGAGTTCAATTTTTTGATTAGTTGAAGTGTTGCCACTTATTGACTACGAACAAATATCTCTAACAGCTATCTGAGTGGCAATTACGTATACATTTCACTACTCAACATCTTCGATCATATCGAGAACGTGAATCTGAATGATGTGTTCCGCGGCTTGCCCGACAGCTTCCAGTATGCTCTGGTCACAGACAAGTCCATCAAGCAGCTGGGCGACAAGGTATCCAGCAGCAGCGTTACCCTGATGCCGCACGAGTGCGTGGTCCTGCGCTCCACGACCACCATCTAAGATCACCTGGTGTTATATGCGCAATAAAAAGCAAATATTGTTTATCTCGATTTGATTTACGTTTTTGGACTTTTCATTCCACTGATTAGCAGGTCTGGTTTTGAGTCATATAATAATTCATGTTGTCGTCGATAGCACAGAGTTTATATTTATATGTATGCATATGTATGTATGCTGACTGATTGAAAGCGCAAAGGAATATAAATAGACAATGGATACTGCACCATGAAATACCCTGTGATCACATTAAAACACAAGCAAGAAGCACCTCTAGAGAAGCAGAAGAGGGCAAAAATATTTATGGTTAAGTAAATGTAATATTAATAACTCAATTTATATCGAAAGTTACACAAGTTACACAAATTTAATAAAAATAATAAAATTAAACAGTTTCGCAACGATAAGTTCATAAAGTAAATATGCTTTTTACTAAATAAAAAATACGGGGTATAAATATATAAAGCAAGCAAATGATTAAAAATTGTCAGCTGCTGTGAAGCAAACACAACGAGAGAGGGCGATAAGAGAGCAAAAGCAAATTCGAACAAAGAAAGATTTAAAGCTTTATATTTGTATGCACAATGGGCACGAAATCAATGTTCTCTCGTAAAGTTAGTATATGTATATATATATTATATATTTATATAAAACAGCTTATAACAAATTACATTACATACACGAAGCCGATGGAAAAACTGTATTATACCTGTTATCGAGAAACTGGGTGTGAGGCAATTGCATAGAAATTGTATTGTCATTGCCAATGCAAACAGTGCTATTAAAAAATTAAGTAATTTTTTGAAATTATTTATATAAAAAACTTAATATGGACAATTAAATTACAATTTGTGGGATAAAAATGAGCAACAAATTAATTAAGTTAACAACTTTTTTGCGCTTGTCTTTATATGAAGATCTTGAGATCTGTATTTGATATATTAAAACAAATGAAAAATAAGTTTGAATTAGTTTAGCTTAGAATTAGTTGATTTTATAAATTGTGTACTTCATTTAATTGGGTTACAATTCAATATTGCAACTAAAGTTTTATGTTATTGTTTTTATCAAAAAAATGAAAAAATTTGTATATAAAAACTATAATAATGATTAATTTCTATACACAAATGTGATGCATTATAAAAAATGAATTATATTCAAGATTATATTAATACGTAAATAAACCAAGCAGTTTATGCTTACAAATAGAATTTATTCCTACCACTGTGCCTATTGACAATGAAATAAGTATCATATGCATATGCGTTAGAGCTAAATTTGTCAAACTTCGCACTTTTGCGCTCTCCTTTCTGTCTGTCTCTCTCTCCCTCTCACACACTCTCAGCATTTCTCTCTATTTATCTCTTTATCCACCACTGCTCTGTGCCGACATACAACTTCCTGTGATATGCTCAGCATGCTAGCACGGAGAGCGGTGTAAACCAGCCGGCTGAGAATTTGCATTCGTGCAGTCGATCGTCAGTTGCTTTGGTTTGTTTGTGGCGTTCAGACGAAACGGCGACAGTGCGATTAACGGGGAGCCTAGTGGAAAATGTTCAGCCTCGTGGTGGTTGTGTGCCTGCAGCTGCTATTGCAGCAGTTTATGGAATCGGCTGTAGCCCAACCCTTTCCCAACTATCATACGGACTTCGTGGACATCAAGCAGCATAAGAATGTGCCGAAATGGTGGCAAACTGGCGCCTTCTATCAAATATATCCAAGGTCATTTAAAGACAGCAATGGCGACGGCGTGGGCGATCTGAACGGTGGGGCAAAAGCAAACTAATACGTAAGAGACATTATAAAAGTTATTTGCGTTTTTAGGCATTGCGGATAGTTTGCCTTATCTGAAGGAATTGGGTATTACGGCCACTTGGCTGTCGCCCATATTTAGCTCGCCCATGGCGGACTTTGGCTATGACATTGCCAACTTTACCGAAATAGCGCCCATCTTTGGCAGCATGGCCGACTTCGAGCATCTCATGAAGGTCGCAAAAGAACTGGACGTGAAGATAATTTTGGATTTTGTGCCGAATCATTCGAGTGATGAGTGCGATTGGTTCAAGCGTTCCGCAGCAGGCGAGCCAGACTACAAGGATTTCTATGTATGGCATCCCGGGCGCATGGTGAATGGTACTCGCCATCCGCCTAGCAACTGGGTGAGCGTGTTCCGCGGCTCCGCTTGGCAGTGGCACGAGGGTCGCCAGGAGTACTATCTTCATCAGTTTCTTAAGAAGCAACCCGATTTGAATTATCGAAATCCGAAAGTGCGGGAAACCATGAAGGTGCGTTTCAGACATAGTTAGAAAGATCCAATCTTTATTGACTTCTCTCTTGCAGAATGTTCTTCGCTTTTGGTTGGCCAAGGGCGTTGCCGGCTTTCGCATTGATGCTGTGCCCAGCGTGTTTGAGATAGCGCCCGATGCTGCAGGTCAATATCGCGATGAGCCTCGCAATGATTGGGTCAATGATCCCGATGACTACGGCTATCTGCAGCACATATACACGGTCGATCAGCCCGAAACGCTGGCAATGGTGTACGATTGGCGTGCCGTGCTGGATGAGTTCACTGACGGCGACGAGCGCATCTTGCTGGCCGAGACCTATTCACCTATTGATATTGTGATGCAGTACTACGGCAATGCAACGGCCGAGGGTGCCCAGCTGCCGTTCAACTTTCTGCTGATAACCGAAATCTCAAATACTTCCAATGCCAATGACTATGCACGCACCATACAAAAGTGGTTGCAGCACATGCCGCAGGGTCGCACTGCTAATTGGGTGGTAGGTATATGAAATCTCAATTATTGTGCTTTAATAAGCATCAAAATGAACTCAAATTGGCAGCTGGGCAACCACGATCAGTGGCGCGTGGCCTCGCGCTTGGGCGCAGATCGCGTGGATATGCTGAATATGCTGATCACCACTTTGCCGGGCGCCAGTGTGACCTATCAGGGCGAGGAGCTGGGCATGACAAATGTGTGGATCTCATGGAAGGATACCGTCGATCCCTCTGCGTGCAACACCAATGCCAGCGTCTATGAGCACTTCTCCCGCGATCCCGAACGCACGCCCTTCCAGTGGAGCAGCGACGCCAATGCTGGCTTTAGCAATGCCAGCAAGACATGGCTGCCCATTGCCGAGGACTATAAGCAGATCAACGAAGATGAGGAGCGTCAAAAGCCTGTTAGCCATCTAAACATCTATAAGCACATGCTGACACTCAAACGCGAAGTGCAAACTCTGCAACTGGGCGAAACTGAGGTGAAGGCTTTGAACAGTGCAGTTCTGGGTGTAAAACGGTTAGTCGACTGTGGCAACCACTAGAATCAGCTGTTATTAATCCGAATACTCTATGCTTAGCTTTCTTCAGCATGACTTTATCTATGTGACAGTGCTGAACATCTTCGATGACATCGAAACAATCAATCTGAAAGAAAGCTTCACAGATTTGACTGAACAAATGAAAGTTGTGATGGTCTCAACCAACTCCAAACTGAAAGTCGGGTGAGTTCTTCTGTTGGTAAATATGAATATCGAATCCAGTTAGTTAACTGAGAGCTGCTGCTGTACTTCCCATCCGTCACAATGCACTTTTATTTCTGAGTCACAGAGTTTTGTAATTTTTCCATTATCGAATGTGCTCAACTAATTGAGAAAATTGTTGAAAAGTTGAACACTAATCAGCTCGAACATATAAACAAAATACTTATAGAAATGGTAAACTTATAATAAAGACAATTGTCACATTTGTGTTTCCTCAGTGATCTTATCAATGCCACTGCACTGGAGCTGCTACCCAAGGAGTCGCTGCTTCTGAGAACCCTGCCCACTTTTTACACGTACTATACGAATGGAGAAGCCCGTCAGCTGCCGGTGCTGGTCATTTATCTGGTGCTGGCTCAAGTGTTGCTCTACCTGAGCTATCATCGAGCCCTGTAGTTATTACGAATGCACAAAACCAAATAAATACTTAACCACAATCAATTCACTTGATGTTTATCAATCAAGTTGGGGGTGCTGGACACATGTATAAATAGCGCCACGAGATCGGTCAGGCAGTCAGTTATGGCGCACTTATTGAAGTTGTTAGTTACATTGTTGTGCTTGGGTCTGCGGTACGACCCGAGCCAGGCAGCTGCCATAGAGCTGGAGAGCGCGAGCAGCAGTGAGGCGACACGTGACTGGTGGCAGGTGGCGCAGTTCTATCAGATCTATCCACGCTCCTTTAAGGACTCCGATGGCGATGGCATTGGCGACCTGCAGGGCATTATCTCCAAACTAGATTATCTCAAGGATCTGGGCGTCACGGCCACTTGGCTGTCGCCCATCTATACCTCGCCCATGGCCGATTTTGGCTACGATATAGCCGATTTCTTTGACATTCAAGCGGAGTATGGCACGCTGAAAGACTTTGATGAGCTCATTGCAGCTGCCAACGAACGTGGACTGAAAATTATACTCGACTTTGTGCCGAATCATTCCAGTGACGAGAACGTCTGGTTCCAGAAGTCAGTGCGTCGCGAGAAGGGCTACGAGGATTACTATATGTGGCACGATGGCTACGTAAATGCCACCACCGGCCAGCGAGAGCCGCCATCCAACTGGCTGCAGGCATTCCGAGGCAGCGCCTGGGAGTGGAACGAACAGCGTGGCCAATATTACCTGCATCAGTTTGCAGTGAAACAGCCTGATCTCAACTATCGCAATCCGGCGGTTGTGGCTCAGATGAAGCGCGTTCTCACCTACTGGCTGGATCGCGGTGTTGCCGGCTTTCGCATTGATGCCGTGCCCTGGTGCTTCGAGGTGCTGCCCGATGCTGAGGGTCGCTATCCAGACGAGCCGCTGAGCGGCTATACGGATGATCCAGATGATTCGTCATATTTGAAGCACATCTACACCCAGGATCTGATTGAAACGGTGGACATGGTGTACCAATGGCGCCAACTGCTCGATGACTACAAGCGCATACATGGCGGAGATACGCGCGTGCTTATGGTCGAGACCTATTCGGCCCTGGACTATGTCATGAAGTTCTATGGCAATCACACCACCAAGGGCGCTCAGATACCATTCAATTTCCAGTTCATTGTCGGCGGCGAAGGCAACAAGAACAACACGCAATTGAATGCAGCTGGATTTCTGAAGATCATCAATAGCTGGCTGGGCCAGATGCCAGCGGGCCAAACAGCCAATTGGGTGGTGAGTGCTCAGAGTGTGGAGACGCGAAATCAATGTTAAGCGAAAACTCTTTGCAGATGGGCAATCATGATCAGCGCCGTGTGGGCAGTCGCTATGGAGAGAACCGCATTGATATAATGAATATGCTGCAAATGTTTTTGCCAGGTGTGAGCATTACGTACCAGGGCGAGGAGCTGGGCATGACCGACCTGGATATTAGCTGGGAGGATACCCGTGATCCGGCTGCTTGCAACTCGAATGCGAACATTTACGAGCAATTCACGCGTGATCCAGCCAGAACGCCCATGCAGTGGAGCAGCGAGGCGAATGCCGGCTTCTCCACCAACAGCACCACCTGGCTGCCCATCAATCCCAACTATGTGACGGTCAATGCGGCGGCAGAGGCAGCCGCCAACACCAGCCACCTCAAGCTGTACAAGCTGTTGGTGGAGCTGCGTAAGACCAAGACGCTGCAGTACGGAAACACACGTTGTGCTGCTGTCAACGAGAATGTGCTGGCCGTGAAGAGATCGTTAAGTGGACAGCCTACATATGTGCTGGTGGCCAATCTGCTGGACACCAGCGTTAGTGGTGTGGACGTAGCTAGCGTGCTGTATGCCTCCGGCAGCTATAAGATTAAGCTGCTCAATCCGCAGGCCACTGCGGCCGTGGGGTAAGCATTGGCAAATCAATAGCTCAATTTATATTTGACTTTTATTTAATTTTATTTTTTGCAGCGACAGCGTCGCGTTGAACAACCTCAGCCTGCCACCATATGCGGCGCTCATTGTGGAATCTGTATAAATGGCCTTCAAATTATATGCCTTGTCATAAGTCATCAAGCACATATATATATACTTATATATATATATAATAAATATGTATGGCTGTGTGCGCGTACATAAAAGTCATTGGGAAACTTTTCAATTTGAGGTCGCAGGATCTGGTAACTTATTATAAATTATTAGAGAACTTTGTCTGCCTCAAGTATGGCGCGACCCCAACTCAGCATGAATATAAAAAAAGAAATTCCATTAGACGTGATTGATAAGACACACAAATCACGCATACGCAGCGTTGCAGTAGACAGCAGAACAGCTCGCTGACTTGACATCCTTGAGTTTCATGTTTGGCTTTGCTACCTGGCCCTCGTCCTGCCCGCCATATTATAGGTGACTAGGTAGTCATGCGGGCGTAGTGAGCGCAGACACGACTAGAATGGCAAACGGCAGCCGGCAGCCGGCAGTCAGTAGCGACTCGGGTTAGCTTTTTAATTTACTCGAAAAAAAAAGTGAGAAGTGAAATTATGAGTTTTCACCTCGAGGCGATTCGCCTCATAATGTGCTTCAAATTTATGTGTATTTCTCTTAACCACAAAACATCAAAAACATGCCCTCAACTGTTACTTGAAGCTGCAAGCCACAAATTAAACACGTACAGAGAAGAACAGGTGGAGCAGAGAGGAGGTGGCATGCACACTGTTTGCTCACATTTTATATAAAATTTGCTACAACGAAGTTTTAAATTCTTGTGTGAAAATGGCTCAACTATTACTCAGATGAAAGCTAGAATATGTAACTTAAATTATAGTGAGCCGCATAACTTTTACAAAGAACTATAATAAAGGCAAAAGTTGGTGCAATGCTTTGCAGTTGCCTCAAGCAAAGCTTTAACAATGCGAAGACGTATTAAGATAGAGTTTTTAATATATAAAAATATTTTTTTTTATTTTTTTTTTTTGCCTAAAATTTGTATATATAATAATTTTAATACATAAAAATATTCTTTTTAATTTTTTATTTAATATTTTACATATATATTAATTCTTTTGGAGTTTTTAAAACATATTAATATTTTTTTTATTTTTTATTTATTTGTAACATATATTAATATTTTTTAAATATATTTTATATGCAATATTAGATTTATATTTAAAATACTCTTTATTATGATTCATGGCTTAGGATACACAAAATTTTAATATAGTTTTAAAACACTTATATATTTTTTATATCTTTAACTCATATCAGAATAAGAATATACAGAATATTTTTTTTAGTTTTATATAGCTTATCGAATGCCAAGTAAGCTGAACATGCAACAGGATTTTCGTATAATTTCCACTGAGTTTGTTGGGTTTTCCAAGGTTCATTATGCAATTGTTTTCAATGTCTTAACAAAGTTCTATATAGGCCTTAGTGCATTAACACCGTCAGATATCGTTGAACCAATGATAGATTGTATTTACAATGGCTAACTATAAATGTAATTGAAACAGTTTCAGAACTTTGTTTACTTTGCCACTTCGATAACAGAGCACGTCACACTTGTGGCTATAGCTTATATACTCAAGCTCAAGGGCAATCTATGTCTGCAATGTGTTGTCAAGGTCGATAATCTAAGAGGCAGCAACTGTCATAATTTTGATTTGCTTTTAATTAATCGAAGTCATTTGCTAATGTGCTTGACTTACTCGTGATCTATACAGAAGATGTTGTAGTGTAAATAAAGTAAGCTACAGGGTATTTTATAGTCAAGCAGTTTCTGTTATAGAAGTCTAAATAAATAAATTTCATTCTTTATATAAAGCAACCCTATTTATTTGAGGCACTATATAAAAAGATAAGACTGCATGAATCAAAGGTGTGCGGCTTGAAATGCTTAAGAATTTACGTGTCAAATTGCAAGACTTTAGCATTTCAATGGACACTCAATTACCATTTTCAATGGGTTGTAATAAAGATTTATTATGTTACAGATCTAATCTAATCACATAACAGTTATTATTATTATAAGCTTATAGACAATTGAAATATGTGTCGCGCCTTCAACTTAGCTGGCATTATTAGCAATTTTAGTAATTTCGCAATGGTTCTGCTGCTCAGTATTCTAGTAACAATTGTGCTCACTATTGTAGCCATTATCAAATGGTTTGGCATGCTACTTGTCCTTCTTTATGGCTGGTACCAAAAGGCACGCATGGCCAATAAACTAGCTCAACCTGTAATCAAGGGACTTAACTTGAAGGATAAATTGCCGAATATTAGCTTGAAAAGGAAAAAAACTGAAAAAGAAACAAAATAACTTGATGAAGAGCTGCTCATGCATACCTAAGTTAAGCTACTTGTGAAGAAAGATCTTCAATTTTAAAATTTAAAACATTTGTTAATAAAGAAACTATGCAGCTTTTTATTGAAGTTTGGCTTGGCTTTAGATATTAGTTTTATGTAAGGGGTAAGTAAATGTCAGGTAACTTTTTCAACATTTATTTTTCCACATTTAACTGTAGAGTAATTTGAGCAGACATACCAAAAATCATATGTACTAAACAGTTTAGAACTTAAGAGTGATTTCGCCAAGAAAGTTTAGCTGCGTGGCAAGCAGATATATTTTTGTTAAGAGTATCAATCAGACTATAGTGAGGCCATGAAGTAACTTATTTAACATTTGCTGAGCTTAATTTTTAGTTATTTATTGGACACTTTTAAAAAATATATAAAAATTAAAAAAAAAATGAAATGATCAAAGTGCTTGCCTCTTACATTGAAATTCATATATCTGCCCCCATCTGTAAAATCTAAAAAAAAAAGAAAAAAGAAAAGTTCAGTCGCATTTTTCGCTTCACATTGTGTCTCAGCGTGGACATCGGAAAATTAGCAGTTTGCGGCAAAGCAGCTTACAAAATATATAAAAATCGTGTAAATGTCGGCGTGACTCGCCAACCCATTAAAAGGGTCGCAGACACAATCTGATCCAAAGACGAAGGCACTTTACTCTCGGTTACGTGACCTGAAACCCAAAAAAGAAGAGAGAAACCAACAAGAATTCATATGACAGCCGCAGAGCAAGGCTGGGCGCCACCTGGCGGTGGGTAGGCAGCTTACATTGAACTGCCTTCTCCCTTTATTGGGCGCCTCTTTGTATGCATTTCAGTTTGCGTGGATAATGAAGTTCATTTAGCACACAGCGAGGATGCTTAAAAAATCAACGCATTACGCATTAGCTTTAACATGAATTTGAAAGATTTACGCTGAAGCAGGCCGAAAACTTTTGCCTCATGCTGAAGGAAAACTTTGAAATGCATTAAGTTTGTAATCTGTAGTAATTTTGTGGGCGGGCGCATTACACTCAATGTATTCCGGCTACAACGGCGTTTGCATATTAATTTCCGCTGGCGGCATACACCGGGGCGTATGCGTAATATTTGAATGCGTCTCACCTATGTTTGGCTTTTCTAGTTTTCTGGCTATTCTGGCCTGGTCTGGTCCTTGTTGTTGTTGCTCTTATTATTTAGTTGTTAACGAGTCTCTGCTTTTTGATTCGCTCTATGCCAGGCACGTAGAGCTTTGGTCAGGTTATTTGCGGAAGCTGCTTTAACCTTTCGATGAATCGTATATTTGTATATTAGAATTTATGAAGCTTAAAGACGCATGCAAAGGACTTACAAATTCTTATGAAGATTACACGATATAAAAGTAGTTTTGACTCAGACTCAAACCCGATCGTGACGTGGATTAAATATTATTTTAAATGCTCTAGGGTTAGCTCTAATGAATGAATGATTCTTTAACTTTCTCACCTTTGCTAAGGGTCGTTGTGCAGTCGAGCGCAGCAATCAGTCAACTCGAAGCAGCCAGACAGTACAATAATCCAATTGCACCACGAACCCAACTCATAATTGCGGCAAAGGGTTCAGCTGTGCGCGTTTTCCATTGAATCTGCCGATTTGCACGCTGCTCACGTAGCCAACACCAAAACGTTGCCACTTAATGCCAACTAAAAAGCTGCGAGCGCACTTGGCTGAGGATAAATGGAGCTAAGCTTGGGATTAGGGCTATTTAAAGTGCATCAGTCAAACAATTAACAATTAACTTATTCAATGTAATTAAGCTCTTAAATAATTATATATATATTATATGTTAAATATTAGTTGCTTAACTTAGAGCTTCAAATGCCCATTGATTGCGGCAACAGGTGAAGAGAGTTAGCTATGGTGAGTGCTAAATATCTTTAAGTAAATTTCCAAATATTTCTTAGCATATTAAATGAAATTTAATTATAGAGTAAATCATGTCAAACAACTGCCATTGAACATATTTTGTTAAGGGCTCGTTTGCGTACCTTAATTACTCAATTCAATTAAGAAGAAGTCATTTCTACATTGTCAACTATTTGTTGTCGAGACGTTTAGATGGCAATTGTCACTGTTTGCAAATGCATTTCTGTAGCCTGCCTGCTCTTAGACCTCAATCAACACTGCAGATAAACAAATCCGAACAGGTGCTTCAACTAGATACGTGTTAATGACCCACTCGAGAGGTGACAAGGCAACTGTCTCTGCTCTGCTGTCAAAACTCTTAACCAACTATTGTGTGTATATTCTTGGCCAGAATTATATTTAGGCATGCTCACGTGGGCTAACACGTCATGTGCTTTGCATGGCTGGCATCTACAAATTAACATGTGTAAACGCAATTTAATTATGTTTAGCATAATTGAAATTTCCCTCTTGGAAACCAAACACGGTCAAAGCAGCGAGGGTTGCTTGATGAGCTGCAAGGCTTAAAAAAGTTATAAGCTATAGATATACGAAGTCGAACTACTCAAATATATTGCCTTGATCTTTCTAGCAGCCAGCTAGACAAGCCATCGGTATAGAAATAGCCAATTTATATACTGAACTACTTCAAGTTTATACATATATCTCGAGTTCTTTACAATCATTGGCTATAATATTGTTGTTCTGTCATGGAAAGCTTTCAATCAGCCCTCGTTAAATACCTTAAAAACTTCAAAGGTGGCCAGGACTTCGTGTAAGGCCGTCATTCCTGTGGGTCTAGGGCCCACTTGTCGACGTATTAACTTTGTGTAACGCATACTTTGCTTTTCGGTTGATGTTGCCTTTTAGGCAAGCAAAAAGAAAACGAATAAAAAGGCAGGAGCAACAACAAATACAAAGCCGAATACGAGACGCTTTACAGCTTGACTTTAATTTGTGTGTAAACACTTTAAATAGCGACCCCCGCGCTTTGCAGCAAATTACATGAGTGTGTCGAGCACTCGAGCCTATCTCTCTCTATGTGTGTGTGTGTGTGTGTGTGGGCATGCCATTAGGGCTGTCTGTGTGGTTTGTTTGTCGATTTGTTTGCTTATTTATTTATACAAGCAGCGGCATATTTGCTTTGAGCCATAAGAATACCCCAAATGCGAAAGCTGTCTAAAGTTTTTCAAGTGTGCGATTGCAAGATTTAATTGGTTAGGCTTAAAAATATAAAGAACTTTGCTGCGTTTAATCGGTGCTCATTACCAGAGCCTCGCCAGCTGCCAGGCTGAGGCCTTGGCTTTCGAACAGAGACCTGACAAAGAAATTAAATGTAAATTATTTAAGTATGTTAGCTGCTTAGCCGAGCTGACGACTTACCCCTCAGCCTTGCTGGAGCTAAGGCTACGTATTTTCAGGGTCAAATGCGTTGGCAAAGTCTTGTCAAACTGGTCAAGATCAATGGTGGTGCCTTTGCTGCCCAAATTGGCCACAAAAACGATGCTGGCAGAGCCAGACAAAGAGCTACGTAAGGAGAAGAGATAAAGCGAATTTTAAATAAGAAAATGATGAAAGCAAAAACAAGCCAAAAACAACTAAAAAGAGGAGAGCTATCTGCTGTCTACCTTGATAAAACTCTGATAAATAGTAAACACAATTAATTAAAAATTAGTAAACAAACCCAAACACAGCTTCGACTCACCGCTTGACCACAAACACGCTGTCATTGAGCACAGCATATTTGGTGGCTCCGTTTTGCAGGGCTTTGGAACTTTTACGCAATGCCACCAGCGACTTGTAGATCTTGAGATGGGAGCGAGTGGCTGCCGCTTCGACCTGCACATTTTGTGTCTCGAAGTCTGCGGCGAGCGGAAGCCATGTCTTTGCAGCCGTCGAGAAGCCCGCATTGGTGCCGCTTGTCCACTGGAATGGAGTGCGCGAAGGATCACGCGTGAACTGTTCGTAGAGCTCTTGGTTGGAATTGCAAGCAGCCGGATCTTGAGTATCCTCCCAGCTAATCCAGCCGTCTGTCATGCCCAGCTCCTCGCCCTGGTAGGTGACACTCGCGCCTGGCATGACCATGACCAGCATGTTCATTGCATCCGTGTTGGCCACGCCATAGCGACTGGCTGCTCGACGCTGGTCGTGGTTGCCGATGACCCAATTGGCTGTGCGTCCGGCTGGCATGGTCAGCAGCCAGTTATCCACAGCCTTCTTAATAGAGCTTGCCGAGACCCCGTCACTGGCCGGCACCGTAATCAGATTGAAATTAAAGGGCAGATGAGCGCCTTCCACGGATCGATTGCCATAGAACTGCATCGTGTAAGCCGGCGGGGCATAGGTCTCAATGAGCAGCACGCGCGTCTCGCCGCCATAAATGCGCTGGTGATCATCCATCACTGTGCGCCACTGATAGGCCATGTCAATGGTCTCGGCCCTGTTCTCAATTAGCTCGTTCTTTAGATAGTTGCGATTATCCACGTCGTCTGTGAGGCCACTCACTGCTTCATCCGGATATTGGCCATTCTCATCTACCTCCACCTCAAAGAGCACAGGCACTGCGTCGCACCTGAAGCCAGCGACGCCCTCATTCAGCCAATAGCGCAGCACGCGCTTCATCTGCTCCACCACATCCGGATTGCGATAGTTCAGATCCGCCTGCTGCACTGCAAATTGATGCAGATAGTATTGCTGGCGCTCCTCGACCCACTCCCAGGCGCTGCCTCTGAATGCCTGCAGCCAGTTGGATGGAGGCTCGCGCTTGCCTGTCTCAGCATTTATCTTCCCATCGTGCCACACGTAGTAGTCCTCGTAGCCCTTCTCCCGCTTCACGGACTTCTTGAACCAGTCACTCTCATTGCTAGAGTGATTGGGCACAAAGTCCAAGATAATTTTGAGGTCCAGCTCGTTGGCCTTCTTGATGAGTGCACGAAAGTCGTCCAATGTGCCATACTCCGGCTGTATGTCGAAGAAGTCGGAGATATCGTAGCCAAAGTCCACCATGGGAGACTTGAAAATGGGCGAAAGCCAAGCGGCTGTCACGCCTAGGTCCTTTAGATACTCCAGCTTGCTAGTGATGCCATTGAGATCGCCTATGCCATCACCATCAGAGTCCATAAAGGAGCGCGGATAGATTTGATAGAACTGCGCCGTCTCCCACCAATCCTTGGAGTTGCTCGCCGTTGTTGCTGCGTCCTCACATGCCTGTCCTACGGCCAACAGGCAGAGCACTGGAATCAGTAATACTTGCAAAGGCTGCATTGTAATTAGCAGAGTGGAGCCGCAGCTTTAGTTTTTATACAGCCAGCTGGCCACAAGCTTACGCGGACCATCTCAACTTGGCTTAAATGATAAACGCACCTCAAGTAGCTAAATTCCTCAGCTAAACACTTGAGCGGAAAACACTGGAGTGCCAAGTGGAGGTAGCTGTCGAGTGGGACAAGTGCGCGTCAAGCAAAACGAATATTGGATACTCTTGCAATGCCTTTTGACAGAATCTATTGCTTATTCATTTTCAATTTAATATTCACGAGTTTAAGACTTTCATGTTTTATCTACATCCAACCAGAAATATACTTTGCTCTTAACGATTTCATTAAGTTTATTTCAACTGAACTACAAATGTATTATGCCCCATGGGAGCCCATAAGACCCCTGCCTAATCGACGGTGGAAATTTCCACGAAACTAATCAAAATTATCTAACTTCCTTCTCGTAGCCTATATAAGCTCGTCGCACTGTCTATTCAGCTGCACACAATGATTTTATTTTCGAAAAACGCTTTTACTGCAGCGCTGAGTCTCCTCGCCTTGGCTGCCCTTGGGCAGGCCTGCAAGGACACGGCAGCAACGGCCAGCTCTAAGGATTGGTGGGAGACGGCGCAGTTCTATCAAATCTATCCGCGCTCCTTTATGGACTCAGATGGCGATGGCATAGGCGATCTCAATGGCATCACTAGCAAGCTGGAGTATCTAAAGGACCTGGGCGTGACAGCCGCTTGGCTTTCGCCCATTTTCAAGTCTCCCATGGTGGACTTTGGCTACGATATCTCCGACTTCTTCGACATACAGCCGGAGTATGGCACATTGGACGACTTTCGTGCCCTCATCAAGAAGGCCAACGAGCTGGACCTGAAAATTATCTTGGACTTTGTGCCCAATCACTCTAGCAATGAGAGCGACTGGTTCAAGAAGTCCGTGAAGCGGGAGAGGGGCTACGAGGACTACTACGTGTGGCACGATGGGAAGATAAATGCTGAGACAGGCAAGCGCGAGCCACCTACGAATTGGCTGCAATACTTCCGGGGCAGTGCCTGGGAGTGGGTCGAGGAGCGCCAGCAATACTATCTGCATCAATTTGCAGTGCAGCAGCCGGATCTGAACTATCGCAATCCGGATGTGGTGGCCCAGATGAAGCGCGTGCTGCGCTATTGGCTGAATGAGGGCGTCGCTGGCTTTCGATGCGATGCGCTGCCGCCGCTGTTTGAGGTGCTACCGGATAGCCAGGGTCAGTATCCCGACGAGGTGCTGTCTGGGGCCACAGAGGATGCGGCTGATCGGGACTATTTGACAACGACGTACATTGAGAACCAGCCGGAGACCATTGATATGGTATATCAGTGGCGCGAGGTGCTCGATGACTACCAGCGCATCTATGGTGGCAACTCGAGGGTGCTGCTCATTGAGACTTACTCCCCCGCCTGGTTCACGATGCAGTTCTATGGCAATCAGTCGGTGAATGGCGCTCACCTGCCGTTCAATTTCAACTTGATAACTGTCATGGAGGAGAGCCCCTTGAGTGCTGCCAATGTAAAGAAGGCCATTGATCTCTGGCTGAACAACATGCCCGCCGGACGCACGGCCAACTGGGTGGTAAGTAGCTCCAGCTGTATTGAGAGACTAACTGTCTACTGATAATGCCCTTTAGTTGGGCAACCATGACAAGCGCAGAGCGGCCAGCCGGTACGGTCAGCAGCATATCGATGCCATGAATATGCTGATCATGATTTTGCCTGGCGCCAGTGTCACCTACCAAGGCGAGGAGTTGGCCATGACAGATGGCGAAATCAGCTGGCAGGATACTGTCGATCCCTGGGCCTGCAACTCGAATGCTGACATCTATGAGAAGTACACCAGAGACCCGGCACGCACGCCATTCCAGTGGACAAGTGGCACAAACGCCGGCTTCTCAACGGGCCCCACGACCTGGTTGCCGCTGGCTGGCGACTATGCAACGATCAATGTGGCCAGTGAGTCCGCAGCGCAACGGTCCCATTTGCATATCTACAAGGCGCTGGTAGAGCTGCGCAAATCAGTGAAGACTCTGCAAAATGGTTACACCAAATATCAGGCGCTAACTGAGGATGTATTCGTGGTGAAGAGGTGGGTTTCCAGGCTTTCATATATCCCAGCATAGTCTTAGGCAATTCGGTTTTCACTTGCAGATCACTTAGTGGAGCTGCCAGCATTGTGTATGTCTCCAACTTTGGATCGAAGGAAGTCACAGTCAATTTGCAAGAGTTTGACAAAACTTTGCCAGCCAGCCTCGAGCTGCTTATACGCAGCTTGGCTTCTACCAGGCTGGAGGGGTAAGCTTTGACTTATATATCGTCTATATACTTACTTAATTACTGCCTCTTTCTACAGTGCCAGCCTTGCCACCCACGAGCTCAACTTGCTGCCCGGCGAGGCTCTGGTCTTGAGCACAGAATAAATAAGAATTGCTTGAATTAGTTAGTATTTTATTGATAGTTGTTTGTTCAATGCTTTGTAAGTTCTCGTAAACATATGCCACCCAACAACATTTATGTGTTAAACGTATTTGTGTATACTAGAGAGTTTCATATATACTGGAATTTTCGGAGACATTCAGTTATATGTATAAATATGGCTTGTATTTTCATATGCGTTTGTTTGTTATTAATTTATTTAATTGGTAACTTATTTACATTAAATACACACAGAATAGTTAATACACATGCAATTTGCTAACAATTAAACTCTTTGAATTTGGCTAGACTTCTTTATGTTTTTATATTTATATTTGTATTTATATTAATTTGTTTACTAATTTTAGTTGCGTGTTTTGTTCTTATCACCTCATTATATACGACCTAACATTAAACATTTTTTGTATAGCGGCTGCCAACATTAGTAGAGCAGCACGAATACACAAAGAAGAACGTAATGCTATATATATATTTATTTATGTATATATATAATAATTTACGTGTACATATATACAACTCACTTATAATTAATTGCTGACCCTTGACGCCTTTTCATACAAATAACAATTAAATTTACCATGTTGCTGGGCTCTGAACAGCACAGTAAATGCAATTGTTATGCTTCCACCAGTGCTGATACGTTGCAAGGGGGTTGCGTATGTGTTGCATGCAACCCCATTGCAACATAATCGCAGCACAAACAAATGATTCCTCGAGTGCGCAGAGAGGTTTGCAACTTAGTCTAAATGCTAGCTAGCAGTATGAGATTAGTTTTGCTCTTGGGGTTTAGAAAACACACACATTTTTGAAATTATATCACAATTTTTGTTTTTGGTAAACTCTGCTGCGATTGCAGCCAAACCACACTTGCTCTCTATATATCTATATGTGTATATATATGTATTAACTAGTAGTTAAGCTTAAAGATAAAACATTTAAAACGTTTCGCAATTATACAATTAAATGTGGCTGACAATTATTTTGACCATTTCGTTGGGCTTATTGTAGGAGTTTGTTGTAAATTAATTTTATTTTTTGTTTATTTAATTATTTATTTTTTATGGGCTACAGATTTTTACAATATATCCCTCAAATGGCGATAGAGAGAAGGCAGGGATTATGACTTAGAAGTGGATTTATTTTAATGTGTTATTTGAATAATGAAATAAAATGATGAAAAGTAAAATTATATTATATTGAAAATATTTCAAAAAATAAATTTAAAATAAAATAATTTGTAAATATATTTAATTGATCTGAAAATAAAACATGTATTTTAGAAGATTTTCCAAGAAAATCGCTGGGCTTAAATTATATAAATATATAAAATCCAATGGAAATGCAATAAAATTTTGAATTTTTTAACCAAGAATTTATATATTATTAAAAATTTAATATAATTATAATTTATAAATTAATTTTAATTATATATTAATTATGAAGCAAATTTAAAAAAATATATAATTTAATATGAATCTTGCATTTTATTATATAAATATAGTAAAAATTTTTAATTCATTTTTAACAGAGATTAAGTTAAGCTTAGCTTTCATAAATTAATAGAAATACCTTTGGTGTGGAACGTTATTAAATTAATTTATAAACATTAAAAAAATACCTAAAGACAACATGAAGCTTTATCTGCGCGCTTGAAAGCATTAGAAGCCTAACTGAGTATTGAGACTCACAGTGAATACTTGATGGGAAATGATCAAGAAATAAAATATTAATAATTAATATTATTAATGTTATTATAAAAATAAATAAAATATATATTATGCACTGCATTTTTTAAATAAATGTTTGATATAATAAAAATTATATAAAAAGATATATATATTTATTTATATGTATATTAATTTGCATATTTTGTTTGGAATTTAAGTAAATGAATTATTTTAATATATATTTGATAGCTTAAAAAATCATTTGGTGTTTTATTGAAATGATGAATATCAAAGAAATATTTTCACTTTATATTTCACATCTTAAAATCACAAGAAATTATGTAAATGAATAAGTAAAATGACCTTAAGTTCCCTGTGTACTTTTAACATGTCTAACTATAGATACCTTCAGGTGTTTTGCCAGGTGTCTAAACTGGTATCGCCGCGCGTTTTTTGCTGCTTCCGTTGCCGATCGTTGTGGCGCTTCCGCTGCCGCTGCCAGTGCTTGCAACGTCGCTGCTTTCACTGGTTGCCAGTTGCGGTTGATCTGCTTGCTGCTGCTGTTGCTGTTGCTGCTGGCGTTGCTGTTCCTTTAGCAGCTGCTGTTGCAATTGCTGTGCGTTTAGCTATAAATTGGTCTGCAGCACTGGCGCTCGTCTGCTGCCATTTGTTGCTGCCGTGGGCGCAACTTCCGTTGCGGATGCTGCATCCGTTGCGCCGACAGATACCGTTGTTACCATTGTTGCTGTTGCTGGTGTTGCTGCTGCTGCTGCTGCAGTTGTTGTTGCTGTTATTGGTGTTGCTGTTGCAGTGGCAACTGGACTACTGGCCAACGGCTTGCTAGCCGTGCTGACTACTATTACATTAGGTTGGCCATGCTGCTGCTGATTGATTTTGTTGTTGTTGGCCACGACCTGCTCGTCGCTTGGCTCTGTGCCGTTGCCATTGCCATTGCCATTGCCGTTACCGTTGCCATTGTCATTGGAAGTGGGCGTGCCTGTTGTTGCATTAGTTGGCACATATTGATCAGCATACGGTATTTGGTTGTAAGCATTGCAGTCCAAAGACGCAAATATGCTGGACAATGCAATTGTCTGTGTGGCCATCTCGCACAACTTCTTGGCCTTTATCGAGTGCTCTGCAACGGATCGACAAGCAGATTGTGTTTGTGTGCGTGTGTGTGATTGAGGAGTCAGGCTGCAGGACCTACCTGTTTCAGTGGGCGTGATATGTTTCTGCAGCTTCTCCTCCTGTGCACAAGTGGCGGCCGTCACAACGGCTGCGGCCATCATTGAGGAGGGGCCAGTGCCAGCGGTGCGATGCATGTTGCCATAGCGCGGCGGCATCATGCTCTGGCGCACATTGCGTTCCGGTCGAATGAGTATTATATAGAGCTGCACGCCAAGAGAGAGAGAGAGAGTGAGAGAGAGAGAGAGAGAGAGAGAGAGAGAGAGAGAGAGAGAGAGAGAGAGAGTGTTGACATAAGCAGTTACGATTATAAGCCCACATTTCTGGCTGGGCCATTCATTAATCATACGCCCCGTATTGTATTGTCTCTATTCTTGGTATCAGCAGCGATACGCCCAATGCCATTAGTAATATACCGTGCTGTAGCGGCTGCGGTAATTAATAACAAAGGCCACTGACACGCTTAGGCGGCGTTCAACAATTCCAGACCATTAAATTGTCAGCGCTCGCTGGCGTTATCCTCGCCACGACGCGACGTAACGTTAAGCTCTTGCGTTACGTAACGCGCTGCCATTTCCGCCTTGGCGTGACATTGTTTGCCGACGTTTATTATTGTTGTTGCTGTTGCTGTTTTTTTACCTCTACAAACAAACAACGGAACCCGGCACAGGAAGACCACCAGCCGGACACGGCACCTGTGCAAAGAAATACATATAAGCCAGCTCCTCTGACTCGCTCGTTGCCTAATGCTGCTCGGAAGTTGCTTACTAGCCTGCCAGCCTTACTTGTTCGCCACGCCCCTCTGGGAGCCACCAGTTATACAGCACGGCTCCAGCTTGCTGTCTTAGTTCAGTGATCCCAGTTGCTTTGTGCTCGACTATTCGTTGTAGTAGTTGGCGAAACAGCAAATACTAAATTGCATTTTTATGGCTTGAGGTGTTTATGGCAGCCACCTGCGTGGCTGGTTGTGCGGGTGTGTATGTCTGGAGCAAAGTGTGCATTATGCGACATCTGATAGCGCTGCGGCTCTAGCCAGGCCGAGTTGCCATTTTGTTGGCTAATAAGAGCAACTGCGCTTAGTATTTATTGCCATTGGGCGACGAAAACATTTTGTGATAACTAGCTGTTAGACGCAAGGAGTTCGTAAAAGGATGTTTCTTTTATGTAAATAATCTACATGTGCTTGGTGTATTGTATGGCAGTTGCTTAAGACTAAACTGTGATCAACTTCACTCTGAGCTGAGGCGCAGCAGCAACTGCCACTTCACATTGTGTAAGCCTTAAAAAACTCGAAATAAATATGAGCAATAGATATCTTAAGCTCAAGCTGAATCTTTAGAACTTCCGACTAGCATGTGCATATGCCACTGGACCGAGCAGCCTTTCCTTGTTATTTACTGCCTTCTATACAAATTGTTTATAAAGAACACTAAACCCAAACACACATTCAAACAAATTTATTGCACAAGGTCAGCCGAAAAGAAAAAAGGAAGTTCTTTCCCAAAAGTTTGAGGTTCACTTTGCATTTAATGGCAAACTTTAAGACGTCAATTTAATGCTACAATTTTAACGAACTGCGCCTTTGGGCCAAGTGTAAGTTGTAAATTCCGAAACTGTCCAAGTAAGTTGTTAGTGAACTTTTAAGCACACACTGCAGTCAAGTCAAGCCAATGGCCCGCCCCCGCCCTCATACCGCCCCACTAATCCCCGCCATAAATTGCTGAAGATATTAAGCTTGACTTGCAGTTTGCCTCAACCTAATGGCTAATAATGGAGCATTATTAAAAATGTTATGGGGCAGCATCAGAGTTCATTGCTTGCACTTTTGCTTGTTGACATTTAAGGCTACTTAGTGTCTGCCCCGATGGCACGCTTCAATAAGGCAACAACATGGGGCAGCTGGCTGAGCGCTTTAAGGCAGCCAAAGATCTTCAACAGCTAAGGAACAGTGACAGTCAAAAGTATGCACATCAGGTCTCAATATATTGATGAGAAATTAAATGTAAATTGATAAGAAAATGCGGGAAAATTCAACTTGAAATTGTTTCCAAACTTAAGTTTGCTCTTTGAGTGTGTTAAGTAAAAAAATTTGGTCAGTTTAAGCCAGAAAATGGATGTTGATCTATATACTTTAGCATAGCACTATATCCGATTGACAGCGAAACATTTTAATAATTTAGCAGGAAACAAGGCAATTAACGATGTTCGACTCGTAATCAATTCGCGCATTTGCAGCCGTCGCATAAATTGTTAATGGTCTGTCTTATGCTGTCTGCCCCCCTGACTCTTACCTTTGGCGAGAACAGACACGCAATCGTCACGCTGGCAGACAGGCTAATGGTCACTGACATGCTCGTTATGCGCAACGGCACGTGGTTGGCGGTTCCAAAGTAGAGCGGCACAAAGGCCAGCCAAATGACGCAGGTGGTGTACATGGTGAAGCCTGGAACGAATTAGCAGATTGAATAGACATTAATACCAAAGACTATAAGGATATTATAATTTAAGCTCTGCTAGAAAATCCACCTGACAGACGATGCAGACAAAAGAAAAATTCAGATGAAAAGTTAAAACCTTTAAATTTAATATCGTCTTCAGGATTCTAATAAAAATTAAGCTCTCTTTTCTGTTTATAGGCCACATAAAAAATAAGTATAGCTTCGTAGAGCACTTACCGATATGCTTTGATTCATTGAACGCCTCGGGTATCTTGCGGGTGAGAACCGCATAAACAGTGCAAACCACAATCAGGACGATGGGATAGGAGAACGCTATCATATATGAGGCGTCTATGTACGAGTCGCACACCAGCAGATTATCCTCGCGTACCGGATAATGATGTATGGCATGTGATGGGGCAATTACCATCCAAACGCCGTTAATGAGTATCTGCAGCGGTTAAAGAGTCGCATAGTTAAGCTCAAAGCCGAATCGCTGCTGCTGCGTGGCCTGCTCTCATGCACTTACCTGTACGCTGATGAAGCACGTGCAAATCACCAGCTGCGATTTGGGGCTAATGAACGAGGGCCGTTTGGCTGACTGTTTGCCAGCCTTGAAGATGCGTGCTATGCGATTCGTTTTGGTCAGCAATGCGGCATAGACGACCGTGAAGCAAAAGCCCACAGCGAACCTGCAAAAAAGTGAGCCACACACAATTGTAAAACAGTCAAAACTTGCATCTACCACACACACACACACACTTACCGCTGAATGGCGCAGACAATGTTTGTTGGCTTGAGGACGAGGGCAAAGGTTACGCCGTAGCACATAAATATGCCAGCCAGGAGTATGTAGCTCAGCTCACGACCCGAAGCGCGCACAATGGGCGTGTCGTTGTGTCTGAGTTGAGGATATGGGTGGCAGCAGTAAGACAAATAGACAAAGTTATATTAGTTATATATATGCAAATATATATATGCAGTTGCCAATTAAAATGACTTCTACAGTTGCAACTGAATTGAAGACATAAAACTTTTTAATTGCCGCATACAAGAGGTCGAAATACCCGATGCCAGAGCAAGAACTACAGCTGCATTTGCAAAAAGAGGGACGCGCACTCACCGGACAAACACGCCCACGACAAAGAGCGTTATCAATATGCCAGTCGCACTGAACGCCATGGCACCAATGGCCCAAGCGGACTCGGGTCGCAAATAGACCTCAGGTATGGCGCGGCAATACTGTTTGTAGGTATCCGGCAGCGTGCCCATCTTGCAGAGCACACACTGCGTTTCGTCGTCAGGATGGCGAATCTGCAAAAAATGAGACACAAATTAAATATATAATTAAAGAGCGAGCCATGGAATTGTTTCAGGGGGGCCAAGAACATTAAACAAAGGCAAAAATAAAAAAATAACAAGTAGCTTTAGTGCTTAAATGCATTTAACGTAAGGGAATCAAAGTGAAATTGATGTGCCGAAGACTAAAAGATATCCTGGAGAACGCGAGGGAAAAAAGAAGAAGAGAGTGAGGCAGAGAGTGAGCCAAAATGATACGATTCTTAGAGTTAGCAGAGAACTTCAAAAATTAGAGGAGATCAAGTTAGCATAATAATCTTAATAATAAAATTGAAAATATAAAAAATATAGGTGTTAAAATTTATATGAAGATTTAAAGTAGAGATACATAAAAATAAAAAATTGTATTTATATAAATGTTTAAAGCTTAAAAAAATATAAGAATCATAGAAATAAAATATATAAAAAAATTAATTAAAAAAATATATTTATATATCAAAATGTAAAGTTAAATAAATAAAAAATAATATGTATATATACATAAAATAAAATAAATAAAAAAAAAATAGTTAAAAAATAATAAGCAAATTTAAAGAAAGAAATATATATAAAATATCATGCTTAAAACTCCATTAAAATAAATAAAAATATAATTAAAATACCAAATATCAAAATTCAAGAAAAATAAATAAAAAATAAAACAATTTATTTTTCACATTTCGAATTATTTTTATTAATTACATTTATTATCCTACAACTCCAGTCTCATAGAAATGCACAATATTCTCTGCTATATAGACTTAATGGGAATTATAAAACGTTGCTATAACTTCGAGCAAATTGAATATGTGAAGAGCTTAAAAGTGTTGATTTGTGTAAAAACATAAAATTCGCTTCGGCTCACTTTAAGCGAATGCAGCTCATTTCGCAATTGAATTTTATGCTCATGCTGCTCGGTCAGGCTACAGCTTGCTCTCGTTATAGTTGTGGGCATTGAGCAGGAAAGCGCTTTCATTCTCTAGTTCTCACAATAATTCACTACATTACATTTCAATCAGGACAAAAGCCTTGCAAATAAATTACGAATTGTGCGCCACTTTGCGGCGGCAAGTTCCAGTTCCATTTAAGCTTAAATCAAGCGACCAGCTGAATGCATTGCATTGCTTTTGACTGTTTGTACTGCTGCGGGTAAAATGGAAGCGGAAGTTTCACTTACTTGATAGGTCGTGCAATTGAAGCAGTGCCAGCAACAGCTCTCGCCCTCGACATATCTCTTGGCCTGGCCGCGCTCGCAGGGCAGACTGCAAACGGATTCCGGAGGTTTCGGATGCAACAGCTTGAATTTTACCTCTGCAATGTGCCAAACAAAGGAATACATTTGTATACGTGTGTGAGGGTGTTTTGTACCTGTTGAGTGGCGTTTACTTACCGGACATGTTCAGGCGCAGCTCGCCCTCGTAGTACTCGCCAACCTTGACCCAGCGGTACTGACCCGCCACAGACTGCTTGAAGTGGATGATGTTATAGCGAGCAGGGCCGTCGCCGTTGCCGTCGAAGCGAAAATCATCGCCGCTGAGGCCTGCACAGAAAATAAATGCTTTGGGTTAAATGTGTTTACGGCTTGACGCCCAGAGCACCAGCACCGAAACCAGAACCAGCGCAACTGGAGACCTAAGGCTTCTCCTTATCAGAAAATTGACAATTTGCGCGTTTTGCGTCAGTCGCCGACTGACTGGCTGGCATGGCCTGGCATGGCCTGGTCTGGGCTTTCTTGTATAATTTATTGAATTTCAAATTGAGTTCAATGACGATGACAAGCAAGTCAATTTTCCACTCGAAAGCATGGCCAATGCGCATTGTGGGCAGAGTCTGAGACTAAGACTATGACGCAAGGAGCAACTCATCGCACAGTGCGCCTCGGCTATAACCACTTAAATTATTTGCGCAACACTTGCGACAGCGACACGCCATTCACACACTCAAGCACACCAAACAAGAGGCAACAGCCGTTATCTAAAGCATCCAATAAAACTTTCGTTAAATATTTAACCAGCTTAAATTATGCTGCTGTCCATATAAAGCTTACATTTTATTTGAATCCGCATGTTTCTTAAACTTCATAGACAATCTGTTAAGAATGGACTAGAAATTATGATAAATTTATACAGAAACATAACAGAGAGCTGCATGGAACAAAATCGTCTTAAATGAATGAAAACTGAGCACAAAGCACTCAAGGAAAATATTATAATTTCAGTTTCGTGATACATATACAGAAAGTATTTAATACTTCAGTAAGTACTAAGTAGCATATGACTAAAACTAAGTTATGTATCATATTTTAAGCTACTCTAATGTTAAATAGAATTTTCATCCCTTTTAGCAGCCACTACTATTTTTATGAACAGCTACATTTTGTTACTTTTCCTTGGCTCCCAAGCCATGGGGTACAAAAGTTCTCAAGTTTGTAACAAAAAACCTGTATGTTCATAAACAATACGCTTGTCTTAATATTCGTTGCAAATTCTTTTCAAAACTTTGCTTTTATCACTTAATTTTTTTGACCAATATTTGATGTTCAAAACTCCATAGTATTTACTAAATGTAAATTGAGAGAGAACTCAAGGAAAATAATATATTTTTTAAATTATTTAAATATATATATATATATATATATATATATATATATATATATATATTTAATTGTAAATATTATATTTAATTATAAACATTATATTTATTATTATTATTTTAATTATTTAAGATGATATCTGTTATATCAAATTCCCACATCACCTAATCATTGACTTCGATAAAAATATTCTTCAGCAAGCTGTATATTTAAATTAGCATAGCTTTCATTCTTCCTTTGCGCATATATTTACTTATATATTCGACTTTTGTGATTAGCTAACTTACCCTTGAATTGAACTTTACGCAAATATTTGAGCAAATCTGCGCCCTTTGTTGGCTTCATGGCATCGCAGAGCGAGGGGCGACCGCCGCACAGGTCACGATGCATATCCCTGCGTGGATGGAGCAGCTTGATTGGTTTGCCATGGTGTGTTGTGTATGTTGCTTACCTCAAGGCATAGGCAAATGCCATTACCGCATCGCTAACGAACTGCAACTGATCCTCAAAGTCAGTGTTCTGCCGCGAGAGGCGCTCCTTGGTGGTGCAGGTGCGCGTATAGTTGTTGTAGGGTGTGCTGGTGCTGCCCGGGTAGCGGCATTGAAAGTGGTCCTCCCAGAATTCTGCAAGAGCGGCTCGGTTAATTTAGCAGAAAGAATCTCCCCAGGCCGAACAAAGGCGGCAAGGACAAAAAGGGATTTTTCGTACCCACGAACCAGGGATTGCGCTGGTTATTCTCCACGGTCAGGTTTAGAAAATATTCCTCGAAACCACGCACGGGATTAGCCTGTGGCTGCACGGACAGTGTGCCCTCCACCTACACGAACGCAACGCCAAAAAAAAGGACGAAATATAGAAGAGAAAAGATAACTTTCGGGCTCACGTCGCGTATGCGTAATTAATTTGAGTTCAGTTACGGCTGCCACTCGCCGTGGTGCTGTGGGGCGCTTTGGGTGCCAAATTAATTTGGCCTAGCCACGCCTTTTGGCTGGCATATGCAACACACACACACACACACACACACACACACACGCACACTCGCACACACACAATTTATTTCAATTAAACCATAATTCATCATAGAGCAGCAACATTTTGTCTGGTTGGCGCTTTTGGCCGTTACCATCATTTATAAATTTGTAGTTGGTGTCATGTCATTGCACGCCCCCATCACTCATCTAATGGGCGTGGCACATCAGCAGCTTGCCCAACGACTCATTAATCACACTTTCGCGCGCATTTACGCTCATAATTTCCGGTTTGGTGTCGCCACCAAAACCAGTTAGTCTAAGCCGAGTATTTTCTGCCACTTGCCTCTGGTTCGTAGTCATCCGAGACGAGATTTCGCGCACTCCATCCGTCGGAACCAATCCAGGAGAAGGCGCCTGTTGCATTCGCACGCCTCACCGCTCGCATCACTTGGCGCACTTCCTGATCCGAGCCAAAAATGATGGCGCCTGTTCGATTTTCAATTTGCCATTTGTGCCCGCAGGAGAAAGAGAGAATGGACGAAAATTACATTTAATTGCATTAAATATAAGGCAAGTGAATTAACATGCTGCAAGCCAGCCAGCCAGCCAGCCAGTCCGTCAGTGAGTCTGCAGGCTCTTCTGTGCCAATTTCCTATAATTTGTTGCATATTTCATTTTATTCTGCGACGTGCCTTTTCGTTACAAATGAATTGCAAATTGCATTTTCATGTTCATACATTATTTTTCATTTAAACAATTCACGAGCTTTTTCGGCACAGTAAAGTTTGTGTATAAAGCAGAAAACAGCTTTAACTTTTGTATATTAATAGTTTGTAAATCGTTTGCTTACAGAAATTCATGAACGATTCAATTTGCATTAAGCTAAAATTATGCTAGCAGTTTTAAAGCGAAATCCAATTAAGTACAGTTGAGTTTTTTACCAATTTCAACAGTTTCGGAAAATTGTGGCAAAGCCCTCCGGAATTCTATGAAAATGCAAGCACTTTTTTACTCTGAAAAGCTTTGAATTTAAATAAAATTTCAATAAATAAATTTACCATAAAAATTAACCCCTCAAAAGCTTTACCAACTGAACACTTTCGCCTAATCTATTTACTTTAATAAACATAGAGTAGTCAATAGATAAACATTGTTCTACGATATTAAAGCAGCTGTAAAATGCTCTCACTTACTCAAATCATTTCTCGTCGTAAAACAGAATAACCATAGAAAATGTATAAAAAAAAATGAATTTATAATATCCCATTGAATTTGATTTATTTAATTTAATTTTATTTTGTTTGCAGGCTAAAATATTTCTTTTTGCCGCTCTAGCACCGATTTTATTGGCAAAACTTTTTGACATTTAACATGACAAATATTAAGAAAAAAAACCATTAAAAAAATGTTCAACCACATTTCAAATGATGGCAGCGGGAACTGCGTCAATCATACGCCCTGTGGTACGCTTATTTCATAAAAAAAAGTCACTGAATTTGATTTGTATACCCTGTGCTCAGACAGTTGACTAAGAGGGTATGATGGTTATGATTGCTTAGGATTATTATTAATATTTATATTTTATAAATATGTGAGAGAATTTGGAGTGGCATAAGTAACAGCAAATCAACAGATTACAATTGCATTATTAGCATTGCTTAATTATCAGCTACGGCGCATACTCTAGTCAGTTCCCTTTTTCACGCATTTTTCTCTTGCTTTTTATTGCTTGGAGGCATTGAAAATGTATGTAAAAGTTTGATTTGCAAATATTAATCAAATGCCAGTTACAGACTGCCAAGAAGTATATATTAAAAATAATTACCATCAGACGGTCTTACGCATATCATTAATCAGTGGCGACGGCCACTGAACGCCAGATGGCGCTGCAGTCGCACATAAAATCGACTCCTGTGTGGCGTCAGTTGATTTACATAAATGCGCCATCAGTAGTCGTTAAGGAATTGACTGGCTGTAATCGAGAGACGAGGGCGGACAACCTTTTCCCCAAAAAAGGGTTTCATTCCCGATCATTATTTATTGTGATTTGTGATTTGACGCCATTTACCAACACAGTTCCATTCAATAGCCTCCGCTGCTCAAGTATTTCGCTCATTTCGTCAGATGATTAATCAAACTGACAAAGTATTTTCCCTCGCACGAAGCTTTACATGTATGTGCCACGGCTTGAAAAATTATGCTCCGAATTGTAAGTGTAACTGCGACTGCTAACTGCCAATGGGTGGTAAATTTTAACAGGGGCGTGAACTTATAGGAAACGAATCTGATGTCCCTTACATGCTTTTGCTTTTGCAAAATTTACTGCGAGAATTCTAAAGCGCTGTTAAATAAACACACAAACGTCTGCATTGATTTTTAAGGAGCGCAATGGCTAGCGTCATGGATTGCTACCAGAAAATATCATATTAATATACAAAGGAAGCCGTTCTAAATATAAAATAAATATTTTTGCAAGCATTCTGCTGGATATGTGCTTGACAAACTGTTAATCTGGTGCTTAACTCTAGCAGGAACATGGGAAATTGGAATTTTTGTAATTTCCTGCACATGTAGCCACAATTACGAACGTATTACACCATGGACAACGGTTGGCACAAGGCTCAGTCTGAGCATAGAACAAAGAAGCTGCTTGGATAGAAACAGAAAGGCATTGTTAAATTTTGGTATTCTACGTGCAGCTGTTGCTGTTGCTGTTGCTGCTGCGCCTGATTAAGTTTCGCTTAACTTTCAACTCGGCACAAAGGCCAATCGATAAGTTTGGCAGCCGAAAAAGGCCTGAGAGCCAGTGGGGCAAAATTATGGCGCCAAACAAAGCAAAAAATGTGATTGAGGAAGGTGGGAATGTGGGATGTGAGGTAACTCTGCTGTTGCTGATAAGAAATGACAACTGCAGTCGACACAGCAGACGAAGGCAGAAGACTGGAGGATGCCAGCGTCAGTTTGTATGTCCATAACAATGAAAGTCATAACAATGAAAGTAAGACCAGCCAGGCGAGAGTCGCCCGACTGACCATCGAGAGTCAGGCGTCAATAAAACGGACATTTTTTGCCCACTGTGGTGTCCCAGTGAGGCGCACAGCAAGAACTGAAACTGAAAATGAAACTAAGACTGCGACTGCGACTGAGATTCAGACTGAGGAACGTTAAGTGGCTGTCTGAATTTCTTGCTCATTGTTTGCATTTTGATAACTTGCGCCCAACACTTTGGCTGAAGCCACTCGACACAGCCCACAAAGTATCCTTAGCAAGTCCTGTGCCAGCCCGTCTGGACCAGCCTCGTCCGTCGTCGCTCTGTGTGCATGTTTAATTAAGTATCAAAGAAAAATGCCTTTGTCATTTCATAGCAGGCAATTGAAATGTTTGCTTGCGAGCAGCGCCTTTTGCGGTTTTGATTTGGGTCTGATACTGTTTATATTGGTTTCCTAATTTACATTTTGTGTTTAATTAGGGCTCTTGTGATTGATTCTGTTGAGAGCGCTACAACACTTGTGTCCTGACCTGGCCTACATTTGACTTTGCTTAACCACATTTTTAATTGACAACTACTTTAAAAGCTACTCAAGTGTCGGTAAATTTAATATCAATGAGCTGCGAATGAAGTGTTTTTTTTTTTCAAATTAAATCATTTGAATGATTTGCCTATCACATTATAGCTGAAAATGCTGTGAGCTGAGTTTTCCGTTTCCCTTTAATATAATTACTGTGCGTACAAAAATTCATAAAATGTCTTTTTAGACTTATAAAAGTTCAAATTAAAATAGAACAAAAACATAAATTTTTGATTTCAATGAAATGGCGTTTTCTAAATTGATAAATTTATGACATTAATATTCAAGTATGATTTTGGCTATATGGCAACACGAAGCGAAATATTGATATTTTAAATTTAATTTTTTCAGAATATAAATTTTTTCAGATTCAACACACAATAAAGTGCAGCTAACAGTTTTTGGTGTATGTAACAAATAGAGTTTCGAGTAATGCTTGTAAAATATCTTCACTCTGCCAGAATTCTATTTATTTATGTTCGCATTCATCCAAAAATTGGATAAAAATGTCAGCAATTTGGAAAGAGTCTATTGATAATAAAATGCCAAGCTAAGCTCAATAAAAACCAACAATCAACTATTAAACAGGCTGTCAAATAATGTAGTGTTGTCAAATAAAAGCTGGCAGCCACTAAAAAAACTAAAAAAAACTAAAAAAATTGTATATACATCAAATACAATGAGCAGACCACAATAAATGTGAAACGCTTAGAGACGTTTTAATCGGAAAGCTTAAATTTACTATTTAGTATGCCTAATTTATTTATGAAATATATATATATATATATTTGAATTGATAACACATAATAAACAAATAATTAGTATCGATAGCAACTGTTTCAATTTGAATTTTAAATTTATGCACAATATTTTCATGCACTATTTATTATTTAAGATTATGATAGTCATTTGCATGTATTGTTTTTAGTTGACTCTGTTTATCCGATATAAATTATTTATAAGGCACGCATTCATTGCAGCAGCGTTCGTTAAATTTGCTCATTTGTTTATTAGTGCCGCCTAAAAAACATTTTAAATTTGACATATATCAAAATATCGATTGCTCTTTAAGCAAACCTAAGCAGAAAATAACTCAGCCTAGCTTGTCTTGGCTCTATATCCTGCTTTTATTTAAATTCTATTTATAATATTTCCCACCGAAAAAAAAAAAAAACAATTGAATGAAAGACTCTGTTGCCTGCTAAAGTGTAATAAATATATTCATCAATGAACAACAACACTGAATATAGTATCAAAATTCGTATAGCAAATAAAAGGAGAAGTAAATAAAAATAAAATTTGCATATGTTCATGTATTTTCATGTATTTCTTCACTTTTAATTGGCCTGACACTGGAAGAGCTTGTTGTGCTCACTGCCAAATATTCTCATCATGTTTACACTATTGACTCGATAAAACTGTATATTTTTTATACATACGCAAACAAGTCCCGTTGAGCAATTTACCAATGCCTCTTCGTAGTTTATTTTACCATTTGCAAAGTCGTCGGACTTAACACTTTAATTTCCTGCACTGACTGTGCCAATAGCAAACGGTGCAGGTCTCAATTAAAGTAACATGAAAAAGTGAAAGTGGCTTGGATCGGACTGAAAGTTACCCAGTTGCCTGATTGATAACAGACAGACATATGAATATAAATATATAGTTGGGAAATAGCTAATATGTTTTCGAAAAACTCTAAATTAGAAGAGGGAAATGGAGCTGACTGGCTCACTTTATGATCTCATTCAATCAATCAGTAGACAATAAATTTTGTCCTCTAGGCTTAATAAAAAGTCACATATTTTAATGTCCAGAATAGGGTATACGAAGAATGCATACATGTCAGTCCAACATACGACTGTCGTTTAATTTGTGCAATTTCCGTGGCCTGCAGCTAGTGCAGTGCAACAAAAAAAACTCGCTTACACGATGTACTGCATAAGTGGCTGTCAGTTTTGCGCTATTTTTCGTTCGTTGACATTTAATTTAAAATCATTTTTTATTTTGTATTTTTATGGCTCTGTTTATGTTGTTATTGCACTCACCTCGCGCACGCGGCTTGGTGAGCAGCTTCTGCACAATATTATCGTATGCAATATCCTCAGCCACTCCCGAATCCTTGACGAGCTTCTCCTTAATGGCAATACAAATGTTATGGCGTGCCAGCAACTCCTCTAGCTCCTCAAATGCCTGCAACAACACGTAGACAAAGAAATGGAAAATTACTTTCGTTGCGGAGCAAGAGCGACGCGCCGTGCGCTGACTGTGTGCCCACATCCGGGCCATAAGTGCCGACCACCTGCTCCTGCACAGCAATAAAAAAACACAGAGCTCTCCGCAAAACAAATATGCAACGCTTCGTGACACACAAAAAAGGAAAAGACGAAAAACGGCAAAAACAAAGGAAAGTAAAAACCGAAATAAACTTAAATTGAAGCTGCAGCACAGAAACTGCTGCCAAACACGCGAAATTCCTCAACTTCGTTTAAGCAACACTTTCCAAATTGAATAAGCTTCCAAGTAGCGTGAAATATGCCGGAATAATACAATAATTACATTTTAAGTACAGGATTCAAATGAGAGAATTAACTAAAGCGCTTGTTAGGGAAACTATTTAGCTGGCTTAGACTATTAAAGTTTATGAGTAATTGAAAAATTTTTAATGAAAAACTTATTTTTGATATTTTTGCTGATATTGTATGTGTGATATTATAGTATAGTATTATAGTATAAGAATTATAGTATATAGGGATCTATTCAGGCTTACTTTCCGAGTCATAGGGGACGACAGAGGGAATAACTGAAGCTAGACTGTCAGACACCACAATAGAAAAAACTTCCTATTATATTATATTTATTATTAACTTCTATGCACTACATATATGGACAACATGCTGATTGAAAACACAGCAAAGTTATAGAATTATGTGCTTAATAGCTGCAAAAATTGCATATATTCTTGTTGCCTTCATGTTCATAGCCACGCCGCACTTACCTTGATGCCATAGTTGCTCTCCTCGTAGATAATCGAAACATAGGTCCAACCCATGCTCTTGACAATCTCAACCATGGCCTTCACCTGGTAGTGGTCGGAGGGAATGGTGCGTGAGAAATACTCGAAGCGCTGCTTGTTGCTCAGCTCCGGGCTGGTTGAGAAATACGAGACCTGCAAAATGTAGTTGCATAAGCGAAAATTTTGTGATGAAAACTATTCTATTAGAGCGTCAACAAAATTGCAAAATATAAAAAAAAAACAAATAAAAAATAAAAAATAAAGTGACTGCTATTGCCGTCGATGGAAGCTGGTAAAAAGCGGTGTGCCATGCACTTTTCGATGCTCACAAAGTAAGTATGCTTGAAGCGGGGCAATCACAACAACAAGTCTGCTTGCATGACTGCAAATGCCCTTGGGAAATTGCACGACACAAAATCATAATTTACTAAGCAATTTCTTACTAGTTTCGGTTTCCCTTTTTAAAACGCTTGAATAATGGGCCCTTGCATGCTATTTGCTATTTAATATCAACTACATTTTGCTGCTGCATTCATTAGAAACACTAAACTTGCCATTAAACTGATTGTCGAGGAAATTTACGATACTAAATGAGTTTTTATTCCTCTTTAAAATATTTCGAGATTCGGAAATTATAAATACTTTGTAATTAAAGTGATTGCTGTGTCTTGAGTATTTTGACTTATTTATATTTAAGGTTGCTGAAATTATTTATTTATATATAACTATGCATAGCCTTAATGTTGAATAATTTCTATAAATTAATTGTTTTCTCCTGAAAAATGTTTAGCAATTTTTTTGTAAGCTTGTTTGCAAAATTGTTGATGAATATTTTTTGAATTTATAAAAACTCAATTTTATTTTATTTTAAAATTATTAAAACAGCATACAATAGGAAAATAGCTGCTGGACTGTAGCTCGTATGATATAAATAATATTTTTTATTGCGGAGAATGTGAAGACAGTTTTATTAACAGAGAATAAAATGACATGAAGTCAATCAATAAACAACTTTTTAAATGTATTTATTTATATTTTTCCAATTATTACTTATACATTATATTATATATGAAATAATGTAAAATATATTTTAATTCCAGTTCAAGATCATTTGTGTTTTATTTTATAAATAGCAAAAAGTGTTTTATAAAAATGGCACAAAATGTGCGACTTCCCAATAATAATTTGAATATCCAACTCTTTGCACATTTGCACTTATCTTCAGGTTTTTTTTTTTTTTGCATGTCTGCATTTATATGTTGCCTTTTTGTTATATTTTTACTGTACTTTCAGCATAATTCTTTGCGTTTCCGTTTTTTAAGCACTTCTCAGCTGGGCAGCTTATCTTTTCCACACCATTTTCCACGACTTACTTTTCCGGACATCTCTCAGAACTTTTCTTTTCGCTCTGCAGCTGTCGGCGCTGTCAGAAATTGCTTGGCTCATTTTGCAAAGCTGTGCAGTCAGCGTGCCACAAAGCCACAGACAAAAGCCAAAAACCATCGAAGCCTCGCTTTCGGCTCAGCTTAAAAGTTTTTCCACTGCCAAAAAGCAGCTGGCGATGCCACTAGAATCCAATTTCATGCGCAAATTAACACCGTTTGCTTTGTGACTGACAACATTTGTTAACCTGCGAGAATGGGGCAAATGCGCGTGGCTATTGAACCAATTGCAATTCATTTGAACTGCACTGCACTATTCCACACGACATCCGTGACGCCATGGAGTCGCCCCATTTACTCCATTTGCAGGTATTTAGCAAACTACTTGATTTCTAATTAAGTGCCATTTCTAACAGCTGCTCCTCCAGTGGCTTCTGTGCTTCTGTCAACAATTTTGCAGTCAGGTGTTTGTGCAGTCTCTGAGACTGATAATGAGATTCCCAGAACGCCATGCAAACTGTCGCCGCTTTGTGAAAACTTGCTCAAGCATTTTAATTCGCAATGCGGTGTATGTTAAGCGTCTGCTGTTCACATGTGTCTCACTTCGGAACTAAACTAACAATATGTAAAATATACTAAAAGAAAACAAGACAGCATAATATAATCGAATTCCTTGAATTGAATGGAATTAATGCTTGTTCCATTATTTTTTCTTTCTTTCTAAGTCAAAGTAGCTTGAAGAAGTTTTTGAAATATGCTAAGCTGCTTTGACTAAGCATTCTTGAATTCTTGACAATAGGGAAAATACTATTTTCTTTTATATATTTTACACACATATCTTATATATTTAATCTATGAATCGATTTTCTTAAATGCGTTCACTGTTTCAATCTTATTTAGCAACGAAACGAATCGAGCTCTTTGAACCATGCCCATTTGTTTATGGGGCTTGTATTGAGCAATATATTTTTCATTCCAGCTTGTTATGGATATTAAAATGATGGCTCTCTTAGGACATATAAATATAGTATTTATCATGCATCGCTTTGCCTAACCTTGCGTATTCCGCTTTGGGGATTCCATTTGCACTTTGACTACAGCTTAAGCGAAAGCGAAAGCTAGCAGGCCTTTGGACATTTTTACTTTATATTTAAACTGTTTACCTGTAAAAATTAAAACTATAAACATTCTACTACCACCTCAATCAGAAGACAGAGCTGTTTAACTTGTGCCACTGAGTAGAGGACAAGCGAGCTTAGTTGACTATTCAGGTAAGAGTACTGGAAGTTACTATCCTCATTAATTTTAGCTACTAATTAAGATCGATTTCGTATGAAAGGCTTATGGCAAAAGAAAATCATTTTCATTTTCATTTCATCATGCTCTAAACAGAGAAATAAAGTAACCAATTTTTGTTAGATTCCTTTAACTAAATAAGTACGAAAATTCTGCTAAATTTCAGCGTAAGGTGAAGAGAATAAAATTGATAACCTGGCTTCAGAAAGAGCACATCTCTATATCATATATTCTTAAGAAAAGTTTCCATTTACAGTGCCATTTCTTAAGCCATAAGCCAGAGTGCTTCAGATAAGCACGCACACATTCTAAGCTGGCGCACAGTCAGTTATAGTTATTCCCGGAAAAATGTTCAAATAAATCTACACTTTGGTCATATTTTATCAATATCAAATTACTTTGTAAGTCTTTGGCTTTCAACTTCTTGACTTTGGCTTGGCATATTTGATGGCAAATTAAAGGTTGAGTCCATATATTGTACTAGAGTTGCCGTTGGTTTGGGTCAACATTGTTTTTTGCTGGCCACAAGCCATCAACTACCAATGAAATGCAATCAAATGCTAACGCTTGATTTATGGCCAACTCGGGGCTGCACTGAATTGCTGGTTTCTGGGTGCGTGTGCGTTTTATGGCATGCTTGCTGCTGCAGCAGCAGTAGAGCTTGCTGTCGGACTACTGCTTATTGTCGTCTATTGACTTTTAGCTGTTGGCCACGTAGCGGCAACGCCGCGTTGGCTACTCAATCTTTCGACGTGACTTTTAGACTGCCACATGACGTTTTAGTTAATGAAACCGTAACAGGACTTGAGCTAGAGGTGGACTCAGCGTGTGTGTGTGTATGTAAGTGTGTATTGTAGGCTTAAAGGGAAGCACAACTACCGTGTGCAGCAGCTGCACTTTGTTTGATTTGTTGCCCCTGTGGATCCAACTAGTGAGAAGCCACGTGGTGGTCGTTAAACTAATTTCCAGTTCAGCATCAAGCGACAAATGTTGTGCACTTTTTAATTACAAGCACAAAAACTTTTCACTGCCAGGTTGCAGATGGCAATGCCAAGCAGCGCTGCAAAAAGTTTATGATAAACGAAAAAGGCAAACATGAACGCAACCAAAAGTTATGTATACGACATGTGCAACGACCTACCTGTGGTATCCGAAACAATCTCAGCAAATTGGCCACCTGTATGGAGGTGACCGATGAGGCAGCGCCCACCACGCCCGAAATCACCTTTCGCACTTGCGTCTTGTTGCAATGATATTCGGCATCGTCTATGTTGCTAATAGAGCCTGTGAGTAAATAAAATCGAAAAAATTCAAAATTAATATAGATATGAGTTATGATGTATACATATCGAGCTTTGTGTTTAATTGATAATTTTACTATTATTTTATTATTTTTATTATTTTGTACTTTTGAAATCGTGCCCAACGTCGAACAATGAGTCATCTCCGTGTCGCCTCGCTTCAGCCACTCACAATCGTAGGCATCTTGCTCTCACTCAGCAAAGCCTGAGACTACATTCAGCTACAGTTATCAATGTCTCTCTCAAGGAGTGAGGTAAGAAGTGAGTAGAGGCAAACTCACTTGAATAATACTTTTACCACAACTCTTTACAGCCTCTCAGCTCCCAGGCAACCAAGTAAGCAAGTTCTGCAATTGATTTCACAGTCACATTATAATACATAAAGCAAACGACATGAATATCGTGTCTTAATATATTTCTAAATGCAAATTAAATTTGCTATAAACCCACAAAGACTATCGATTGATATTTGATTTGTTACTAAATACTGCAAATAATTTTACAACAAATTCCATGCGATATTTGCCTTTTACAGCTCTTTTTGACATAAACACAGTTTAAGCTGGTCAGCTTATGCAGGCTCAATTAAGATTTTGAACTAATAAACCAATATTGAATCATGAATGGGCAAAGTTGTAAATGAAAAGTCAACGCTGGGTCAAAGCGGTGCTGGCCTTAAGCGAGTCGTCCGACATCTAAGCCCCAAACTGAGCAAAACTCTCACAAAGTAGTTGTTCGTTTTGTTTTTTTGCAACACAGACGCGACGACGACCCCTTGGCAATTATTCATTTGCATATTTGTGCGTTGCTTTTGCTTTTGCTTTTGCCTTTTATTCATTTTTAGTTTTCTCTTTTAGATTTGGTTTGCTTTAGTGCTTTCTATTTTTTAATTATAAAACTTTTTATGCTCGGGAATTTGTTGCCCTGAAATGCACCATTAAATAGTTTGCCACTGCGGGATAGTAGGTGCAGTGCTTTCATGAATTCACATTTTTTTTTTTTTTTTTTGGTAATTAAGTTTACACTTTACCCAACTTATTTATTTATTCATTTGCATTCACAGCATTTTCTGTTTTTTTTTTCATTCTGGAAAATAATAAACTGAATATTTAAAGAAAATTTTATTTAATCTTTCGGTCCATTCAGCCGTGCATTAATCTGTGTTGCCATAAAATATATATTTTTTTTGGAAAATTTATGCATTTTGCAGCCGCTAACATATGAGACTTTGTTACTAATTAATGTGCTTCTAAGTTTTTATTATGCACAGGCGAAAATATTAACATTTATTATGGCATAAAAAACAGAAAGTATTTAAAGTTTTAGATTAATTTTTCTGTTCGAAAGGATGAACCACTAAGGGCATGTGGAGAAAAAAAATTAAAAATATTTGTTTATAATTTAATTTGCAAGTTGCATTCAAGCCATTCCATTGATGTTGTCAGCGCTCCAAGATACATATTCAGTTTTGTTTGACTCGCTTCTGTTCAGAAAGTGTAACGAAGTTAGATTTATAATTTACTCCCATTACATGTATTTTAGTTTTCGATATTTTGGTTTTTATGGCCCTCACTTTTGTCAAAAGGTTCGAGTATTTTGAATATTCGCTTAATTTTTTACAGCTGTTTTGGTTGGACGAGTTTTCGCTTTAATTTTTGCCAAAAAGGATATACCAAGGCCACCATATGCCACATAACTGACCCTTGTGATTTTTCTTGCACCTAAAACTAAAAAATTCCATGAAAGAAGGCATCAAAGGATGAGCTGAATAAAATCACAAAAACTTCATTTGTGGAAGTGCTTTCTCGATTGGAAAAAAGCATTGGCATCAGTTTTTTAATATATGTAGGCTGAGGATTACTGTGAAGAGGATCTAATAGATGTTCATGTATTAATAAATAATTTTTGAAAAAACTTCCGATACTGTTTTATTTCGGCTCTCCTATGTTGGCCTTGAGCTGCTCCCTATTGGATATTGGGTTTGTAAGGAATTTCATGTAATAGCAGGAAAAAGAGTTGTGTCACATAATTACTCCTACATAATTTTCAGACTTGCATCGTTTGGTATAGGGTATATAGTGCAGCAGTTGAGCTACTATTTTCTAACTTTTTTTATTATTTCCTGTCTGTCAACGAACTTATAGCTATTAAATGGCAAATATTACTAAATACATCAACAGTTAATTAATATCGCTATATTACACCGCGGCTAGTTTAGAATTATCCCAAATAGTACCACTCTTATTGTGCCACCCATGAAAAAACATTTTTTGTATAGATGCTTAACTCTTTCATATATTTTAAATATTAAACAACACCCAGCCCAGCTATTGATCTTTATCTATGCATACATATTTGAATAGCTTATGCGAATGTGATTCAATGTAATTTCCGTTTTGTATGCATTGTGTTGAGCACACAAATCGATGTGTTTTCATTTCTAAAATGTTGTTTCGCTTCTTGTTTGTTGGGCAACATTACTGTGGTTGCTTTCATTAACAAATAATGAGAGTAGAAAAACAGACGTCTATCACTCTGAGTTCTCGATTCGATTGAAGCAAACACAACGTGATTTAATGCACAGGCGGATCAAACAAACATTAAGCTCGGGTTATGATTATGGCCATGCCACACACAGCACAGAGTACGGCAGCTGTACTTAAATACAAATTAATTAACTCTATCGGGCGGCTGTTGCTTTTGCTGTTGCTGTTGTTGGGCTGCCTGTTTAATGGATGCCCCAGCAATGATGAGGCCAATGAAGATGATGTTGCAGGCTGGGCCTTGTAGACAATGGGGGCGAGCGAGTGGCTCATAGTTTGCGGCATGCCTAATCCTGTCAATATAATTCAGTGACTTGGAAAATTATATTTTTCATACGTCAGATGAGTAAAACATGGCCGCACGTCGCTCAAGTAAATCCTTGTTACGCACATAAATAATGAAATTATGGAGATTAGAAAGTGTTCAGGCCTAGCACAAGCACAAGCACAAGCACAGCAACAACAACAGCTGAAGGCCCCCAGCCGATACTTGGCAGCCAGGCGCAATTGATTATAGATCGTTGTGGCTGTCGCCGTAGCTGTAGCTGTCGCTGTTTCATGCGCCGCTTTTGTTGCCAGATAAAAGCAATAAGCGCCCCTTTTATGGGCCCGGGCAAAGTGCCAGACAGCGCTGTGAGGCCATCTTACATATGTGGCCATGCGACAACACCGCCTCACATCCGGCGCCCATTTTGCTAACTTCCGGCCGGGTTGATCTCTGGCGGCGCACTTAATTTTCGCTCGCATTGACACGTGGGACTCGTGTTGCCTTATTCCTTTTGCCTACATGTATGTGTGTGCGGGTGTGCGTGTGTGTGTGAGTGAGTGTGTGAATATTCAATAAATGACACCGTTTTGTCTTAAGGGAATTATGTATATTAGTTTTGCGTGCATGAAAGCCGCTCAGAGAGCTTAAAGCTCAGCATCCTCTACGTTATTCCCCGCTGGGAAATCGTTTAATTTATTTATTAATTTTGTTTATTAATAAAACGTTCAACGCTCAAGTAAATCGCATTTACGTTGTCAATTCAGTCAGAAAGTACTTGAAGAAATCATTTATATAAATAAATATAATAATATATTAATAAATTTCTGCACAATTTCTACAAAGTTTTCTATTTTTGTATCTTTATAAACTTTTCAAAAATATATTGCTAAAAATGTTGGTTGCAGTTGGTGTGTTCATTTTATGAAATGATTTTTTAATTCAGAATTTTAATACTTATAAATAAAGAAAATACTTGAAAAGGCTAGCAAAAATGAATTTGAAAATAAATATCAGCTAAATTGCTTTTGGCTTGATTATATTGGCAATGGAGTAGTCTTTAATAAAAAGGGACTGGACTAGAAATAGGTATAGTGATCATTAGATTATATTAGATACTTGTTAAAAATTTAGAATGATTTATTAAAGAGATTTATTAAGACAATAATAAATGCATCAACTGTTGAAGAGGACTTCGAGCTTGGCAGACTTCTTTATCCTACAAAGGCTGAGCTAAACTAGGAGAAATTCAGTCGAAAAATGTCTATGTTTTCGCACAAATGAATTGGTAAATTCTAGTGAATTTAAAGAAAGAGTTCATGAAGAAAAGTTGTGGAGTCCTTAGTTTTCTGCCACACAAATACCTTTTGAATTAAAATAAATATGATTTTAAATTGATCAAAAATGTTATTTAAAAACAAATTTTAAAAATTGCTGTTTATAAAGTAGGTTTACTTTAAGTAGAACAAAGAAAGGGCAAAGACGCAACAACAAAGTGACCAAATGGAGACTCTGTTATTGTGCATTCATTCAACTCACTTAACACAATATTCTGCATTAAATTATTTTATTGCACAAGAAACAAACTGCAGCTTTATAAATTTGTCATAGAAACGTTTAAGTGCAACTTCTGTTTAGCATAGCTTGAGTTATGCCTTAAAATATAAAACGAAGCCAACATAAACGTTTCATAGAAGCCACATTTACTCACACCATAAAGAAGACCTCACCTTTGATAAAGTCCACAGCCATTTCGAGGCCATAGGAGTCCTTGTCGCAGTCGTCGAGTATATGGGCGCCGAGCGTTATGTTTGGCAGCAGATGCATCTCGTTGATGCGATCGATGGTGTAGAGCATGGCCTCCAGGGCCTGGATGCCGCCCTGCGGCATGATGGGACCGCAGGTGATGCTGTCCTCGCGTGAGTGCACCATCATGAGGCCTCCCAGGATGACGTCGCCCTCAACAATGGCCTCGCGCTTGACGGGCCAATGCCGCTGCGGCTGGGTGGCATAAAGGCGATCCTGCAGAAAGTCCACAGAGTCGGGCAGCGAGCGCAAATATTTGCCGCCCAGCTCCGATATCAGTGGCAGCATCACATTGTTGGCATGGTTGCTGTTGTGGTTGTTGCCGTTGTGCGGCGTCACGTGGCGTCCACGATGCCGTCCGGAGCGCGT